TGCTTGGTGCTGCTTGGTGCTGCTTGGTGCTGCTTGGTGCTGCTTGGTGCTGCTTGGTGCTGCTTGGTGCTGCTTGGTGCTGCTTGGTGCTGCTTGGTGCTGCTTGGTTGCTTGCTTGCCGACGACTGGTACACCAAGACGAAAAGGCCGGGTGTAAATCAAGGCTTGGAATTGCATGCACTTTCCCGCCGCCGCCAACATCTCCTTTCTTCACGCAGTCTGCCGACTTGCCGCCCACCGCCGTTGCTTCACTCTCTATCATCCATTCATTCTTCTTCACCAGGCTCAAGCTCGGACAGGTGGCTCCTGTCATCTATAGCGCCCCAGTCCATCACCTCGTGTTAGTACATGTGTCCTTCTTACCACCGTCAGACTGATGTGCCTTTTATAATCCTCCTAAGCAGTCTACCCAAACTCTCCCTTTGTATACCGCCTATACCTGCGTACATCATTAATCCGAGCCAAAGTGACGATATCCCGCTAATAATTGATCTGGTGGCTAGTATTTCCGTTGCCTTCTCTTGCCCGCCGTGCCACTCCATCTGTATAACCAACCGCTCCCTTCTCCAGGCGAGACAACATAACTACAATATACTCTGGTGTATATATTAGATCAGCCCTCGGTCGCAAACCCTCGGCTCCTGATCGGTCTTCAAGAGTTAGCTGCCACGGCAGCCCTGCCAATCGCGCATCATGGCGACTGCCCAGCAAGCGAGCGAGCTCAAGCAGCAGGGCGCAATTGATGCCGCCCGCGATCCCAACTCCTCCGTCACTGCCGACGATGCTCAGAAAAAGCTTGTTGAGGAGAGCAAGAATGCTGGTGTGGCTGCTTATACCTTTGATCCCGACGCTAGTCCCGAGGAAAAACGAGCTCAGGCGAAAGCTGTATGTTGTCCACGGCCTCCCCCGATCCTAATCGCAATACTGACCTGGATGGGATCTTAATATAGAACCTTGCAAACGATCCACGGGGTCCCAGGAAGCCGAAAGGAGTAGCCCTCGTGACCGATGTTGATGACGGTACTAAGGTTGCCTATGATCTCCCAGACCCTTCCAAGGCTGGCGTTGTGGAAATCGCCAAGGATGAGAGTGGCCAGCCGATCAAAGAGCCGGGCTCAACAGAAGAGGACATAGCAGCGAAGGTTGGTTGGGAACAGCGCTTTGGCTGGCCTGTTGACAGCGTCCTTTCCGGCGACAGTATGCTTGACCACACAACTTGGTTAGAGGGCAAGATCCCCGATACCATGTTTGGCGGTAACTCCACCCCTTTCCATTTAGCCCCTTCCTCCAAGCGTATGTATGGCTGCTTATTCATAATAATTGAACAGACTGGTATCATAATGCGGCTGTCATAGTATTCGCTTGTCTTTCCTCCTGGCTTGTCGCTGTACTTGGTGGTGGTTTGGGGTGGATCATCATCATTATGGTTGCTTGCTCAACGTACTATCGCACCTCGACCAGACGCGTTCGACGAAATTTTCGGGATGATGTCGTCCGCGAGATGGCATTGAAAAAACTGGACACCGACCAAGAATCTCTGGAGTGGATAAATTCTTTCTTAGTTAAATTTTGGCCGATCTACCAGCCAGTTCTAGCTCAAACAGTCATCAATGCGGTGGACCAAGTCCTGAGCTCTGCCACACCAGCCTTTCTTGATAGCCTAAAGCTCAAGACGTTCACCCTCGGATCGAAGCCTCCAAGAATGGATCATGTGAAAACATATCCGAAGGCTGAGGACGATACTGTTGTTATGGATTGGAAATTCAGTTTCACGCCCAACGATACAGCTGACATGACATCGCGCCAAATTAAGAACAAAATCAACCCCAAGGTTGTTCTGGAGATCCGGCTTGGCAAGGCCATGATTAGTAAAGGCCTGGACGTTATTGTTGAAGACATGGCTTTCTCAGGCATCATGCGACTCAAAATCAAGTTGCAGTTTCCTTTCCCTCACATTGAGAGAGTCGAAATGTGCTTCCTGGAACGTCCTACTATCGACTATGTTTGCAAGCCTTTAGGCGGTGATACGTTTGGCTTCGATATCAACTTCATTCCCGGATTGGAAAGGTTCATCCAGGAGCAAATTCATGGCAACCTAGCCCCTATGATGTACGCACCAAATGTTTTCCCGATAGAGGTTGCTAAACTGCTTGCTGGTTCTCCCGTTGATCAGGCGATCGGTGTCGTTGCCGTAACGCTCCATGGAGCACATGGTCTCAAGAACCCAGACAAGTTTTCTGGTAATACCGATCCATACGCTGTTCTTACTTTGAACAAACGTTCCCCCTTGGCTCGGACAAAGACAATCAGAGACACTTCTGACCCACGTTGGAACGAAACTCACTATGTCATCATCACCTCATTCAACGATTCCCTAGATATCATGCTATATGACTACAATGATATTCGTAAAGATAAGGAACTTGGTGTGGGTTCCTTCCCATTGGAACGGCTGGAAGAGCTTGAATCTTATGAAAATGAACGACTGGAAGTGATCGCCAATGGTAAAGCCCGAGGAATGCTCAATGTTGACATTCGTTTCTTCCCAGTTCTCGAGGAAACCAAATTACCAGATGGCACGGTGGAGCCTCCTCCAGAGACAAACACTGGTATCTTGCGGTATAGTGTTGAGCAAGCGAAAGACCTTGATGGCACGAAGAGTCTCGTTGGGCTTCTTAATCCTTATGCTGTTTTGCTCCTGAACAGCAAAGAAGTTCATCACACGAAGAAACTTAAACGCACCAATAACCCCATTTGGGACGATGGATCGAAAGAAATTCTGATTACTGACCGCAAGCATGCTAAGCTGGGTTTGGCTATCAAAGATGATCGTGATATTGCGGGAGATCAGATTGTCGGCACATACCAGATCAAACTAGACGACATGCTTGAGATGATGCAGAAGGGTAATGAATGGTACAATCTGTCCGGCGTTCACACTGGCCGAGCGAAGATCACAGCACAATGGAAACCCGTTGCAATCCCAGGCGTGCTGTCAAGCTCCAAAGGCTATCAAACACCTGTTGGTGTTATGCGACTTCATTTCAAGAGTGCTCATGGCCTTCGCAACTTTGAAACGATGGGCAAATCTGACCCTTACGTTCGCGTACTTCTTTCTGGCATTGAGAAAGGTCGAACCGTGACCCATCGTAACACCCTAGACCCTGAGTGGGACGAGGTCATATACGTACCCATGCATTCATCCCGTGACAGACTAACTCTGGATGTCATGGACTCTGAAAAGATGGGCAAAGACCGAAGCTTGGGCCTACTAGAAGTATTCGCTGGTGATTACATGAAGCAGGATGAGAATGGCGAGTGGTTGGTGAACGACGAAAAGAAGACACAAAGAGGAGGCCTGCGCCTACATGGCAAGGGCATCGCGAAAGGAGAGCTTGAATATACTGTTTCGTTCTTCCCATGCCTAAACGTTGCCGACCCTGAAGAGGAACAGGCTGAGGAAGAAGACGAACTTGCTGCTGGCGCCCCTAAGGCATCACTTGATGTCCCACGGTCGTCAGAAGCCGGGAAAATCTCCTCGCTCGAGCGAAAAGACACCAATCAAGTACCGACTACACCGACATCGCCCGTTGTGCCCTTATCACCTGCTTCTACCAATGGCAGAAAATCTCGGGACCTGTCGAGAGAGCCACCAAAGATTCATCTTAGCCCCGAAGAATTACTCAAGTATGAGTCTGGTTTCTTGATATTCAATATCATCGAGGGCGAAATGCCCAAGACTGGAACTCACATCGAAATATATGTGGATGACTTGCCTTATCCGTCATATGCATCCGGCACCGCAAAATCCCATCATCACAAGTTTGACGAAATAGGAGATTGTTTCATCCGCGAACTGGAATTCTCCAATATCACTCTGAGAGTTTGTGAGAAACGTGAGAAACCGGGCGAGGAGCGCGACGAGGACCACACCGTAGCTCGGTTGGCTGGCAACACGCTAGAGACCCTAAAACAATGTCTCGTAAGTTCTAACATACAACCTTACAATAGGAAAATGCTAACGTTTGTAGAACAACCCCACTGTCTTGCGGCTCAAGGATGAGGAAAATCGCACTGCGACTATCAAAGTTAGCTTGAAATATGTCCCCGTTAAGATGCATCTAGACCCCAGCGAGAGCATCAATAACTCGGGACGACTTCGTGTTGACGTCCTAGACGGTGCTGATCTCCCGGCCGCAGACAAGAATGGAAAGAGCGACCCGTATTGCAAGTTTGACCTGAATGGCATGGAAGTGTTCAAATCGAAGACTCAGAAGAAGACCCTTAATCCAGTTTGGAACGAATATTTCGAAGTCGATATCCCCTCTCGCACAGCTGCCAAGTTCCAGTGCAAAGTGTACGATTACGATTTCGCGGATAAGCCTGACTTTTTAGGAGCGGCATTCATTAATCTCGAGCAACTTGATCCGTTCCAAGGCCAAGAGGTGAAGCTTCTATTAGATGGAAAGTCCGGGTCCATCAGATTACGGCTTCTCTTCCGGCCTGGCTACATCACACGCTCCAGATTGGGTACCGGTACCTTCTCAGGCACCTTTGGCGCTCCTGCCAAGATTGTTACTGGCGTCGTGGGTGCGCCGGTCAGGGGTGGAGCGGCTGTTGCTGGCGTTGTCGGGCACGGTGTTGGTAAGGGTGCTAGTTTTATCAAGCGGGGATTCACCTCCCTAGGTAGAAAGGACGATGATGACACAGACTCAAGCGCGTCTCCCGTTAAAGCTGAGATTCCGATGATTGTCACAAATGACGCAGATTCACCAGCACGGAGTTCCGGTATCAAGCGCTCAGGTGCTATCAACCTTGACGGAGAAACCGTCCCACCACCGTTATCTAATGGGTCGAAGACGCATGGTCGAACGGCTAGCATGGGTGCTTCTTCAGTCCATAGCTTGGCCCCTGGAAGCCCTGGCCAAGGCACAGCTACATTCACAATTGTTTCTGCCTCTGGATATCCACCTTCATCCGACGTATATGTTCTCATTAAGCAGTTGACGCCAAAAGAAAAAGTCATAGCGAAGACGAAGCACCACGAGACACCTGGCACTCGTCGATTCGATGAGACCTTCAAATACAAGTGTACACCGGATACCCAATTCCGCATCGAAGTAAAAGACCATCATACTTTTGGCAGCGATGATGATCTTGGCGAAGCTCTGTACTTCGTGGACGAGAGTGGCACCGGTGAGAAGGAAATTAACGTAGGAAGTGGTACCGTTATATTGAAGAGCACTTTTGAGGCCCAGGAATCGGCACGCCCAGGGACTTCGGGGGGCGGTATAAGGCGGAGTTTCCTAAGCAAGAGGGAGCCTAGACCTAGTCGAGAAAGTACACCAAGCATCTAGGCTTTCATTAAAGTTGGGTATGACAAAAGCGGTACGGCAGGTTATCAGGGGCGTCTGGGGGGGAGGATGAATCAGGTTAAAGCTTGATTGATGTAATACTTTGGAAAGACGGGCGACTAAGTCCAGACTGTCTGGCTTTTCCCTTGAATCTTTGTTTAAATTATATCGTAATACCACCAATTGCGGTTGCAAAATCTTCGTCTACGATTGCGCTGTTTTACTTTCTTGTCGTCTTTTCAAATGATATAGCCGCTCTTACTTTTCAATGGATTGCGAACGGATGTATTGCAGGATACTAGGTAATCCACAGCACCAAAAAAGTGATAAGTATTGATATTGGGAGATCATGAGAACAGAACAAGACTCTGTTACGATTAGAAGGGTAACCACATCGACGTATATATATGAGCGAGCTGAGAACCCGCTCCGCTAACGGTTGACGAAGAGAAGCGCGTTCGTGTGAATATTATGAGATCCGGATATGAATTGCTCCTTGATAGTCCCGTCTTCAACTGAAGGAGTTATATCATCATTCTCAGGGCACACCTGGACTACTTAGTTGTGTTAATTAAGCTTCGCCACACATGGCGTCGATACTTCGCTTTGCCTTGTACTGTATGTGTTTGCCTAGATCATCATGACCTTATCAGCCTCGAAAGAAGAGACGATATCAGGAGAAGTTTAGTCCGTGTTTGTTTCGCATATCACGATCCGGTACTGTGCCTGGGACCACTTGAATGCGGACGTGCTTTGGTATCATTTATCTAGGTATCTATCTGCCCAGCTACTGACAGTTCCTTTCGGTACACGTGACCACTTTAAGAAATTTGATTCCGTCAAGAGGAATCACGCAAAAGAGAGTCTAACTGGGAAGTGCACTGCTTTTTTAGCCGCTGCTAGGAGAGCCGTATCATGCGTGGTGGCGGAGAAGCCGAGAAGCTAGATTTCGATTTCACTGCTTTTTTAGTCCCCCGCCAGATGACTTTCTCAAGACAGTTTGTGCGATAGGTATTGCTGCAATGGCCCCCGGGCGGGGGCTAAAAAAGCAGTGAACGGGCGGATTGGATGGATACTTCGTAAGTCGGACGGGACGGACACACCCTCTGTAGCAGTCCAATAAGGTGCTTGCAAGGTTGTCAATGCACTGCTTTTTTAACCCCCCGCCAGAGGGCTATCTAAAAATAATTGTACGATTTTGCTGCAATGCTCCTCCCGGCGGAGGTTAAAAAAGCAGTGAAGCTAGGGTCACTGACTATTACGTAGGTTTCGCTCAGCTGATCATGAAGTCAGCTCGGTTTATGCAGTGTGAGATTCACTGCTTTTTAGCCCGCTCAAGGAGCTGTGCCAATACCGTAAGGTGCATAACACAGAGATTAATGCGCACGAGATTTTAAACCCATCTTTACGTAGTAGGTATACTGGTTCTTTCTGAATGATATACAGATAAATCTTAGTGCTGCGTAATGTCGCTCGGAACAACGATATCTAGCAGCTAGGCTGGCCAGGAGAATTGTCCCCGTCCACATTCGTGTCAGTCGGGATGTCATTGCCACCTTTAGATTTCTCAAGCTTTCCCGGGAATACATCTTCTCTGAGATCCGGGAGCGCACTGCCCCAGTCGTTGTTCAGCATCGTGTCACGGAGCTCGGTAGAGGGGAAACCAAGGAATCCGACGACATCTCCGAACTATTGTTGTGATGAGTTAGCTGAGTAGTTTTCCAAATCTACAGCGTTTCTGCGATAAATTAAGAAGCATCGAAGGGTAAAGGGGGAAGAAGAAAGGGGAAACTCACAAACCACTGTCCTGTGTGATTTTCAATGTTGTCATCGTCCTCGTTGGCGAAGCGGAAGTCGTGTGTAAGCCCGCCTTCTTTGTGATACACGACCTTGGCATGGGTGCCCTCGAAGCGTACCTCGGCGGCCGGCTTTACCTGGTAGTCTCCATGCTGCGAGACGCCGACGTAAGAAGGCATCTCGTCGCCGTCCTTAATCCAGATCGCGATGTCTGTGCTAAAGTCAGCCACCAAAAGGCAAGCACCAACGCCATGTTCTCGATATCAACGCCAGTGCAGGCATATGATGTCCAGTTCCAGAGAGGAGAAGACTTACGCTCCCAATCATTCTTATGGCCTACACCGCAAGATCCATCGATCGTCTGGTCTTTTTCAAAGTAGTAGCCGTAGATAAAGCCACACCAACCGTTGTTACATCGGGCGCGCGAGTATACGTTGTTGTTCTGCAGGTCCGAAAGGTCGCGGCAGTTCCCGTTCACAGCGCCGCCGCAGTTTAGGCCCGTCGCGACGTTGCCGGCCGCGTCTATCGCTGGCGTGTTGTAACACCCGTCTGTGTCGAAGTCCATTGCTGTGGAAAGGCGCCATTGTGTGAGAATCGAGGCGCATGTGATAGCAGATACACATAGTCGTATATCACCATCGCGTTCAGGGGAGAATAGTATAGTTACCTGGCTGCCACTTCTTGTCCGCGTCCGTTGCGCAACCCGGAAGCGCCGCAGGCGGGTCGCGCTTGAAGATCGAGCGAACATCCGGGGATATCACGTTCGCGTTGACGGAGAGTACAAGTGTCGCGGTGCCAGCCGCCAAAGCTTTCACTGAGAGACCCATTGTGACGGCTTCGAAGACACAGATAAATACCCAGGACCGAGGGTAGGAGGCGATGGCTTGTTCGAAACGGAGCATGCAATCTGGTTCCCTATAAATCCTTACACCGTGCCATTGATGGCTCTACTTATGTATCTGGTGCATCCTCACCCCTGTCTCCATCACGGAGGCGGGTCGGCGGAATGACGATCTTCTACATGTGATATTTGCGATTTGGCCTTCCCGTGGTTGTTGCGATAGCGCTGACTCGCTGGGTCTCATATGATCGACACAAGGACTCCATGAGGATCTCGCAGGTAGTATTCGGTAATGGAAGGTGCTTGATTTAGCATTAACATCAGGATCGAGCTAGGAACTGCCAAGACGTCGTTCCGGGCAGCTGGCTTACGAGCAGGGTTAGGCCGCATCGTGAACCTGCGGCTTAGCGCGATCCGCTTGTGCAGGAAATGACCGTTATTTGTGTCACGTTTCAAGATCTTGACGATACGTACGTTACTTGCTATAAGGCTGAGAAACGACAGCATCTTGCCTCTCTTCAATGGCTGGGATTATGGCGTGACTCTATCAAAAAGCCAACAATTCATTATATATATAGTACAGTCCGGAAATAACGAGAAACGCAACCTGAACCTCAAGTCGTACAAAAGGACATCTCTGGTGTAGACGTGTATCCCTATGATTAGGTAATGAAATCGATCTAGAAACGCGTGAACTGAAGTCTTCAGGTTTTACTGAACCAACTGCGACAAGCCCACTTGCTCAATAATACCTTCTAGGGTTCCATTGAGTACAACCCCAAAAGGACCGGCCTCAAGAGCACAAGAAGAACTGTCATCGGTAAGAGTACCTCGAAAGTATGCGTTCACCTTTTCTTGCTGGCAAGTATTGCCGACGACTCTCGAAGTATGCTATGACAATTAGCATCGAGCATTCCGTAAGATAGAATACTTCACTCACCCCTGTAGCGTCAACAGTGACTACCTGAGCACCTTTATATTTCCGTGCTGCCGCTACTGCCCTATTCACAACCTTAGCTTCACCTCTGTTGAAATCAATATACTGGTTACTCACTCCGAGGCTGGTGAAATGGGATCGTAGGTGTTCCCAACGAAGAGAATGGGAGTTTCGGTGTCGCCGCCGAACGGTCCAGAAAACACATCAGTAGCTTCGATCGACCATCCGAGACAGCCCAGCATTGACTTCGAAATGATCTCGCCGATGATGCTCACTTCCTCGAAGTGCTCAATAGCCGGCCGCAGATCTTCCAGCGTCTTGTTATACCATTTATTACTCTGATCAGTACATAGAGTTCCCAATCTGAATTCTGCGTTCACATCGCCAGCCGGGGTCGGGTCTCCGATGAGTGTAGCTATCTGTTCTGTCCATATCGCAACATTCTGGATTGCAAGGGCTTGCTCAAGCGCAACTAAAGCGTCGGATAAAGGTCCGAAGATGACATTCGGCGATGCGACCGAAAAGTAGAAGGTTGTCTTGAGTGTCAACAATGCTGCTTCGATGTCTGTTGCGTTTGCCCAGTTCTCGGTTTTCGCTCTTTGGGAATCCAATTGAACGAAAGACTCGTTAAATCGGTTGTATATATCGAGCGGAGAAGAGCCGGTGTAAAATGAACATTGAGATGGGCCAATCTCGAAGCAGTAGATGAAGAACGAGGCGATAATTCCATCTGCATTCGAGGTTATCTCGGTGAAGTTCTCTCCCATCGGTAATTCGAGACTTAAGACACCATCTAGAACCATTTTACCGACTCTGTCGGGAAACATTGAGGCGAAGACTTGTCCAAGGAACGTTCCGTAGCTATAGCCGAAGTAATTCAAAAGGTTGCTTGGCTTCTCGGCCCTCTTTCCATCGGCGGTTTTTGCGAACGCGTCTACGATACTGACGAGATCCCGAGCATTCGTAGTAGTTGACATATGGGGTCCCGCGTCCTTTGCCCCGCCAACTACGTCCTCGCACTGCTTACCAAGTTCGACTCCAGCCTCAATGTAACTAGAGAAAAATTCATCTGTCACTTCGGGGACGAACCTGGAGTTTAACGTGTTTTGTGAAGTGGCAGCGGTGGCTGAGCAGTTAATGTTGGGCTCGCTGCGGTATATGCCTCTAGGGTCAAATCCGATGATATCCCAGTTATCGCCTGTCAAGGACTATATACAAAGGTTAAGTTAGTGGTTTTTTTGTTGAAAGAAGGTCAAATTATTTATATGAAACGCGTTGCCTTAGAAGATTTGGGATTTAAAAGCCATCTAGGGAATGGACACTGGTACAGAGCACCGACCTGATAAAACGCGACTCCGTTGCCTTGGATCTCGTCTACACCTGAGCTTCCCGGCCCACCGGGATTAGTGAGTATCATGCCTTGATAAGAGCCAGAGGAAGAGTTGGAATTGGCCGGCAATTTGATGAGAGGGATCGAGGCCCGACCAAGACCAGGATTCTGATAGTCTAGAGGTACCTATGGAACAGGTTAGCAACGCCTGAAAGGGCACTGTAGTAGCAATGAACTGACATCAAGTTTCGCGCAAAAGAATCCATCGTAGCAAGGACACCATATGAGAGACTGCGAAGGAGTGATCGTGTCCCAGGTGCAATTCTGAGAGCATGCTGCTGCCACGAAGGAACATAAGCCTAATAAGGCGAAAGGACGAAACTGCATTATTATGATTTATGAGAACGAGCGTCAGTTATTCTAAATGAGTGTGAATTCCGAAGGGCACGAAGTAGGCGTAGTATAGCTTGATCAAGAACATCGAAGAGAAGCTGTCCTGCTACTTCTTATAACTCGTTGTTGAAATTTGGTGGAGATCGAGCCTTACGAAGTTACCAATAGCAAAGCTCAGAGACAACCCCTGAGGCCCCCATTGAGCCGGCTCATCACAGCCTCATTCTTTGATTAATTACGGAGAAGAAATGATCAAGGTTCAACCCATGATGCTCATGAGCTTAACCATGAACCGGACATAGGTAGTTCAGGAGCAAGCCATCTTCTTCAAGTGTCCCTTAATCACTAGTCAGAATTAGTCCCGGTGAGACAGGGGTTCACACATAGTAGAGTGGATAGTTGTAGGGTCCTTACGAGCACACCAATCAGAGAGACGCTCTAAACCATGGATGTTAAAGAGTCTAACCACAACTTGTCCCGACAAACATGAAACTTGACGGCTGGGAGCTAATGGCATTGAAGTCCACCATAGCTAAAAATAAACATAGGCAAAGTGAAGAACTTGGGAGAGTATTTGAGCAGCAATAACTGTGTGATATAATCTGTTTCATAACCACTGACTTCAGAAATACAGATTGTAAAAGCCAAATTGCAGATGACCAAAATAAAGGGAGGAAGACAGCGAGCCTATCGGCCAAAGACTCGATCGGGATGCCTTACTTGCAAAGGTATGTAACTCAACCACGTGGTTCGCAGTACGGCATATGCATCGAATCTAACTATCAACGTAGTACGACGGGTCAAATGTGACGAAGGACGGCCGGATTGTCTCCGATGCACGTCAACCGGCCGCACTTGTGACGGCTATGCCCATACGACAGCACCAATTGCGGGATCAGGATCCGTCCTGCAGGGTCCATCTCTTGAGATTCAGGCCTCCCCACGTTCTAAGCGATCGTTTGCGTTCTTCATGCAATGCACATGCTCTCAACTAGCTGGTTTCTTCGGATCCGAATTCTGGGAACGGCTTGTTTTTCAGGCCGCGTATAACGAACCTGCTGTGCGCCACGCAGTTGTTGCTATAGGTTCGCGCCATGAGCTTGCCATATATCAGAAAGCAGCAGAAAGAGATGCCGTGGGGTGTTTTGCGCTAGGGGAGTACAACCTTGCCATTAGGCATCTGATAAACCCATCACAGGGCAAGGCGCAGCGAAGCGTCGACGTATACCTCATTATGTCCATCCTTTTCGCTTGCTTTGAGGTAGGACCCCTTGCCGTTTCGATGCTCCGCTTCGCAGTACTAAGAAACTTTCTTGATCTTTCAAAGAATATACAAGGAAACCATGCTTCAGCAATAACCCATCTTCAAAGTGGCGTCAAGCTCCTACGAGAGACAGTATACGACAGGGATTCTGGCGCGCTAGATTGTCAACAGTTTGAAACCGCAAACCGCATAAATTCCTATGCTTCATTTCAAACTTACGCCAAGATATTCGCACTTCTGGATTCACAGGCCTCTAGGGTAAGATTACTTCTTTTCGCTTTCACACTGGTCCATGCTACGATATGGCTGATATACGCTTTATAGATAATTGGAGATTATTATCAGTCATTCATTCAATCTTCCCCTCCTTCATATGCTGATGCAGTGTATGGTGCTGGCTCTCTATCATTTTCCAGTATTGATGAGGCTAGGACTTTGTGGGAGTATGGCGCTTGTCTATTCAGTGGCACTCTAGACACTAAGCTATCGGATGCCTCTATGCAACTCCCTCATAAACCCGTAGAGGGCCAACGAAGTCATCTCGTAAATCTAACGTCAAAATATTTTTACGCGGTGGAAGACCTTATACAGTCCAGGAAGTCACATTTCACGCCAAGAGAAGAACTAGCAGCAGCGATCCTTCAACTCAATGTCCTCGTTACTTGGGTCTCATTTGAGATCGAACTCCAATACCCAAAAGCCACTTGGGATAAGTTCATGCCGAAACTGAACGACATGGTCCTTCTTGGAGAACAGATCGTTTCGCTTATCTCATCTAGCAATGATAGTAAGCAAAATACGAGTTCGTTCTGCCTTGAATCGGGCTACATTCTTCCAATGTATGCTGTGGCTAGTAATTCTCGAGACATCGGTATCCGCCGAAGGGCTATTGCTGTTCTTCGTTCTGTTTCTCGCCAAGAGGGCCTGTGGAATAGCTTTCTAGCAGCGGATGCCGCCGAGAGGGTAATCGAGATTGAGCAAAGGGTTGCGAGAGAAATGAGCGTTTGCGGTGACGGTTATGAAGAATTAGAGTTATTTAGCTCCCGGCCGCTCCTAGAAATAGATGCGAAGGGTGGCCGGTTACATTATACTCGAAGTCCACATGGATGCCAACCCCCTCACGATGTTGTCGAGGAAGTATTTAGTTGGTAGTGAATAATAATGAACCGAGGAACAGACTTGAAGAATATTAATGGGCTCATTGATAGCTCCTATGACGCCAAAGGTCCTATCAAGTTTCAATGAGTATTAATGGACTCAAGAAACAAGCGCTTAATTGGGGAAGTCGCTCGAGATGAGCGTGCATGTGATGGACTTGGCAAGCTCATGCTGGTAACTTGTTGGTTTCGTGATACCAATCCTGAATATGTGCATTCCAACCTTTTCCCCCCCTCAGCCAAGGAGTTCTCCCGCCTAAAATCAAGTATTAGCGGCCATTTCTTTCGATTTCCTAAAAGGCTAGAAGGCATTTGAAAACAAGGCCACCATGAGGGATCACGAGTTGACACTACGAAGTCCTGTTCTAACGCTTCATGGTGACAATCCAGCCAATTAGTAATATTACAAGAATTGATATCGATTTATTTTTAGCCTGCTTGTAGCCTCATGCAGTGCAACACTTTGGTTCTACTTTGGTAAAATCGCATATATATACAACGGACACCATCATTCTAAAAATCCGTCCTGCTAGTAGAATTCGTCATTTAGATCCGTCTACTTTCCTACCACTGTGGCAGGACGCTGGGTAAGTACTATGACCATATATGTCTTCAACATATACTAACAATACAATTAGAATCAGCCATTCATCCTACGTGCTCCCTCTGGATTCGATACACTAGTCTCACTTCAGGTCATCTACCAAAGTGGGATACTATTATATCGCTCTAAAGACCCCTTTCAACTATGGACGAGAGCACGCATGAAACTGAGAACGCGGTTGCGATTGCAAACGCCAAATCCAAAAGAAAGCCAAAAAAGCCGATTCAGAATTTATCCAGCCCAAACAATGCAGCTACTGTTGAAGATAGCTGCTCGACCGGCGAATTCGATGCGAGTTACAAGAAACTGATTCAGGGCACCATCTCGCAACTATCGACCCAGATCGATATGCTCAACCTGCTCACAAAAAAAACGCGAGAAGCGAAATATGCAGTGCAACACGGAACATATAAGTGCATTGATCCAGAAGAAGATGTCATACATGTAATTTTTTCCAGGGCATTCAAGTCTGTGCCACAGATAACAGTGGGCTTCAGTTCTGTCGATCTTGGAGAGTACTATTCGGGGGGCGGCTCGACAGCTACAGTCGAAGCCATTAGTGTTACCCCTACACGGTTTACAGTCCGTGTTGTATCCGGGCCAAACACATTTATGAGAGATTTCTCCGTGGTTTGGATAGCTAAGGCAGATGAGTGTGATCCCCTACCCAATCGTGTCGAGCCGCCAAACGATACATCATATATCATAGTAGGCCGACACTATTACGAGAGCAGAGACCTGGGCTTGGAACATGATGCTATCACAATATAATGATCAACTAGGGTTGCATGAGTCCTTGACCAACAACCAACTCCTTCTGGGCTGTTGGTGGCTTGACTCGGCTCTATATACAAATGGTCTGCCAGCCTAGACAGCCTGGGTCTCTAGGGTCTATTTCAAGAAGCGAAGTCTGTATTACCTCACTTTCCAATAGTGCCTGTATGTTTTTGAAGGTCATGAACATCCTGCAATGGCCTTTCGTACGGCCAAAGTGGAAGGAGAACTGCATGTCCAGCTTGTACGTGTGTAATATCCTGAATATCGTATTTAGATACAACTTATGACATAATCTTCCTAATCTTTTGCTAAGAGACTCGCGTCATCATTTTCGTTTTTCAATGTGCTCGCGGTATTAGGGTCCCAACGCAAGCCGGGTGCCATGTCCTCGTAGTCGACGCGGAACTCCCGCGTGGTATATATATCACTCGAGCTGTGAAAAGCTGATTCGGTGCCGTTATTAGCTGTCGCATTCACCGTATAAACTGTGTCAGGCCTCGTGACCCTATCTATCGCATTGCTGGGTGACCTGGACCCTCTGCGGTTCCAACACCCGAATCCGAAGCTGCGACATCTGGTCTTTGGTATTGAATCGGAAGCAGATGTAGTCCTGCTCCGCAAGCGGGAGAGTTTGTGGCTGCCGTTGCGACTGAGACCGATGTCGTTCACAACATTGTTATCCCTGCTTCTCGCGATACGTCCGATAAGGTCAGCCATGGATAACTCGATGTTAAGCTTGACGGTATATGCTAGAGGGTGAAACTGCATGTAACTAGGGATACTGTTAACTCTTGATGCACAATTTGACTCGGTTTTTGTCAAGATCATTTGACTTAAAACGGGACATGTACTCACACAAAAGTGTTCGGCAGACTCATCATCGTTATGATCAAAAGATCCATACTTAGGGAGAAGCCGATGATAAACATGTTGAAATGGACCAAATTCCGGTATTTGGTCAGGCCGTTTCTCACTAGATTAAGCTGTACCACGCGGATAAAGTATATGTTGAGACAGGCATCTACACACATGTAGATTACTTTCTCACATCGATCCCAAACATCGTTGATCTCCAAATATCTTTCCGAAATCTGGAGACGCGCCGGGATCCAGATGTTGTAAACAGATATATTAACAGCCGTGATCAGCACTGCAACGCCAATCTTGAGCCTTCCCACCAATATCTTGTCGTGAGCCACGATCCGACAGCGGTTTATAATAATCTGAAGCAGAAAATGGACTTGAAGCGCCCAGAGCGTGACTATTGCTGGTGTTAATACACATGGGTCTTTGGGAGCCCTCAATGCGACATACGTATAAGAAAGTAAAATTCAAATCTAAACAATCCTTGATTAGTAATTTGGCATGATAGACGCAGAAGGAGCCTGAGCACGAACGATGGCGGTATTGTCCGCATCAGATGCAGGAAGCAGATGATAGCGAAAGCGAGACACACGGCTATCTCCCCCCATACCATCCAGATATACACGTTTCGGAAGACTTTCAAGCCGGTGTTCTTGTATGCGATCCACGTTTGCTGCGCCGCATTCCAGGATGTCAACAAGCCGAAGCCTAATGTAAACCCAAACGCAATCGAAGCGATAATAATATCGCTCCTGGTCACATCTTGGAACTGATAGTGCGGAGAGAGGAGGCTCATCCTGCCGGTTAGTGTTGTCGTGAACCACTTGTAGGAGCAGCTGACAGCATGCTAAACCGTGCTGTTATGGATTTTTGATGAGGTCGACAACGAAGATCTAGAGAATAGTCATCTAAGAGAATATCGTGTGAATTCAGAGGTATCCTTCTTAAACCCCATGGTGAGAGGTGAGCAAGATGCAAGATTTCCAACAACAGGGATGACGTTCGCCTGCGAGTCAGTGCCAAGATAGAATGCGAGTTATGAGCAAACGGATTTTCTCTCTCTCTAAAGCTGAAGCCATCTGGGGGTGGCAACCCTCACTTTACAAAGGCAGATAGCAGCACATCAGGTAAGTCTCTACCCAGATGCGGGGACTATATGACGCAGAATGAATCTCAGAATCCGAGTCAGGATGTCGAACCATAGGTTTAAGTTTTCCGAGATACGTCTAGAAGTTCCCGAATTGGGTACGTTCTGTAGCCTCTTACACTAATCAAGCCCGGCGCCTAATAAATATGAAAAGGGTGGTCATGCTGTGTTTCTGTCCCCAGCAGAGTTCAATTTGAGATATTATATTCCGTGGGATAGTTTGCGAAGCCCAATTATCATCTGCGATCTATCACTAATCAACCCTTGTCCACAACATAGAGTTCCAAGCTAGGCCATGGGCTACTCAGATGTTCGACACTAGGAAACTCTCTTAGCATAATGTGGCGAATAATAAGGTTCTATAACGTAAGAAGTGAGAATAGAATATGCGATTGTGATCTTGGATGTGGATATCACCTTATACACTTCATGGGGTAAGCAGGGGGGACCGCCAGATGTTCAGACTAGAACTCATGGGGCCGAAGCATAACTCCATAAATGTATGGGTTGACATTCCAGGAGTCCTTGTTATATCCACTAGAAGACGACCCCAGATTCTATAGTTCTGATAAGCGTATTTCCGAGCGTACTCATACGGAATGCCGTGGTCAGGTAGCTCCTCTCGTGACTAAGGGATGACATGGGCGACTCTTCGGCTACGCCTTGGAGAAGAAATACCATATCACACTAGAGCCAGTATTGTGGCAAAGTGGTGTTGGGTTCAGGTCCCTTACTTAGGTAATCATCCACCACAACCACCAATTGTTACACGTGCAAGGCGCTGTGCTAGCTGAACATGCAGTTCGCCTTGCACCTCGGCCGTACGAAAGGCCATTGCAGGCTGTTCATGACCTCTCGGAGACATGCAGGCAATAAAGGGCAATATTGGAAAGTGAGGTTATACAGACTTCGCTTCTTGAAACAGACCCCAGAGACCCAGGCGGTCTAGGCTGGCAGACCAGTTGTATATAGAGTCGAGTCAAGCCACCAACAGCCAAGAAGGAGTTGGTTGGTCAAGGACTCATGCAGCCCCAGTTGTTCATTATAATCTGAATTCCAAGTTCCAAGCCCAGTATCTCTGCCCTTGTTATACCAATGAACCCACAACTGTGCAACGGTGACACCTGTTGCACGCGCTGAACAAGCTGGATACGTTGTCCCCGTCGAATATGCAGATCTCAACGACTAGTAATGAGAAAGTCTCAGCCTCAGCGAAACAGGCTTCCAGCTTTCGTTACTATGAGACATGATGGCGGACTCGCATCTTGGGAGCACCGATCTGATTATATATGGCTAGCAACATGGACCTCAATCAGACAAAAAAGATATCGTATCAAATCTAAGTATTTAAACCTATCAGAACTACGTAGAGCTTATACGTCCTCAACATTAGAGCCGTGAACAACAGCGCGAAAGAGATTGCCACAGTACTATAGTTGAGTGTAGAGACACGGGGTCTCGACATGATGACGTATGTCGTTTACCTTTTGGTAGCGTAGCGGTATAAAACTACACTCCTGTTATTCGTTCGTGACAGAGATGCTCGCAGTCCCAATCAAGTTCTAATTCACAACAATGATTTTTTTTAAAACAAGCACGTGATAAATAGCCCATAGCGCAAGTAATACCAAGTGTATCCTTTAAACGCCCCAAAGCGCGATGGACTCGAATTAATCAACATACATTATCATAAAGCTACGAAGCGCACCCATTCAATCTGGGACTTGGCTTTACCGGTACCACATTGAACCGCAAAAAGTCTGGTATACCCTGAAACGCCGAGAAGAAGAAGAAAGCTCAACACCACCTGGCTCAATAGGACGTCCGTTTCAGGTAGGACACAAGAGGATGTAGGAGATCAAATCAAGTCATTACTTCGTGATACCGTCCACCTGCACCCCATTGGGTTGCGAGGAGGATGATGGGCCCGCATTAGACGCCTGAGGATTCCACGCCTCCTTAATCCGTTTCGGCTCCTCCAACAGCTCCCAGGCGCGTTCCTTCTTACTCTTCCGCCCTGCGTCGCCGGCGTGCTCCATTTCGTCCAGTTCGCTTACGTCGCTGGAGCTAATGGAGGTGTCGCTCGGGCTGCGGTTGAGGATCATCCGAATGTTCCGCCCCTCTTTTTTCTTCAATTTTCGCTGATTCTCTTTAATCTTTTGGTCTTCTGGGTCGTCGCAGGCTAGGACGACGATCTTCAACCCTGGGAAGTTGTGCTCCAGGAATTCACGAAGGTCCGGTAAGACTTTCTTGTCCGGTCGGTATGTGCCGCTGTCGTTGTCGATGATGAGCTCATAATCCTGCGGCTTCGCGGCAGAAGGATCTCTGCATGGGCCGTCACAACCCTCTTGGGTTGAAGGACGGCTTGATTGGCTAGGGTTAGCATCATCGGACAATTTATGTTTCTTCACTCTCCTGATGAGAAACTCCCCTGAGCAGGCGATATAGATCTGAGCATCACTGTGCATAGTGTGTTTGCTTAGTAGATCGATTCCAAACTCTTTGCCGGTCTCAGTAAAACGCATCAGGCCATCTAAAGTTATGATATATGTGAACACACGCGCGCCTTCATCAAAATGCGCTAATTTCAGGAACTGAAGGCTGGCTTCTTCTGAACAAGGCTTGAATGTGCCCCACTCTGTCGACTTGTCGAAATTATAAATACGTTCGTGTTGGTGATGTAAAGCCTTATTGAGGATATGGCCACGAAGACCGGTGTTACGGAAAAGGAGGCCAATAACAGGTCTGAACTCAACAAATCGATGATAGAGTGCTGGGGGTACGGGACCCTCCAACTGGATTTCATTCGCCTGAAAGTCATATTTCTGTGTCTTCTTCTCCGAGGTTGCATCTTCGGTTGGATCGGCGTCGTGTCCTTGTGAGTCGGCAGCCTCATCTTTGTTGACCTTGATGCCAGTCATACGCCCTATCATAGGCGAAAAGTGCTGAAAGTAGTACGTAGGGCCAACGGTATAAGCACGACCATATGGAGGATCTGACTTTCCGAGTACCATGGCGCTGATATACAGCCTAGGGGTCATCGAAGCATCCTTATGGATGGCGGTGGTAGCGGCCTTGAGAAGGTATGCTCGCTTGCTGCCCATTCGCTTTTTGACAGGGAAGACTCTTCCCGGTGGCGCAAAGCCTTCCCAAGATTCGCTGATATTGTAAACGTGGATGGTGACATTTCCCAAACGGTCATTATGATCACTGTAACAGCTAAGATTAGCAGTCGTCGTGTTGAATTCATTTCAGAAGCTTTTGAGGCATATGAAAGCTTTTAGGATATGATCATCATCTAGGAATGAGCTCCCTCTCACTAGCAAGGAAGTGATTACGAAAACTACTTACGGCCAGTCTTCATCATACAAACGACATTTTAGTCTGAAACCGGAGGCTGGAATATTTGCGACAATCCACTCTTCGTCCCATTGCGGTTCTAGACATCTACGAATAGTACGTGTGCGAAAGACGAGATCAGGATCTTCTTTATGACGCTTGGGGAGCGAGGTAGTAAGGGTGGCTGTAAGAAAAGGATCCGAGGCGCCAGTACTGATATCACCAGTCGGGAGGTTCTCTGCGCGATGGAAGGTGAATTTAACGGTATACCCAGGCGGTGCATCTGGAATAGGCGTCGAGTCAAAACCACCAGCAGGCTTGGTCATATCCTTCACCTTCTGCTTCTGATCCTTGTATTTACTCTTCATCGTCGGACGACGCGCCAAGAGACCTTTCTGCTGGGGGGCTTGGCCATGATCTGGCGGGGCAGGACCGTCGGCGGTCGGGTGTCCATTGTCGGGGTTGATGGCCCCATTGATAGCTGACATTGGCGGCAGATGTGTATGTGTCGGCCGCGCGACCGGCCACGGCGGGGCGTGTAATGAGGGGAGGGCGGGCAAGGCACGCAAGGGAGACGGAGACTGTGCTTTGATGGTCTGGTATCGCCGGTTTCGGGAGGATTGTTGCGGCCAAGATGCGACAAGGTCTGGTGGTGGTGATGGATGATGGAAGCCAAGCCGGCCCGCAGTCGAGCGTGGGCGTTAGTTTTGCTGGGTTATGTCTCGTAGGCGATGCGATACTCGACACCGAGCACTCGACACAAGCTCGAGTGGGTAACGTACGGGCGAATGATAGGATGGCGGGAAATAAGCTTGTTTGAACAGACAGATATAGTGCTAGGTACTTAGTTTTAGACTCGGTAAGCAATTGAGGGCCGTAGGATTCATGAGACAAAGACCGGATCACGTCGTCGCGAAAGAAAGAAAGAAAGATGACAAGGAAAGGAAATCAATTCACGGGTTGTGCCGTAGCTATTAAGCTATAATACCCAGTGAGCAAAGAGCACGAAGCGCCGCATTGTTCTTCGATGTAATTAGGGGAGCTCTAAAAATCGGGGGTATGGCGTAGCCGTGTTGTATATTGGAGAGAGTGGTTAGAGAGGCTTGCTGTGGGCGGACTGTGGGCGGTGGTGCTGTGCCGGACACCCGTGATGCCGGGAAGCCGTGATTATACGTGATGATTCCCAACTGCGAGCAGCAACAGCACCCACCAGCAACCAACTTTTCGGCACCATAGCGCCGATCGACTTGAGGCTATCTTGTATGTACTCTTCATACCCGACGTACCTAACCTACCTACCCTCCAACTGTCAAGCATCGCCCGCCATCTTATCTTACCTTGAGGAAGCTGTTGCCGGCTAATTCCCTAACCTTAGGCAGATAGGTACTGAACTTGAGGTCGGGGCGTTGTTAGCCTGTTAGTCAGGTAGGTACCTAGGTAGGTAGATGGTGAAAAAGTACTGTAGACAACTAAGATGGGGAGAGTTAGTGGCTAGGTACTAAGGTACTAAGTTAGCAACAGGGCTAGAAAACAATGGTTACTTACAGCAGTCAGCGAGGTGCTTATACCAAAGGTTTTTTTTTTCTTTTTTAATACCGATAGTCTGGGTACCTAAGGGAGGCCAACTCGGGTCCTGCTTCCTCCCGGGCCCAGCCAGAATATACCATGCGCACTAAATTGACGATCACAGAGTCCAGTTGCAACGACCATGGAAAAGGGCAGATCTAGTACGATACGTCGCTGTATCCGCTGTCTCCCTTTGGTAGCCAATTGTAGCTTCAACATCGTACTGCAGACAACTCTGTTGGAGGCTGTTGGAGGCGGTCGATCTCGCTGATACCGTATCCACTCGGGACTGTGTTCCATGCCACGCTCTTGATCTCTGCCCGCAAACACTGCTGGAGGCCTCATCATTAAAATTTACAAGATCCGTGCACAACTGTATAGACCTGCTTCGACGAACATTAGCCGCTATGGCCGAGACACCCGTACTATTCCTTGATGGCGGCTTAGGCACGACTCTTGAGGACAGGTACAAAGTGAGCTTCACCGAAGCCACACCTTTATGGTCATCTCATCTCCTACTCTCAGATCGTGGCCGTGAGACTCTGAGTTCATGCCAGCGCGACTTTGCTCGTGTTCCTGTTGACATCCTGCTCACTGCTACCTATCAAGTCTCAAGAGAGGGCTTTGGACGCACGCGAACAGACGCTTGCCCGCTTGGTGTCAACGTTACCGATATCCCCGGATATCTCGATGTCGCAGTGGCCATTGCCGAGCAAGTCAAGCAACCAAACACCAAGATTGCTCTGAGCCTGGGCCCGTATGGTGCCGTCATGACGCCTAGCCAGGAGTACACTGCCCAGTACGACGACGACCACAGCTCCGTCGACAAGCTGTATAAATGGCATGCGGATCGTATGAGCTTGTTTACGAGCATTCCTCGACTTGGTAGCCGAATTAATTTTATTGCATTTGAGACCGTCCCCAAGCTTGATGAAATACTCGCCATCCGGCGACTTACTACGCTCTTCATGTCACAGTCGGCCGACGCGGCCGCTCCTGATGTACTGAAGCGGATTCCGTACTGGATATCGTGCGTATATCCGGGGGGTGCCCGATCTCTTCCAGACGGCAGTAGTATTAGTCAAGCTATTCGGGGCCTGCTAAGTTTAGAATACTCCAAGGATCCTCCGTGGGGTATAGGTATCAACTGTACGAAAATAGCCGAGCTTCCTAGCTTGGTCAGAGAATATGAAATGGGCGTAAGACTTCTAGAAAAGGACAACCAACTCGGCTCTTGGCCATCCTTACTCCTATATCCGGATGGAACAAACGGTGAGGTTTACGACACTACGACAAAGACATGGAAGATGCCCATAGGGCTGACGGAAACTAGCCAGGAGGTAAGCTGTCTCTTGCACCTGCTTATGGACTATACTTGCTATCAGAGACTGATATCGTCACCTGGGCCCCGATCTAGTCTTCATGGGAGCAACAACTGGCAGAAGTTGTCATTCAAGCACAAAATCGTGGTTGCTGGCGCAGTATCGTAGTGGGCGGATGCTGCAAGGCAGCCCCAATGAACATATCCAGGCTTCGTGCCCAAGTCCTCCACCATTCCTGAGAGAAGCCCGCGCCTCACTTGACTTGGAGTACCTGCGCGTAGAAAATCATACGAATGAGGTGAGCTGAGAATGAGTTACTGTTCCATAGTGGGTCAACACGCAAACTGCTATGTAAGCATCACCCACATCGCCATGATTAGCTACATATTGGTTATGCGCATACTACACTAGTAGGTAGGTAGGAAACTGGCTCGACTGGCAGGACTGCTAGTCGGAAGCGAGCTCACTGATTGTTATAATTAATCTTGTCAGATTCGTCGAAGCCTTCATCATCATTTCCGTGGTGGTGAGCAAGATGGCCAGGCTTGGTGAAATTAAGGAGAATGTCCCACATAATGCCTCGCTATCTCGATACGGCGTATGTGTTATATGATAGTATAATTGCATGCCAATTGGTATGCAACCGTTCCCTTGGTCGTCTTCTCACATGCGACCGTATGGAACCCTCCCTGTCAAACGGGTAAAGATGTTTACTATGCGAGTTGACATGCCCCCTATTTCTATACGGCTCCTTCTCTCGGTAATTGAAGAGACCGAGCTGCGATAGCTTCATCGAAGAAGCAGAAACAGCGGAATGCACCAAGCCGAGACTATTCAGAGCAAAGAAAATGCCAAGGGCCGTCAGAAGATGGCCATGACTGATCATGAGATTCTTGCTGCCTATACTTATAGCCGACGGCGAGAAATGACTGATTGGATGACTGTGCCTAGAAGCCATATGAGGCGCCACGCTAGACTCCTCTACAATAGCATCGGTATAAACTCCCCAGTTTGCCATGTGAAATGAAGCCTGAGATACAGAATAGGCCCACCAACACACGATGGTCGGTGGCCGAGTGGGAGGTCGCGATACTACTTACGCAGTCGGGCTGCTCAGAGGCCCATGCTAGTCCACGTCGTTAGCATAAGAACCTGTTCTGTATGTAATCTCGTCTCCAGCTAAAATTTCAGCTGCAACCCTTGACAGTCAGACTTGTGGAGCTGACATTTCAAAGTGCTGGAGAGGCAATGCAGCCTATTCTCGGGTGGCGCCCTATTCCTGTCAGCAACAGGGGGAGCTCAACTCAATCCAGCAGGAGCCCTTGCAGACAGCAGCTCTACCCCAGCGCAGCAATGGCCGACACTCGCTTCTCTCCCCCGAAAGCCGTTGAAGCCGCACCCGCACCCGCATTGGCCCCAACAGCCTACAGAGTGTGTAGTGTACACTGCACATTGGAGGCAATGATTGGCAAACTCACCCTGTAATTGCGAGTTGAGATTCGCTAGGAGATGAGTGATGATATACGACGAAGACAGCAGATAGCATAACATGTGCAAATGAGCGGAAACGAACCGACTCAGTGGCATAACATAGGTGGGCGAGCAGCACGCGTAGTAATGAGGTCACTGCGGGCCTAGCAGTACGCCGATATACCGGTATGTGGTGACCTCGCCTCGTAATGAATACCGCCTGTGTGTTAGTGACTCTGCTAATGCATACTAAACAATCTACAAGAGTCGACGGTTCATGGTTGATAGAGTAGTGCCGGAGAGCGGCGCCGGCACGGCAACAATGGTGATGTCGGTCAACGGGGTCAAGATAAAACAACAACATCACTAGAAAAGAATGGAAAGGATGGCACACGATAATGATGGTTTTGAACACGATCTCTTGTGCAACCTATCTCGATTCATTTGCTCCTCCGCCATCATGATGTGTTCGCATTTGTTAGATCGCCCAGGCTAACCACACTCGCTTGCAATCTTTTTCTTCTCTCTCACTGCAAGGCGAGCCTTGGCTGTCTGTCTTACTACAGCACATTACGCTACCTACTACGAAAATAGTGTACGCTACCTAGGTAGGTAGCACTCAACCATACGATAGTACCTGATCCGGCCTCGCTAGCACACCCGCCAAGGAGCCAGAGGGCCAATAGTTCTCGTGGCCTAAGCGTGAACAGGTGTAGGGCAGGCGAAAGACCCAATGAGAAAGGATTTAGATCATCTCCACAAGAACCGGCCTCATACCGCTGTGCCAGTCGCCTGCATATCTACCCTGGACGACTCTCAAGAAAATAAGATTGCACCTTCAGGTGAGTCTGGGGTCAATTGGCTTCGCTCCCAGCTTCTGGGCCCCTGGGCCGCCAGGTCTCGCTGCTACGGTCATCTCGGAACTTCGCGTGGGTTCCTCTAGTTTAGTGTACCTCGCAAGGATGAGGCTTAGTAGGGGCCGGGGCCACGATACTTGACTTAGTATGGTCAGCCTGGATCTTCCTGGAAAGGGTAGGTAGTCGGAAATACTGGAATAAGCATGTTGTGCGTAAACTGCACGTGTCTACCGGATCCCTGCCCGTCGTAAAAACCCGCGACATGAGCAGGAACATTACACTACCCTCCTCAGTACGCTCCATCCACGACGACGCTAGGGGAGATCCTAGGCGCTGACCTTTGGTGAGGAGCAAAAATAGACGCGCTAATACACGATCGATACGAAGACCCACGATGATGGCGACGATTGAGCCTTGGCCCGTCGACCACGCACCTGCGCAGGCCGCAGGCAATGGGACCAACATGCAGCCAGTGGGCCATGATAGGTCCCGACCTAGCCACGGTTGGGTTGTTTATTAAACCCTCTCAGCTCCCGTCTGTCTCTGTTCACCTACGATCTTCATCCCGTTTGCTCGTCTCACCCTCACTGAAGTCATTCTTTCTTTTCGTTTCGAAATTGAGCAACCATGGTCCGCTTAACCAAGTATGCCGGTGCCGGTATCCTACTGGCCACCGCTGTGAGCGCCACATACGATACCTACCCGACTGGCGGTGACAGCGAGGAGTACCCTACCGAGACCGCGACGGCAACCTACAGCGGTGTTCCTTCGGGATACTCTACTAGCAGCTTCCCGGTTCCCACACCGACTGACTACCCCGGTGATGATGAGTGCCCTCCTGAGGACGACGACGATGAGGACGAGGGTGACGATGATGAATGCCCTCCTGAAGAGTCTGGCTACCCTACCGGCAGCTACTCTGTGACCGCCACTTACAGCTCCGGTCCTTCTGGGTATCCTACTGGCAGCTACCCCGTCCCTACGCCCACCGGTTACCCCGGAGGCGATGACGGAGACGACGATGAGTGCCCTCCCGAAGATGGTGACGACGACGACGAGGGTGATGACGATGAGTGCCCTCCTGAGGAGACCGGCTACCCTACTGAGAGCTACCCCGTAGTTACTCCCACTGGTACCTACAGCTCTGGTCCTTCGGGCTACCCCACCAGCAGCTACCCCGTCCCTACCACCACTGGTTACCCAGGTGGCGACGACGGTGATGATGATGAATGCCCTCCTGAGGACGGAGATGATGGAGATGACGGAGACGACGACGAGTGCCCTCCTGAGGATGGTGACGGCGATGACTACCCTACCGGTAGCTACCCTGTCGTTACCCCTACTCCCACCGGTACCTACAGCTCCGGTCCTTCTCCTACTGGCAGCTACCCCGTTGTCACTTCTACCGGCTACCCCGGTGGTGACGATGGTGATGATGATGAGTGCCCCCCTGAGGACGGAGATGATGGAGATGACGGAGACGACGACGAGTGCCCCCCTGAGGACGGTGACGGTGATGACTACCCCACCGGTAGCTACCCCGTTGTCACTCCCACCGGCTACCCTACTGGCGGCGACTCTTACCCTACCGGCGGTGATAGCTACCCAACTGGTGGTGACTCCTACCCTACCGGAAGCGACTCCTCATCCGTCGCTTACCCTACCTCCTCGGGCTACCCTACCGGAGGTGACTCCTACCCAACTGGCGGCGACAGCTACCCTACTGGCTCTGCTTCATACCCCGGTGAAAGCAGCAGCTCTGCCGGCCCTACTGGTGGCGATTCTTACCCTACCGGCGGTGATTCTTATCCCACTGGCGGTGATAGCTACCCTACCTCCTCCGCCTCTCCCACCGGTGGTGATTCCTACCCTACCGGAGGTGACAGCTACCCTACCTCATCTGCTTACCCAACCGGTGGTGACTCTTACCCCGGTGAGAGCAGCAGCTCTGCTGGCCCTACTGGCGGTGATTCATACCCTACCGGTGGCGATAGCTACCCTACTGGTGGTGACAGCTATCCTACTAGCAGCTACCCCGGTGGCTACACCAGCGCCATCCCTACTCTCTCTACCTCTTACTCCGTCTCTCCTATCCCCGTCACCACCCCCAGCGGCTACCCTACCGCCTCCGAGTCCAGCCCCGCTGCCACCAGCACCATCGCCACGGCCGGTGCTTCGGTCCTTCGCGCGGGTGCCACTGGCGCCGTCGTTGCTGCTGCCGCGTTCTTCCTTGGTTTCTTTTAATTTCGTTGCATAATGGATTTGGGAGTGAATTCCGCATAGCGTCTGGGCAATCATTGGGATGGGCATAGAAAGGTCAAAAAGACAACCACACATAGTCGTTCTCTTTTATTAATGGTCGAATTAGATTTACAAACACGCAGACAAGTTTTCCAACATTGAAACACTTCTTGGTCCTACCTTTACTCTGCCCATCCCCGTGTGGCAGATGTCTTTCGCGGCAATTCTCACCCTTCCAACTGTTTAGATGTTTAATGTTTTAGTCTTCTAATGTAAATATTTTGAGCTCTGTTTTTAAGAGTCACTCGCTCCTGTGCCACGCTCCTTTGTGAATATATCCCCCTCCCGGCAATTTGTTTAGATTTTATAGATTGTTCTATATACAAACAGTTAAGATTCGCTTGATGTTGACTACTACACAGGCAATAACTCAAGCTGTAACATGATACTTTCTTTCTGTAGTCGCCTTTCGAGGCTGTTATCACCATAAATCAAAATTTTGGCCTGCAAATTTCTCGTTCCTACCGAGATGGTGATTATAAATGTGAGTGATGATCTCTTAGTCAAGAAAACAAAAAATCTGCGATTTAGCCAATCCAATCTGTGACGAGCATAGTATCACTTACATGACTAAGTTAACACTTTTCATCGGTCGCGAGATTACCTAATGGGATCTTTTCTTACTTGGAAACGATCTACATATATCATGGGAGATTGTCCATTTGAAAGGATTTTGGTTATTGCAAGGAAATAATGCCCACTCACTAAGGTCATTGAGGTGAGATTTTCATTAGCACAGATGCATGCTAATGCCTTAGATGAGAACGTTTAATACTCACTAAAAAGCTTACTTACATCGACATATCCCCAAACCCCGGAAGGAACGGTACTTTGAGTGGTTCACACGTGATGCGACAGCTCGTGGAATGGTGTCGCGTGACGAGTTAGGCGAGTTACCGAAAGGTAATACATAGCGTGATACTAGGTAACATGATGAAAGAAGGCCCCTCGTCTGATTTAGTTTATCTCCCGGGGGATCCGGAGTTCTCTGCGTTATTCGCTGACATGTCTCCGATATAGGCCAACTGTTGATCAACAATGACTCAAAGGGAGATCTCGACAGTGCTGCCTTTATCTTGCATCTAGCAGACATCCAATTGGATAATTGAGTCTTCATCTGCCGGGCAGAACCCGATGAAACCGGCATCTCGCGCCTAACGGATGGAACCGTTGTGTCGGCCTATTTGTGGAGTGTGACAAGGCTGCATCGCGAAATGGCTCGAATGGAACATGATCGGATGCTCCTAGTAGCAAGAGGCAAGGGGCCATGTACCGAAAGACCGAAGCGGCGTGTTGGGCCTTATTAGCTTTGGGCACTTGCTCCGCGCTTTGTAAGCGGGAAATTTTGAAAGGGCAGAAGGCGTGATTTATCAGGCGATCAAAAGCAGGCTGCAGATGCGCCGTCATAACAAGCAGCTCGTCGGACAGTTCGGAAATACTATAAGCGGACCTAAGTAAGCCAAAATGGAAAAAATGTTGGCCAACTGGCAAGGCCCCGTGGTGAAACTCTATTGCTATTGCGGGAACCATAAGAGATGCGCTGGCGCCGTCCCTCTGCTGCGTGCTGTCACTTCAAAGTTTTCTTCTTTTGTTCTCGCTCCTGTGTCGATACGAGGAACACCTAATACCCAAAAATCACAATGACGAATGAATAGGTACCTAATACCACTGCTGGCAACGAACAACAAAGACCTCTCATACCTACATCCACTTCGAGCGGGCTGCTTATGCGAATAGGCTGATTGGGGGTTATTCTATCACACAGCACACTCATCTCCAATGGCGGCAGTAACGGCGCCACTGCGCATACAGGAACAGAGGCAGAATGTCCATGATTCAGCCGACGCATTCAAGTTAAATGGCCGAACTGACAGCAGCGATAGCTCGCGGACCAGCGATATCAGTGCTGAAAAGACTAGAATAAAGGGACAGCCTATTCGGAAATCCGCAACCAAAAAGAAAGATGAAGTTGCCAGTGACTATGTGGTTGACCGTTCGGTATCGCCCAATAGACTCAAGACATTCCTCAAAGCATTCAAGCACATCCGCGACCTCAGTCCACAGCAAGTAGATGCCTTCATGGCATCATATGAGATCTACAACCTGGACTGGGCCGATGAAGACGCTATGGTAGCCGCGTTCGGTACTAATTACCAAGAGCACGTCGGCCAATGCCTTGCAGCTTATTACTCGGTGATCAATCACCTCTGCAGCCTCGGCGACGTGGAAAAGATGTATATACCACCATTGATGGATAAGAAGGCCTCCGTACGGGATAACCAGCTGCTTTGCGAAGAATCGATTGCCAGGGAGATTGGCTTGAAACCGGGAATGAAGGTCCTTGACCTAGGCTGTGGTCGTGGTCGTGTCGCCGCGCATATGACGAGCTTTAGCGGAGCGAGAGTAACTGGGCTTAACAGTGAGCAATATCTGCTTTCATCACCTACCCACTAGATCCGATTTCTCAAGAAATACGTGTTGTTGTAGCATACACCTCACACGATTCGTACTACTTGAATGTCTCCAATACACAGGGGTTTTGGGGGTTCTACCTGCTGACGTCTAATTATTGTAGTTGACGCCAATCAAGTCGCACAAGCCAAGGAATTCAATCAGAAATGGAACTTCAGCAACGAATTCATAGTCCGCGATCAAAACGACCTACCTCTCCCCTTTGCGGACGAATCGTTTGACGCATTCTACGAGATCCAAGCGCTTAGTCTCTGCAAAGACCCAAAGGCATTATTTAAAGAGATATATCGGATACTAAAGCCCGGATCGAGATTCTTGCTTATGGACTGGGTCAGCTTACCCGCCTATGACCCTGAGAACCCTACACATACCTCCCTCATGCGACGGGTCAAACCATTAATCGGGGCCGTCGGAACACCTACACCAACAAGTTTTGAGAAAGCCCTCGAGGACGCTGGATTCACTGTGACCCGCTCTGACAACCCTAGCATCGACGGCTTACAGGCAGGGCTGATAGATAAAGTCGACATATACTTCCGTTCGGTACGCAAGTTGATCAACTACTTGACAAAACTGCGCGCCCTGCCACAGCACTTCAAGATTCTATTTGATAGACTATGTCTAGACGGACAAGCATTCGTGGAAATGGACACTATGCGCCTCATCACGACGACATACCGAATCGTCGCCGAGAAGCCCTTAATAGCCCAGTCTTGATACTTATCTAAGAGCGGATGATGTCTAGACGCACTTCGATTCGCCGCATGTATGCGGCTAACTAGATATATTTCCTGATTCCTCTATTGCCCTTACAATAATTCCAAAGAGAGACCTGGTATAACATAGACTTTGGAGGCTGTTAGAGAAGACATTGTATAGTAGAAAGGTGGCGAGATAGTCGTTCCAAGCGAATCTCGCAGTCAATTAATATCGTATGAATTACCGCTTTGCGCATTCAAACCTTTGCATTCAACTTCAATACTGCTTAATGGGCCGCGTGTTTTGATACTGATACCTACTTGGGCTGAAAGTTTCCTGTTTACGCACCTAGAAAACGCTAGATTCGTCTCGAGTATCATCATTCCATCGTCACAGTAAAGCTAACAAATTGGCTAGCTGTTGATTACAGACCAATATGTCTGATAAATACCATCCGCTTGCAGTGCGCCGGCTTTGTTGCAAATAGCTTAGCTCAAACCCCTCCACAACAAAGGGCGGGTGTCTCATCCAAGGCATCGACTAACAATCTATTTCTGGCTTTGGCAAGGGAGCTTCAGTCTTCCAGCTAGGATCTCGCGAGGCTGAGTGTTACCTGTAAAGTGGCCAGACAATGATTGATGCTGGAGATACCTTTCACTAGTAATAGTTTATCTTGTGACAACTCACTCCCAATGTCCGACACGACACTGAACCAAGCGCTAGCGACGGATGAACCGAGGCAGGACACTACGAAGGGGGGATGTAGGTAGCAATGTTGACGAACCAGAGGCCCCGAAACGTCAGCGTTGTCTGCATGCGAAGCGCGCCCAGAGAGAAATGTCGTCGCGGAGAACAACACGAACGGAGGCACTAGTAAATTCTAGGATTGGAAGTCGCGTTAATAATGCTACATTCTCCGTTGATAGCGTGAACAGCGATGACGACGATGAAGAAGGTGGGACTCCTCTTGGAGACTTCGCCTCAGCAACACCACCTCTCGATGATATCAACGCTGCGCTCCCAAGACGCAATGATGATCAGCCACACAACTCTAACAAAAAGATGCTGGATGCATTGAACAATTTCCCGTCTTTGCCTAACAGCAAGCTCAACGCGACGCGTATCCTTAGCTGGTTTCTTGGTCGTCATCTTCAGCTGACCGATGATAACTCAACATGCAATTCAAGATCTCGAGCACGCACGTATGAATCAAATGCACATGACGACTACTTCGACATTGGAGACGTAAAGGATATATGTCCGGCATGCACGACCCCGTATTGTCAAGCGGTGGATTCCATACCTTTCAAAAGCAGTCTGAAACTAATGTACAACGACTCTATATCTCAGAAATGGCTCGTCGGAAACAAATATGTTCTGCATGAGGAGGTAGACGACCATCCTGAAGACAAGTACGTACCACTTGTTGAGGCTTCGCGGGCACTGAACACATTAGCATGCAACGTACCCACCCCGAAAGTCCGAGCAGGCTGGAAAGAGAACGGCAAGGTGATCACCATATGTGACGCCGTTTCCGGCGAACGTCTTTATGACATATGGTGGGATCTATCGTCCGAAGAGCGAGAAAGCATAGCTAAACAAGTTGCTCGATACATCGAAGCCTGGCGTACAACTGATCTCGGACGAATCTCCAGTCTCACGGGCGGGCCCGTGTACCACCATGACAATCTCTTCGGCGCCACGGACAAAGGCTTTGGACCGTTCGGGTCTGATCTTGAGCTCTGGGAAGCCATCGAGAGACGGCTCGAGAAGCGGGGCGCGTCAGGAGATATGATTCAACTCCTAAAGGACTACATGCCGTCTTCCTCACCCTGCGTCTTTACCCATGGCGACCTCTCCAGCACAAACATCTTCGTGCACAACGGCTCAGTGAGCGCGATCACGGGTTTTGAAAATGCTGCCTCTCTGCCTCTCTGGGCCGAGAACGTCGCGATGCACTTCTGCAGCTGTCCCGAGGACGAGCAGTGGAAAGAGCTGCTTAGCCAGCACACGCGCAACTTCCGCGCCGCGCTAGACTGGTGGTCTCTCTGGACAGCAGTTGAGGACGCAGACACGGATAGCGCGCGTCTAGAGAGTCTACGAACGCGTTGCGAGCGGTGGAGGAAAACTGAGATCCACGGCGAGCCGTTCTGGTCCATTTGGCTTGGCCATGAAGGCGGGCCGTCTAAGCGTCTGAATATCCAGACAGCAGAGAACGCAGTCGAAGCGCGCGTGGGAGATCTAGTTAGGCAGGCCATCGCGTCAGATCTCCTACAGCAGGGGAGTTACGAGGATGTAGCGGGCGATCCATCATGGGGAAACAGCACGGAGGAAGATGACGAGAACGCGGAACGCAAGCCTGCAGAACACGGTCTAACGCCCTTCCATCCGATACAGCAGCAACACCACACGCTCGTGACATCCGCGAACAGACCGCCGCGCCATACCCGTAATGCTCTAAGCAGGGCCGACAGAAGAAAGATAAATCCGAAGCCGTTGACACTAGATAATCTCCATCTTTCCGAGAAGGAGGCAAGACATAGCTATGCCGCGATGATAGAAAGCGATTTCTCGGACCCATATGAGTGTAACCCGGACGCCGAGTCCAGCGACGCGCCAAGCATCGGAACCCTCGCGAAGAGCAAGGGTCTGCGCCCGCTAAGCCTGCCTTCTATCGCACTATCCGAGAGTGCGCGGAGCCAGCTCCGGCGCGCAGGCGAAGAAGACAAAGGCACTGTTATCGGCACCGAGGAAATCAACACTCATCCTTTGATATCCGTGCGCGAAGCCGACGGTGATACACCGGGTTTTAAGACAGAGGATCAAGCTAAAGAAAAGAGGGGAGAAAAGGAACCACACAAGCCATCATCACCACGGACGAAGCGCACGTCAATGTTCGGGAATCGGGCCGCGCCGGGTTCGTTCTACGCTGCGCTCAGTGCGGCGTCGACGGAAGTCAGGCCGAGACGACATGGGCGGAGCAAGTCCGAGGGACGAACCGGTGGTGGTGATAATGTGCGCAGGGAGACGAGTCGGTTACGGCCGCAGAGTATGCTGCAGCCGGTGATCCAAGACAAACGGGATGAGGATGATAGGAACTCGGAATCAGGGGATGAGAAACCAAAAGACTATCTGATGTCAGGGGCATATCAAGGCTAGACTTGATAGAATAGTATTCAATTGCTTTAATTCTATAAAGTAGGGGGAATAGGCTAAGAGGTCCCGAGTGAACTAACTGTTTATACAGCTATTCACAGCTTATGCGCTTTTTGCCACTAGATGCCAAAACACTTTTCTCCTGAAGAAGCAGATCCCTTGCTTGCGATGATTAGAGGAGATCCTGATCCCACCCAGTATAGCCCTATATAGAAATGCAAGTCAGTGATTGTCTAATTCAAGTAGCTGAGGCGAAACCTTTTCGCGGACAAGAAACCCCGATTCAAGAAACTCATGCGTGTCCCCAGAATGCAGAGAATGCCGGCGCACTTACAGTGTAGTGGGTTTCGTTCCGAGTCCCCATCAGTTCCAGCTTGAACAAGTCCGGGTTCCATTCGTGAAAGCCAGATTCGGAGACAGCGCTCGACGCCGGCGTGTAGACAATCACGAGCCGATAGCGGCCTTCGGCGCCGGGCCGAGACGGGTCCTGGCGGAATTGCCATCGAACGGTCCCGTCGTCGCACTTGGTGAACGGAACGTCTGGGAGTTTGGCATCCGAGGTCTTGTCGGAGTAATGGCAGCGCGTGCTCACTTCGTCTTTAATGGCGAAGTGGAATCCGATACTTTGTGAAGCACGCCAGTTAGTTTGAAATAGAATTATTGCAATGCTATCTGCATAGAGGAAGGGTGCTAGCAGGTCACCGAGGAATTAAATCTGAAAATGACTTACCTAGCGCCATCGTCATTCACAATAGTGCTCGCGAAAAATTCGCTGATTGTTGCTATTGTGGTCTGCCTCTTGCCAACAGGTGAGGCCGTGGCGCCGAGGAGGAGCGTGGTGAGAACGGCGAAGTACTTCATATTGCTCACTTGTACGAATATTATAACCTAATAGGAGCTGTCTGGCGCAAGATATCCAAACTTGCTAATGAGATTCAATTGAGATTGAACTGTCTATATAAGATACTAGCTGAGACAAGAGTCAAGTACCAACTATTTATATACGAGCTTCTCCTTTGTCAGCCAAGGGAGAAGTCGCGAGCTAATAGGCGCTGCCACCCTCAGTCGCTTCTTCGGATCGATCAGGTCACACCCGTACAAAGGAAGCCAAGCGCGATATCGCGAAATGACGGCATAGCCAGCCTGCCACCGGGAAGCAGCGGCTCAGCTCATAACGCAAGGGATAGAGCCGCAGTGCCGAATACGAAGGAAAAGAAGGCCAGGCCCGGCTGTGTTTCTATTATAGGACTTTGGCAGGACTTGATAGACGGCCACCACGTGGTAGGGGCGTGGAAAAGATCTGACGATAATACGCCGTATCTTGGCTGACTACGGCCTGGCATGAGTTTCCTCGTGATGCACTCGTCAGAAAACGTCATCGCATGTTTAGAAATTCAGCTCGTGAAGGACATGCTCATTGATCGCCCTATAGGCCCTCTGCTTTTACGCGGCGAGGTCGTACGGCGTGTGTCGCAGAATTGGATGATAGGTAGGGACCCCTATTAAGAAGTTAATATTATTATGTAATGGATGTAACTCGGGGCCATTTGTGTGAGGATTGACACAAGAATTTGTTTAGAATACGATGATTATCGAGAACAGACATTTTCGTATTGTTCCATCCAAGATCGATCAGAAGCATAATAAGCTGTGAAGAGGGTGTCATTGAATGAGGATTTACTGATCAGACACTGGGATTGAGTGCATTCATCGGCATGCAGAATGAGAGTGCATCGTCGAGGTCTAGCTATAGCAAATCCACTTAAGTCGTCAATCATCCGCAAAGCGTTCGATTCATAGGACGCAGCAAATGACTTGCTGCCGGGTACCAGTAACAGATACTAGACTAGCATCAAATGAATTGAGATCTAGAGCGCGAAGGCAAGCGGGTTTGTCGAAGCATGCGACAATAAGTATGTATGGTACGATCCATGTTGTTGCGCAAAGCGTTTATTGTCAGTCTCTTCCGACCACTAACCATTCGAAAGACTCGCACGTCCTCGTGGTTCTAGAAGTGTAGTGAGTGGTCTGGACATTCGTATCTGAGCATAAAGCCAAGTACGTTGCATTGCAGTTAGCAGATGCGCGAGTTTCTCGCAAGAAGATTTCTGCTTCAAAGTAGATAGTCATCGCAAGCTCTCTTATATATATAGCAGCGCCTGAGCTAGAGTGAAGAATACTACGTAGTACATAAATGTAGAAGTAAAGTCGAGGGTGGCTCATACATAGATAAGTTCCGCCGACAACGGACGGGTGGGTGGCTGGGATAAGTTCGCAACCCAGGTCGTTTTACTTAGGCACCGTTCTGGACTCTCCCAACCCCATCTCCCGCATACCCCGGATGCTTACTTACTATTCAAGCCGAAACTGCCGTAGTCTAAATGCCGAAAGGGTCTGGTCTGGCCAGTGCTTCCGTCCAATATGGACGTTACATGAAGTAAGCAGACGCGCAGTCAACCCCTGCGACTCGCGCATTCAGCTCCTATTTTGCTGAAGGAAGCACATACACACCCAACATTCGGTTCATCCCCCGCATCCAACAATACTATGATTGGCTAGGGCCCCGGGGCCCTGGGAGCTTGCGTTGTCTTCATAGGAGGGCCTGCGAAAGCTTGAAGGTTCCAATGCAACCTCATGATCACAGACAATAGGCGGGCAGGGGTTCTAATATGCCACCAGACCGTGGTTCTACTTTCAGCACAGTACCAGCAAATGGGTATGGGCCGCATAGCGGTGAATGAATCGGCGGATAAGAGATCGTCAAAATCACCGACCACAATGATCCCTTTGTTCACTTCTCACAATCCTGCTTCCGGCTTTTTGGATACCACATGAGGCAGGGTGCACTGGCAATTAGACTGAGTGAAGAACACCACGATTCTCCGGCATCTCCTCAGCACAAGATTGACGCGCATAGTCATTCACAATGGCGGAGCAGGACTCCCCCGTCGACGTGGAGAAGCAGAACCAACCCCTCAGCGAAGAACACGAGGGGCAAAATAGCAAAGAGACAACCTCTTCCACGGTCCGCGGCTCGTCCGCGGCAGAGAAGGCCCTTCTGCGGAAACAAGACAAACGCATCATCCCTCTGAGTGCGTCGATTTACTTTCTCGCCTACCTCGACCGATCCAACATCGGCAATGCCAAGGTCCTCAATTCGTCCACGGGCAACGACATGATGACGGAGACGCACACTACGAATTACCAGTTCACTATCGCCTTGATGATTTTCCTTATCGGCTACTTCTTGTTCGAAGTGCCCTCTAACATCCTTCTCAAGAAGTTCCGGCCATCTCGATGGCTGGCTTTCTTGATGGGTTCTTGGGGTCTAATTACCATTGGCATAGGTGGCGTTCATAACTACTCGCAGATCGTGGGGGTCCGTTTCCTGCTGGGTGTTTTTGAGGCGTAAGTCTTTCGCCTGTTTAGCCGCCCACTATACTATCGTAACATTCACGATTCGCTGACCGCAGTATCACAGCGGACTCTTCCCGGGCTTAGTCTATTACTTGACATTCTGGGTAGGTGTCTCGTCTGTTTCTGATTTGTCGACAACACGATCCGGGAATTGAGTCTGACAGCTCACGCTGACTGTTTCTCTACTTGTAGTACAAGACAGATGAACGTAGTGTGCGAGTCGCCTTCATCCTCTCCAGTGCTACCCTGGCGGGCGCCTTTGGCGGGGCTATTGCTTACGGCGTCGGCCACATCAACGGAGTTCGTGGACTATCTGGATGGCGATGGCTGTTCATTCTTGAGGGCATCCCTTCCGTTCTCTCGTCACTATTCGTATGGTTTCTCCTCCCGGACTACCCAGAGACCGCGAACTGGCTCTCTGAGAACGAAAAAGAGCTTGCGACGCAACGCCTCCTTATCGATGGCTCTAAAGGATCGGCCTCCGGTCTCACCTGGGCAGATGCTAAGGAGACCTTGATGGATTGGAGGCTATATGGACATTATGCGATTTACTTCGCTGTGTCACTTCCTTTCAGCTCATTGTCCCTCTTCACACCTTCGATCGTCGCAGGGCTCGGATACAAAGATCTCCATGCCCAATTGCTAACAGTCCCTCCCTGGGCTATTGCTTATGGTATGACTCGCAGACAGGTCAATATGCTCTAATGCTAACGAACATAGTTATTTCAATCCTTAATTCGTGGTCGGGAGATCATTTCAATGCTCGCGGTCTCCATTGCGCAGGTGCTGCGACAGTTGGTGCTGCAGGTTTCCTAGCATCTGCACTCTTACCAGCTACTGCTTATGCAAGTCGGTACGGTACGCTGATTGTGGGCACTTCGGGCGCCTTTGCATGTATTCCTCCAATGTTAGGCTGGCTTACCTCAAACATGTTCAGCACTGCGTCAATCGGGCTGGCTGTTGCTCTCAACGTAAGCATAGGCGCCGGATTGGGCCAGATCCCAGGTGTCTGGATTTATAAAGCCGACGAGGCTGCACGCGGGTATCCGACAGGCCATGGCGTCAATGCTGCCATGTTGTTCTTTGTGGCAATCGGTGCTGTGTGTTTGAGATTGTTCTATGGGGCTAGAAACAAGCAGATTGTGAGGTCTGCCCCTGAGGGCACGACACCTAGGTTATACGCACTCTAAAGAAGTTTCTAAAGAAGATTAGTTAGGTTGTCCGATTTTGATACAGTATATGGAATCATTAGCATACTACAGTAATAATTGTGCGCTTGAAACTGTGTTCGTTAAACAAATCGGTAGGCTGGTCGGCATCATTGTTCCGCATCCGGCACGCGTGGGATCTTTGTGAATCTAGGCTACACTCCGCGTTGATTACAGTATATGCCGGATGAGTTGTACCAAGCTTGAAAGCAGAAAGAGATCACATACACGTAGTTAGCCGATTGTCACGCAATACATACAATATGCGGATCTGGTAGGTAGCCCAATCTGAACAGGTGGCTCCCATCAAGCTCTCCAAGCCACCCCATGGGCAAGGATCTCTAGATCCGTGCAGTACCCCGTGGAACCCCGCAATGCAACGTACTGAGAAGGGCGCTCGCTGGTTCTATAGAAAGTGGACTTCACAGGATAGATTGCCGTGCTGTAGCCAGGGTTCTGGTGCAGTAGTGCATATGATAAGGCGGTTTAACGGGAAAGGATAATGTCGTTCTGGGAACGGGTTATAATCAAAAAGTTGACGGGCCCCAATTCTCCCACCCGATAATTCTGTGCACGATCAGTCAAATTCACCGTGAGGAGAAAGGTCTCGAAACAGAACAAAAAATGCATCTATACGGCTTAGGGCGAATCTTGGTAGTTCGCCTCGTCCTGCTAGCTGTCTCGGTCGCGTCGTCTACTCAAGAACGGAGACAGAATAGCGCCAGTTGTAATGAATTGATACTTGCTAAGGTTCTGCCAGCCAACGCGAGAATCGAGCGGGTGCAGGCCATAGAGGCCGGAAGTACGTACGGGGATGGGACGGCAAACCTGGGCTATCCTATCCAGCCTACAGATCTACCTGCACTATGTGCCGTGACGGTTGCGGTGGCAAGTTCCGCGACTTCATCATACCGGATCGGCCTTTTTCTCCCGGCCGAGTGGAACGAGAGATTCCTCGTGGTTGGGAATGGCGGTTTTGCTGGTGGCATCAATTGGCTTGACATGGGTGCCGGTGTGCAGTACGGCTCCGCCGTCGTCTCAACAGACACGGGACACAGCTCGAACACCACGGATGGAACCTGGGCACTTGACAACCCCGAAGGAAAGGCTGACTGGGGCTGGCGTGCGATCCATGGTTCTGTAGTTCTAGGAAAGTTGCTAGTGCAGGCGTATTACGGACGTCCAATTAGTTACTCGTACTACAGCGGGTGCTCGACCGGCGGCCGCCAGGGGCTTAAAGAAGTGCAGCTATTCCCAGGCAGCTTTGACGGCGTCTTGGTCGGTGCTGCGGCGTGGCAAACAAGCCACTTGAACAATTGGGCGACGAAGGTTGCAAGCTACAACTGGCCAGCCGACGATGAGAAACATATCGACTGGCGACTGCTACCGGCGATAGGAGCTGAAGTTGTGAAGCAGTGCGATAACATTGACGGCGTGGTGGACAACATCATTAGCCTTCCAGGACAGTGCAAGGTAGACTTTGAGGCATTGTCTTGTGAGAGACCCGGTGCCAATCAATCTGCCTGCATCACGGCTGCACAGGCACAAACTCTGAAGAATGTATACAGCGACTGGAGATCACCGACAGGTGAACTCCTGTACAAGGGCATATTGCCAGGTGCTGAGGATCAGATGTATTTGGTACTGAATTACTCGAGCGCAAGTCCTTACGGCATCGGATATGCGCGGTATTTCCTACTCAATAACGTATCGTTCACCTTGACTGATTTCAATGATACTTTGGTATCATTAGCGGATAAGATAGACCCTGGGAATGCTACAGCGGATAACTACAACCTCACAAGGTTCCGTGATGGGGGTGGGAAGATGATCATGTACCACGGCGAGGCTGATGCACTCGTTCCCCTACAAGGTTCGAACCTATACTACGATCGCGTTGTGAAAACCATGGGTGGCGATGTGACAGCAACTCAACAGTTCTTTCGGTACTTCACCGTTCCGGGAATGCAGCATTGCATGGGAACGCCCGTAGGTATGTGATCTTTTGAACATGTGGGCTTATTCGCGGTCTTATCCTGCCCCAAGGCACAGAATAGCCGGTTTTTTTCTTACTGCTCGCCAACAATCACTTTATTCGGCGGCTTGCCAAGTTTGATAGTTGCTAACACCTCATCTCTGAAAAGATGCGCCTTGGGCGTTCGGCGCAGCCTCCCAGGCGTCTGCTTTCGGCAACGACACATGGTCGGTCCCCGGGTTCAAAGACGCACAGCACGATATCCTTCTTTCGCTTATGGAATGGGTAGAAAAGAACGTTACTACCGATCGGGTAGTGGCTACCACTTGGAACACACCCAAAAACGCGTCCTCGGGGGTCTTGAGACAACGACCCTTGTGTCCCTATCCTCAAATGGCTAGATGGGACGGAACTGGCGATCTCAACGCGGCGGCCAGTTGGAGTTGTGGGTGAGTGCATATATAATCCCTAGCCCGAGATCGAGTTCACGGACTAACATCTCGGCCAAAAAAAAGTGGCGATGTCCGCACGAGTGCTGCTCCAACTAGTGACGCGCACCGTATGTTGTGGCAGTCGAGCGTGACTCTGTTGGCGATAGTCGGTGTGTTCGCTTCAGTTAATAGATTGTCCAGGTATATGATATTCTGAATAGAGCAGGGCTACTAGAGCTTTGGGGCGTAGCTGGTAGTAGTTGTGGGAAGCCATATCTATATTACCTAGGTAGTCGAGTCAAGATGATCCCATGACCACGAGACCTGACTCTAGCACCATCTCCTCGCCAGATCAATAATACCTATCTTTGCATATTTAACTTCTGACGAGATGTTGCATATGCTAGTAAAGGGCTTACCCCCTTAACGCAGCCGACTAGTACCGGGGATCTGGTAACAGTTGGGGACAGCTTCAGGCATCCTTGGCCTCTATAGTCATTCGCAGGCCTGTGAGTTCACATGACTACTATCCATGGTCTTCGTAGCCAACATATATAAGTTGGTTTCATGTCTCAGGACGAACTGTTTGTTCGGTCTCAGGTTTATCTCACCTTTTCCTATCATTATTGAGTGATCAAAGATAGAATACTACGTAACTCGAAGGATTGACCACTATCGTTACACCCGCATCCACGTCCCCGAACTCAGCACAAGCCGCCATGGACGCGGTTACCAAGTGTTTCAGTTCGCCAAACGAGTCAACGACCACAGCGGTTGTTGTCACCACCGTAGTCACCACCTTGGCGATAGCCTCGCTCACGCGTTTTGCGCTCTGGCCGCGCAAGCCCGAGATAATCAAAGGCGCTCTCACCACAAGCGTACCGAGACTGTCCAAGGATGAGCTGGCTAAAGCTGCATATCGGATAGACCATTTCCCTGGAGCAAGAGATGTTGCCACCCCAGTGCGTTCTCCATTAGGCGTATAATGCTGCGTTTGCTGCTTGCTAACGTCAACTATGTGCAGTATGGTAACATAAGAGTCTATGAGTTTGGCCCTGAGCAGGGGCGAAAGGTCCTCTTCATTCATGGCATCAGCACGTCATGCATGACGCTATCGGATATCGCGAACTCACTAGTAGAAAAAGGATGTCGTGTGATGATGTTCGACTTGTTCGGGCGCGGATACAGCGATGCGCCTGGTGATCTACCATATGACACACGGTTGTTCGTGTCGCAAATCCTACTCGTCCTTGCGTCTTCACCACTGTCATGGACGGGAAACAATGCATTCAGTCTCATCGGATACTCTCTAGGTGGCGGTATCGCGGTTAACTTTGCCGCCACTTTCCCAGATATGGTCGAGTCTCTCATCTTGCTCGCACCCGCGGGAATGATTCGCCCAGAAAATATCGGTCGCTTGAGTAGGCTGATCTTCACGTCAGGGCTCGTCCCTGAGCGTCTCCTAGCTTGGATGACTAAAAGCCGGCTTCGTTCTCCTATTGACAACGCTGTTTCGAAGAAGCGGTCCACAGCAACCAAAGCGCTATCGCCTGCCGAAGATAAGGAAGACTTCGTTGACGTCGCAGTGCAAGAGGCAGTAGATCCACCTACACAACAAAACCCAACACCTTTCGAGCTTGAGGTAGTCAGCTTCGTCCACTGGTCCCTTGATTATAACGAGGGTTTCGTTCCGGCAATGATGTCGACCATTCGATACGCACCCCTCATGGAACAACAAGAGTATTGGAGACTGCTCGCTAAGCGGAAGCCTGGGACCACAGCCGTACTGATAGGACATGATGATAACCTTATACAGCGCGAAGATTATGAGGAAGACGCTTTGCCCTTAATAGGAGGTAAGGATAACGTGTTTTGGCGCATCGTACCAGGCGCGCACAACTTTCCATTCACACATCCTTCATCTGCGCTGAAAGCAATCTATGAGTTTTGGGGTATGAGCTAAAGGCCGAAACGATCTGGGATGAGACTCGGTCAGCGGTTTCCTGGCGTTGCAGGGGCATGTCGCATCATTAAACGTACTTGGGAATAGAATAGATTATGAGCGGGGGGGCGATAGAAGTTCACAGTGAATTAGAAGCAAGACGGGGAAAGATGAGAAGGTCTCATTAGATCGTAGGTGGTTTTATTCATACAGAACACAGCCCTCCCATTATAGAATCATCAATAGATACAAATTAATTTAAGGAAACGCCAAACCTAATCCCTTGCCAGTACCGTCTCTCCATGAAGAGTATTATTTACATCCAAATCATTAATAATGGAAAGAAATCCCGCTTCTCTCCCGGCCCACTCATGCATCCATAGCATCACGGCCATTCAAAAGGATGATGCAAGTCGACACGGCAACAACATCATCTAGCTCGTCTCCGTTAAGAACAAGCACGGCATCTTTATCAAAGCCGAAGCCAGCCACGCGCGCAATCTCGACGCGCTGCTGGTTCAGGCACTTGTACAAGATGCCGACGCGACCGCGTGTCATATCCCAAAAGTACGGGATGCTGTTCTTGACGAAGGCCTCGTGCTTCGCCTCGTCGTTGCCGTTGTCGTCCACGGGATACATCTCGATGTGGTGGCGCGAGTGCTGGCTGCCCGGCGGGAACTTCACCGTCGAATTGTCGAACGACACAAATGTAATGTTGAGGTCGCACAGCTTCTGGCCTTGGGAGTCCGTCATCGTCTTGATTGTGCGCATCATGTTCCCGCAGCTCGAGATCTCGTACGTCGGGCTGCCACTTCCCTCGCGCATCTTCTGTGATACTCCGCTCACCTCGTCTAGGAAGGCGTGGCTGAAGTCGTTCCACGGCTGGCGCAGACGGCCCGACAGGTCGTAGATTTGCGCATTCGTCTTGAAATGGATCGCGCCCTTTAGATAGAATGTCTTCGTCGGCTGCAGGACGACATCCTGGTTGACTGGGAAATCCTGAGGGTGGAAGGGGTACGGCATGATGCTGAATAAGAATGACGCCGCTAGCCGATCGTTTTTGTTATATGTGGTGGTATATCGCCTACAGGTTTCGTTCGTCTTGGAGCTCTTTTGACGACAATTGCTTCGCTCGCTATTTCAACGCAGATTAAGTGTGTAATTATAATTGATTTTTACTTATTTCTAGATCTACAATTCCATTTTCCCTCAATCGCGAGGCTGCGCGCTCACACATATATATAATGACATACTCATCCAGGGTCCTCTCCCACTCAATGCGGCGCTGGTTGACGTCAGGCCCAGTGTGGGAAACCTGATTTTAGCCCCGGACTCTAGGATACGAGTGTCGGGATGATCACCCTGCCCACACCTGGCGTCACCACGCTTACGTATTTACGTGGGTTAAACGCATTGCTATGTGCGACATAAATTTCATGTAACACCTGATCATTTATGAAGCCGAAATGTGTGTGCAATCTGGCCAAGCTGTTCAGCCAGTCGTGGTGTCACGAATATGTACCTAGCTAGCTGTAGCCAAGCATAGGTGGCCTCAATGTTAATGTTATTATTACCGGGACACCACTTTCATTAGACAGAAGTGCTCACCGTACTTGGTAACTTATTGAATTAATCATGGGCATTCCTGTGAAGCTCACTACAGACATATGGAATGAAAAGCTCGCATCTACCCCCGTGTAAGCGTTTCCAGCCTCAGCGGGTTCCCTCGGTGTTTCTCGACGATGGTGATAGTCTGGCGCCCGGCGGCTAGCGCCGCATTCCAGATCTCAAGCACCCCCGCTTCACCGGATCTGTGTCTTGTGCTAAGGTGAGATAGGCGGGTGCGGCGCCAGATAGATAAGTACAGTAAGAAGAGAGGTGTTCGAGAAATACCAGACAATTACCGAAAAGATAAGACGTGTCTAAAGGTCTATCTACGTGGTCGAAGCTCTAGCAATTCAGCCCTCCGTTTGACGGGTCTACGTTTCAGTAGGTGCGTGTGTCTGAACACCTCACCTGTCAACGCTGCACGCAAACTGCGACAATACATAGTAAAGTTTTGAGAGCAATGTCGTCGCCACCGATCAAGTCGAGCGCCGAACCGGCCGCCGTCGAGTCCACCTGCAGTGAGCACGGCCTCAGCGTGGCCGAGTTCAAGGAACTCCAGGGCCGCTGCGTAGGCGCCAAAGCGACCGCCTACTGCCCGTATAGTAAGTTCCGCGTTGGCGCCTCGGTGCTCTCCGTCGACAACGTCTACTTCAACGGCGCCAACGTTGAGAACGCTTCGTACCCCGTCGGCACCTGCGCCGAGCGTGTGGCCTTAGGCAAGGCCGTCACCGAGGGACACCGCAAGATCAAGGCCGTCGCCGTCGCTACCGACATCTCGCCCCCGGCTACGCCCTGCGGCATGTGTCGCCAATTGTAAGCTTATTATCAATGCTTCTTCTGTTCCCTTCCCAGACTCATCCCATCCGGTCCAATCAGTGACCATTGCTCTACACCCACGTTCCCTCTTCCCAAGTATGCTTGCTACCTACCTACCTACCGAGAAAACTAACCATGTCCGTCATCGCCATCCAACAGTATCAGAGAGTTCTGTGATCTGAAGTCCCCGATTATTATGTTCGATAAAGACGAAAACTACGTCGCAATGCGTCTCGAAGAAGTAAGTCTAATACTGCCATACTCTCCCCCTGTTGAGCGTATACCGGATCCTTGCTTGCAGAGCTAATCAAATGGGAATCTATTAAGTTATTGCCCCTGTCATTTGGCCCCGAATGTCTTCCCCCACCTGAATCCTTGACGAGGTGATGGGCGACACAGCTAAAGTACTATGTATGGTGGTGGAAGGTTACTACTTAACCAGGTAGACCAGTATCCCATGCAACCATAGAGACATAAATAATGTAATCTAGACCAGTCTAATTGAAAAGTTCCCATCATTTTGCGAGTGTCGTTTTGCATGGCTCGCTGACCGTGCCAATCTTCTCTACATCACCCCATTCCCGAGCCTGTATCCATAGTTGACGCTAATGATACAGAGACGCGATTTGACGGCCTCAGCTCACTCAGAACAAAGTATTCTCAAGAGACGTGAGATCAAATCTAGTAGTATCAACATGTGTCTTCTCATTGAACTCACGCAAAGCCTCACACACGTCAACCGAAGACACGACGTGTTATTAAATGAGGTGATACTACCTAGATCCAAGGTGCGGGGAAGCACTAGATACAGGGCTTGGTCTACTTACGGTTAGGACTGCTCCGGCCAATGAAGCTCGAGATCTTGGCGAGTTAGGATGTAATGTGGTGGTACTAGGGATGCTAAGATTAGCTTGGTGTGCTAAAGGGCCTCATCTCAGTTAAGCCAGCTTCATGTACGTGAAACGTTCATGCAGAACCAACTGCCGTAGGTATCTCTCACATTTTCTGACCTGGAGTAGCTATCAGCTACCTGTGGGCTTTCATTGGAACCATCTGATTTTTGCAAGATCCTCCAAAGATGCGAGGCGAGGCGTGTTGAATCAGAGGAAGCATCTGGGCCCCAGCAAGAAATGGAGCGGCTCTCCAATGATAACTCATGGAAACGTCTGTAGACAAGGATAGCGTGGCCGAAACGTCTATAACTATTCACTACAAGGACAGACACCGGCATTTCGGGCCTTGGCCACCAAATCTAGGAACTATGCGCGCCAATCAGCGTTCTGGGAGCAGGATGGACGACGACATTCTTCCATTCGCAATGGACTCAATTGAGAGCTAGGTGAGAGCTCCCCCGGACTCTGGTGTAACACAACCAGGTTCATCTTCTCCTCTTTTCCCCAAAGGAGGTAGGTAGTTTACCTGATGACATACTCTCCACCTCCACAAGCGAGAAAGTAAGGTAATGCTGTCGCTTGGGGCCGAGACCAGGGGTCTGACAATGTGCGCGTGAGGAGGTTTCCTTATGGAGTGATTTTCAATCTTATCGTGGTGCAAGATGATGTCTAGGCGCGCTGCTATAGGTGCGGAAACTATGAACACGCAGATCGACCGTCGGCGTTTGACGAATGAGGTACCTGGGCCATACCAGGTGATGTCCCTAGGACATTCGACATGGGCTCCGATGAGGTGGTTGGCTCCCATCTGACTGACGCATGTAACCATATTCGTGGATGGGTATATCTGAGCTTGCCTCCGCCTTACACCTTCAGTTCTGGGGTATGGGGTTTAGGTGAACTTCTCCTCAGTTTCCTGCTCTACTATATAGATACTTCTACCTATTCCCCTCACTAGATATTCTCGATCGCCGTGGAGCATCGGAGACGTTCAAGATGGCCAAGCTTCCGAAGATCAGTATGTCATTCTTTAACCGTCTGTCATTGAGACTAATACTAACGCGGGTGTAGCGAACACCTACTTCGTGGCGATTATCGCCACGGTAGGAGGTATGCTGTTCGGTTTCGACATTTCGTCCATCGCAGCCATCGTCATCACCCCTCAGTATATCGAATACTTCGACAATCCATCTGGACTTATACAAGGTGCCATTGGGTCTGCCCTGGCTGCTGGATCCGTAGTAGGAAGTCTGATGGCTGGGCCAATCTCCGACAAGATTGGCCGTCGCGATAGTATCATGTTCGCCTGCTTTTGGTGGCTCATCGGAACCGCAGTTCAAGTCTCTACAAATGGCGTTGGCTCCCTCATCGCTGGCCGCGTGCTCAACGGCGTCTGTGTTGGCATTACCTCGTCGCAGGTCCCCGTCTACCTGGCCGAAATCGCGAAGCGTGTGAGTGGATGATTCATAGAAAGTTTCGAGATAAATTCTGACTAGATACAGGAATCCCGAGGACGCATCATCATCATCCAACAACTCGCCATTGAATGGGGCATCTTCATCATGTACTTCGCCAGCTACGGCTGCGGCTTCATTGCAGGCCCCGCGTCGTTCAGAACCGCCTGGGGCTTGCAGTTCATCCCCGCCGTTCTTCTCATGATTGGTCTGCCCTTTCTCCCCCGATCGCCTCGATGGCTGGCCAAGGTCGGCCGGGAAGAAGAAGCCATCCAGACCCTTGCTGATATCCAAGCTGGCGGTAACAAGGATGACGCGCTAGTCATTGCTGAGTGGGAGGAGATTTACACTGTCCTGGTGGCCGAGCGTGAGAGCGTCCGTGGCTGGAGGAAGTTCATCTCGAATGGGATGTGGAAGAGGACGGTGGCTGGCATGTCTGTCCAAGCGTGGCAGGTTGGTTTGCCTACTACTCGCTTGAAAGTGACCCTTTTTCATGGCTAACTCAATCTTCGCAGCAATTGAGCGGTGCCAATGTCATTGTCTACTATCTCACCTATGTCTTCCTAATCGCCGGCCTACAGGGCAACATCAACCTGATCGCCTCCGGAATCCAATATGCCCTCTTCATCGTCTTCACATCGATCATGTTCTTCTTCATAGATCGTACCGGCCGTCGAACCCTTCTCATCGCTGGCGCTCTGGGCATGGGCATATGTCACTTCGTCATCGGTGGCGTCCTTGGAGGCTTTTCAGAGTCTGTGCCGGAAGGTGTGGATGGCAACGCCAATGTAACCTTTAAGGTCTCTGGTTCGGCATCAAATACCGTGATTGCTTTTAGCTACCTCCTGATCATCATATACGCCCTAACACTAGCGCCCGTAGCCTGGATCTACGCTGCCGAAGTTTGGTCACTCGGGACACGTGCCACTGGCATGTCTCTCGCAGCCGTAGCCAATTGGCTGTTCAACTTTGCTCTTGGCCTGTTCACGCCGCCGGCATTCCAGAATATCAAGTACAAGATCTTTATCATCTTCGGTGTCCTGTGTTTCGGCTCGGCTATCCAGACGTTCTTGACCTACCCGGAGACGTGCGGCAAGACGATCGAGGAAGTCGAGGAGCTCTTTGCCAAGGGTGCGCCTCCGGCTTGGAAGACTAAGAAGGGCGGCTCCCGCCTCGAAGCTGAAGTGCAGGCTGTGCTGGAGCGAAAGCGTGCTGGCGAGGCGGTACATGCCGAGGTACACCAGGCAGCGCATGACAAATCAGGGTCGTTGGAGAAGGAAACAGCATAATGTATCTGTAAAGGAATATGACACGCATATGTGTATGAAGATGATCGCTTCAGTGTTTACGGTACTTACCTAGCCTACACCCATCTCGCCTAGCTCACTGATAATATACTTGCATACTATCACACGATGTAGATAGAACCGATAAAATAGCCCATTCCTGTTACTTCAAGCTGGACGATAGATGACATCTTGGATTACTTGAACACGCTCGGTTTTCGTACTGAAGCATATACACCCATATACCTAATATTATCACCATATCAGCAAGGTGTGTACATTCATTGAATGTAATCTTGTGTATGTCATTTCAAGGTATCAGGGTTCTTGTATAACTAGACTCTAGGTTTAGGACAAATGTAGGTTTACCTCCATCGGTAGTCTAATATGATTGCAACAGTCTATTGCGTGGCCCGACAGGTCTGCTCACTATACATTCTTCTGTATACCCTTTGAGTAAAATATTCTAACTACTATAGATAGTGTCTGTAGCCTTCATTTTCTTTCTTTACTACCTTATAACATTTAACCTAACTAGACAAATCAATTAACTACCTCCTAAATTAACTATGAACTTACCACATCGCTTCGCACCCATACCAACTATGGAGCCAGCGGAGGAGCAGGCGCTGGTGAAAGATCGCGAAGAAGTTCGGCTGCGGCGATCTCTTGTGGTAGATGTATCAGAGAGGAGAAGCCAGGTAAGAGCATTTCTTTTTGTTCTCTGAAATTAATATCTATCAATATCATTTCTAGCCTTTACTGTCTTTCCCCCCTCAACGCCTTGCGTATCCAAGCTACCTAGTATAACTAACCGATTAACTTCTGATTTAGCTTCTAGACGTACCACGCTACTAAAATTATAAATGTCGAAAAAGCATGAACAGGAAATAGCGGAGAGAAAGCGCGAGTTACGCAGGCTCTACAAGGCGGTGCCGCTGGTCTATGAGGATTTGCAGGAGCTCGACAAAAGGATTCAAGGACGTCGGACGTTTCCTACTACTTTATTCGAACCCAAGCCCGAGGTCGTAGAAAGCATATTCGAAGAGCTCGGTTGGTCCTCATATATGTATGTACATCTACAACTACATAAAGGAGCAAGTCAAGCAGAATCGCAGGGGCAAAAAATTGGACGACACAGACAAGGCGTTTGACAAGGCGTGCGGTGACTTGGAGAAGAAGTGGAAAGAGATCAAGAGAGATTATGCCGACGATTTGGCGACGTTTTTGTCGCTTCAGTTACAACAACTAATTCACCAAGATCTCCATACCCCAGATCATACGTGGTTGATCAACACTTGTAAGTTTGCTTAAGTACTTCGTAGGGCCCTCTGGCATATTCGGCCACCATGCTAACGACCAGGACAGCGCCTCCTCAGTTGTCGACCGAGGAACTTCTGGCAGGCAGGGAGGAGCGGTTAGAGCAGTGTACGGTATAATGAAATGTCAGTCCACGAACAATTCCGACCGTTTGGCAATCTTGGCGTGGATGAGGCCGAAACCTTTCTGCTTCCAAGCTTGTTTCGGGCGTTCTACACCTCTTTTAGCGTGTGTTGGGACGCTAGGTACAGCTATCTATAATCACTGCAACCCTGCCTACCACCTGCCTAGGTACCTATATGTACATACGTACCTAATTAGCTACTGCGGCTTGGACTTTTTTTTCTTTCTTTCTTTTTTCCTATTGGACAATTCCATCATGTACCTACCCAGGTAGCTTATTAGTCCTATCCGCTCCCGCGGTATAGCTCAAGATATTCAGTTTAGGTAATTCATCATGTTATTTCTCCCTTCTTCTTCTTCTTCTTCCTCCTCGCTTATTAAAACAACTGCCCAGATTGTTTCGTGATACCATTTTCCATTTGAGATGTATGTAGCCAGCGTTAAGAGCCCGTTATACATCACCTAAGCTCACTCTCGGTACAATCTGTCGTTAGTGACCTTTCTCGACTCCAACAACCACTATGCGATAGTTCTCGAATACACATTAAGCGCATTCAGCATCGGCCAGCTGTTCTGCATCCGCGCTTCCCACTCGTCCCGCCCTCCCTCAAACTCTCACGAACCCCCCGAATCCTAAACCTCGACCTCCAGAAATCTAGACACTATCGTCGTCATGGACCAAGCGGAGATACCGGCGCTTCTAGCCCGGCTAGCCAGCGACGAAGACGCTTCCCGAAAGATGGCTGTGTTCAAGCTGCAGTCATCTATCAACGATCCCTCCTTTGCCGATGTCTTCATATCCTCGGGCGGTCTGATCATATTGCGACGCCTCATCATGAATTCTGGCGGTAATACTCTCGCCTACTCGTTACAGAGTCTAAGCCGCCTGCTTGAGGTCGATATGGGCTGGGAGATATTCGATAGCCCCACCTCCGGTGATCTTGTAGATCGCATTGTCGAGCTCGTCGTGTCGAACCCCCTCGTCAATATCCTACGAGGCGCAATGTCAATCCTCGTTGCGCTTGTCGGTCATTCGTCTCCAGAACCTACGGCAACCCCCGGCACCTTTGGTTTTCGCGCATTGCGACCAGCTATCGCCGTCTACCCCCAATTTTTCGACCTCGTAGTCCAGAAGCTGCAGTCCGCTGATCACGCGTTATGCGCGACGACCCTCTCGCTTATCAATGCCCTTATTCGGGATGCCGTCACGAATGAAGAAACCAACAAAGGCAATACAACATCCAGTGGGACGGGGGAGGAATGGCCCAAGTTTATCAAAAGGCTGCAAGATCTCGGTTTGATTAAATCGGTTTATACTCTGATGCAGAGTGCTGCTCTTCAAGACCTGGCCCACCCACTATTAGAGTTTCAGTGCCTTACTAAGGTGTTGCTCAAAAAGTGGAGGAAGGTCAGGGTTGATCTCGAAAGGCCAGAGCACCGACGCGCATTAAAAGGCATTCATCTAGCAAGTGCGCCAAGCAAGGAGCACCTCAACGGGACAAGCGATGGGAAGCCCGATGAGACACCTGAAGTTGGCAAGAAGGGGAGCAGAAAGCATCACCCGGAGAAATGGAGGAGACTAGGTTTTGAGTCGGAGAGCCCATCATCCGAATTTCAGAGTGCCGGTTTTCTCGGCATGATGGACCTTACGGATTACGTGCGAAAGAATGAGGATGGCTTTCAGAAGTTGCTCCTTGAGCAGTCTACGCGACCTCTACATGAGCGATGCCCTGTTGCTCGGGCTAGCATGGCCGTGACTCTTACCCTGTTTGAACACTTTGACTGTAGCACCGCAGATATTGAAGATACTAGAGTGCTATTCCAAGTTGTCGAGGCAGAACAACAAGACAAGATGTTCCAACCACTACTTCTGCAATGGTCTCGACTTCATACTGCCGGTCTTCAAGCGTTTTTCAGGCTGTGGAAAGCCACAGGCGCAGAGCAGAACGATTTCGAAAAGGTTGTAGAACTAGTCCGGATTCTGATAGATCGGGTTGTTGGGCAGGCAGGCCGACACAAAGATGTCGTAGAAATCGAGGAAGAGCTCTCGGAATATGACTTGGCAGCTCTCCGTAAATTACAGATGGATCTCCTTAGCCTATCCTTTGAAGACCAGTGGGGCGATCTTTTCAGCGGCGCGCGTCGGAGCCTCAAGCAGGAGGCTCTCGACTTCGTGAAAGAGCAGCGGGCTCGGTGCTTGCTGCAGGGGTCGTGGTTCTCTAAGCCCGCGCCACGTAAGGAGAGCAGGGGCGAGGATTTGCAGAAAAGCCGCGCGACGCACGGCACTCTCTGGAGGTATGCGAAACTATCGCACAACAGACGGTATCTCCACTGGGCAGATTTCGGTCTCCGAACCGGTCAAGAGCCTGGGCTTGATGCTCTTACTGAGAAGGTGGACTTGAGAACGATAAGCTCGGTCGTGTCCAATGTTTCCGAGCGAAAAGGTGAGGCATCGTCGACAGATCTTCCCGGGGCAAAGCATTCGACCAAGATTACCATCTACGGCTTCACAAGCCCGGAAGAAGCGCATAAGGGAGCGGAAGGGAAGGAAGAGCCCGTGCTTGTCCTGTATCCTTTGAGCGATAGTCTGGCGTCGGAGTGGCTTGACGGGCTGCTTATGCTGCTCGAGCAGTCTCCGATCACGGCAGAGACAAACAAGCTAGTCGACCTTGTCGTAGACTACGGCATGAAGATCAGATTACTCAAGGTGCGAATGGAGGCTACTTATTCACCTCCCCCGCCAGAGGCAGGCGTCACGCCAAGCCGGGATGGCTTAGATGCCGATTACTTCTATGACATCTGAGCCAGTGTGGTTCGTGCCTTGCTTACACTTTGAATTGCATTTCAATCTTCATGAATCAGGACTGAGAAGAGGGAGGACATGTAGTGTTTTGTTTGTTATTTATTTGTCGCAGATATACCCCCCCAACGTCAAGTTGGACGCACTCCACAGGCGCTAGTAGAATACCTGTATACAGCACTTGATGAATGAAGAAATCTTTTAATTTATATACTGTAGTACAAGCTGCTAGAGAGGTGCCAAGTTATGCCCAGTGAGTATCTGCAAGGATATGCATATCAGCCCAAGGAGTCAGCTGAGGGAGGAATACATAGACGAAGCGTTGAAGTCTACAAACATGGGAGGAAATTGACCAATTAGAGGACATGCGCGTAGCGTAGGAGATATATTCGTTTATATAGGTAGGTTAAGCGATATGTAGATTATACTCGTTCACTGTAACGGGTCTTTCCGTTGCCATGTGTAACGGTCGATGATGGGGTACGGGGTCCTCCGCCACCACCATCCACGTCTCGCTTTCCAGCTGAGGCGCTTTTTCGCGAAGCCCATCCACACCCCAACCACCTCATGCGCTTCATATCGTAAGCCCCTACAGTAATGCAGATGCTTGTGTAAAATGCTCTTTATTATTTATATCGAGTATTCTACCCAGGTATCCTGCCCTTCCCTCGCCTAGATATCACTCAGGCGACCAGCGGCAAGTTGTCTCTTTCGTTATGCCTTCACCACCACCTTCACCACAACAGCCATCTGACACGGCCACAAATGGCGTATTCCGCGACGGAAAATGGCTCTGTGAGTGCACCTTTCAGCTAGACCAAGAGAATCGCACTCGAGATGCACGAAGAGAAGTGAAGTGAACTAAGCTAATTCTTTGTATCTAGGCAATTGCCCCACGCGCCTCCCGGCTAAGATGCGGACCATCAAAAGCAGCTATTCGAAGAACCATGGTAAAAGGTTCTGGGGCTGCCGCGCAGGTCAACAAGAGAACCATTGTGACATGTTCGTCTTAGAGGAAGAGGCACAAAGGCGGGAGAGGGAGAATTTAAAAAGCAACGGCCGTAGCGAAAAGAAGCAGACAGTTCTTCCTCAGACCTACACGCCACGCAAAGTGAAACAGAAACTGCCAAGCAGGTCACCCGTGAAAGGAGAAGTAATTGATCTAGAAGCTGTTGACGACGTTGCATCGGCTTCCAACTCCCGTCCACCTCCGCAAAGTTCCAAGCTGTCCCCAAGCACTAGGGCTGTTGAGTCGGATCAGTACGACAGCTCGTCCGGCGAGGACGAAGACGACTACATTTTCAACGATCGCGCAAAATCGCCCATTAGAAACACTATCTTACGGCCAAGCGCGATGGCTAAGACACCGGCTACCGGCTCTAGAACGAAGCAGCCGTCGCAAGAAGAGAACTATCTCGAGGAACTCTCGGAAAGCGGCACAGAAGATTTAGCCGCGCTCGCGGAGACCTCTGCCAAGGCCGCGATTCGTCACGGCAAGCAGCGTGAGTCACCGATCACACCGAGCACGACGCGCATGACCAACATCGAGAACGGCCTGCCTACGCCCTCGCTCACAAGGGGCAAGTCGCCCAAGAAAATGCTCTTCAACGACTCCGAGGGCAGCGAGAGCAGCACTTGCGACGGAGCGAGCGCCAAACGGCAGCGCCTGAACGAGTCGGAGGCAGTCCGACTCTTCGGGACCACTGCAACCGTTCCCCCGGCAAGAGTATCATTATCGCCATCGCCAGCACCGTCGGTATCTTCACAGCCGGTTGCCACAAACCTGACAAGCGATGTCATGGGGCTCCTTAAGAACGAGAACATCAGCCCCTCGGCGCGAAGCGCCGTCCGACTTACACTGGAGAAATACGTCAATCAGGCGAAAGGATTTGAGAGAGGCCGCGATGCGTCCCGCAAAGCTGTCAAGAACGCTGAGGACCGCATCGCGCGCCTGCAGGCGAGGATCGATGATCTAGAACAGGCTAGAAAGAACTCTAAGGCGGAGCTCATGAATATTCACCAAAGGATGTGATCTGGTTGATGAGCTGCGCATTTGCTACCTGGGGGACCAAACTTAGCTGCTTACGGAGAGAGTGGGGGAACCGCGGGTCCGGGCCGGTCCGACGTTTACATGCGTTTTCAGAAAGTGCGGATTGATTTTTCGGCGCCGGGTGTTCGGGACATTGGCGCGTCAACTTCATCGGGTCTCGCTTTGGGTCACCTAGGGAATCCCTCCATGTTTAGATGGATGATGAATGGCTTATGATGAGGAATACTGCTGCTAAGTCTGTTGTGAAGGCAAGGAGTGATGATTGTAATGATAGATACCCTTTCCTATCGGATTTCCTGTGGGGAAACAAATCATTTCATACAGTATTAAATCAGCATTGTAGTGTTTTAGCTCTTTGAACGTGTTTTTTCTAGCCATGTTGAACTGTGAGTAACTCTATATGAGTCTTCCGCCCTCCGGGTTTGTCGTCACCATCTCATCCCCAATCTCATTCGCCCTATTTCGACGATCAACTTTGTAACAAGCCTCCTCCTAACGCTCACTGAAACTGTAAATGTCATTTCTGAAACGTCGTGATGTTGCTCTCCCGTGGACCAGTTCAAATGAATAAAGGATGGCAACGAGCTGAAACACGTAACCATCCAAATGAACCAGCTAGCAACCACAGCGCTGATATCCTAAACTTAATTATGTATTCATCACGCTTCGTCTACTGTCACCGTTCTTTCAAACGCTTCTGGCTAGTGTTTTGGTTTTAACTATAAGCATAACACAAACTCACTTCCTGCTGAAGAGCATCCCCAGAAACTTTAATAATCTGCTTGGAGTCAATATAGCATATAAGTATTCGATAACCTAAATTATTCGTCGCCAGAGAAACAGCATACTTTGGCAAGAAAAGGGCCGGACATAAATTTCCCTCACCCGGACGCAGCAGGTCAATACAACTTTCTCATCTACATCGTCTCAACCACACCGTCGTCAACGCCATTACCACCACAATCACTATACCAATAAGTCAAATTCTTGAGCGCTATATAGTCTGAAAGGCTCGTGAACACGTTCAAATCATCTATTGAATCTCGGGTACAATTATCCATCCCCCTATTTCCTAGAACGCCGACGATTTCTGGTAATGAAGATCCGCACAACTGACGCCAAAGCACCAACACACATCCCCAAACACATATATGTACTCCCTATGGCTCTCAGGAGAAAAATGACCTCATCAAAAGAACGCAGTCCAGGCACTCTCCGGCTAACGAGGCTCCGCGCAAAATTCGCGCGCAGGAGTTGGCGAAGATCGAGATGGGTCGAAGCAGCGACGCCATTTCTATATTCCACCGCAACACCCAGAACACGGTGTAAGAAATGCGTCAGACAACCAGCGCCCACTAACAAGAAACTGACAAAGCGCGCACGAGCACGGAAGAGAAAAATTGCGCGCATGCGCAAGATACAGGCGGCCTTACTCCGGGGGCAACTACCCACGCCACCAGCCAAATCATCGCCTAAAACGGGAGACAATGGAGATATCCCCTGCCTGTCTCTCCCGATGTTGAGCCTGGATCTCCGGCCGAACGCGGATGTCGAACGACGGACGGCGCTCGACGGAGAGAAACTAGCGCTCGAAGCACAGCAGAAAGAAACCGAAGCGCAGCTGGAGGATTGCTCGGGTTACGAGGGCGGCGACGAAGATGCCTTGCCGCCGATGACGGCGAAGCCGAAGCGCTTGTTGAAGAGAAGAATTCAGTGGGACGGGGATGGGATGAGGATAAATGGTGATTCCGGTCCGAAGAGCTGTGGGAATCTCGGCGGTAGCAGCGATGATTATGAGTGGATGGGTGATGTTGAGGATGTGGAAGTTTGAAATTTTGATGTGCGGACTGGGGATGTTTTGATGTCTGATTTTAGGAGGGGTTTGCTGAAATACGGCGATAGTGTCAAATGTGGCACTAGAGCTGGATTTTTGCATCTCACTATGGTCGATGTATAGGGGGAGGTGTCAGCTCAGTTCAGGGGGGGCTTCTTGGGATATGGGGATGAAAGGACGCTTAGAGAAATTCGAGAATTCTTGTTTACTTGTTGAATAGGGAACTTGGGGCTGTGTCGAAGATGGGGAAGATCTGTCGAGTTGTTGAATGGGCACTCAGGATTATCCCCAGATGGACATGTCCATTCCAACATGAGTTAATATCAAATTATAACTCAGTTCATTTTGCCAATTCTGATCACCTGTTGATTCGAGCCATGTGCCTCTATCATTTGCCATCCTACTCATTCATAACATCGTAAAGAGCAATTGAGCCAGTGTGACAATCAAGCGCAACAGCTAGACAATGACTCCCTCGCCCCTGGCGCAGAGCGAGCCTAGGCTAGATCGAGTTTATACTGAATCAGAGCCATATGATAGCTGTTGGCCGCAGAGATGGAAGATACGATACCGAAACCGAGAGTACGAAAAATAATGACCACAATAGCCAGCCAGAATGTCGTGACTTCTCTGAAATTTCGATGCTCCTTATCCAATACGAACTGCTTGAGCCCCAGGGGCTCCTCTTCTGTAGCGCTCAAAAGTTGAGCAAGGCCTTTATGCCGGTAACGATAGTAGCTGAGGTCCCGATAATCATTGTGATTGTAAGATCCAAGTCGATGGAATGACATCCCTTCTTCTTCTAAGTACCGCTAACTGAGGACATCTTCTAGAGGGAGGAGAAGGTTCGAAGTATCGAGTACCTCTCGGATGGCTTCTTGTGAAATGGGACATAGATCATGACCCTCGAACTCGAAGTGATGCAAGAGGCAGATTTTATGCTCATATATCTTCACGACTTTCGTTCTCGAATTCACAGACAGGTACTCGATCAGATCACTCATCCAACTAACAGCTCACCCATGTTGGTCAATTAGGTATCTCATCGTGAGATGATCCAGATTGCCATTGGACATGACATCATTTGAAGGAAGGAGACTATCAAATTGGTCTTGAATTATGTCCTGTAATGGTTCCTGGCTTATATTGACAGGTCATGTACAGTCAAGTGGTACGTGACGTTCGTCACATTAGGAACTTTAAGAAAGGGAGCCTATGGCTCTATGTGGGCTTTGGCCATGGCTCAAGATACATACCGCTACGCGGTACGTACTAACCCTTGTTGGGCCCTATCAACATGATTGATGTAAAACATATAGCAAACAATAGTGTGTGCGCGTCAGGGTTGTCTAACAACTATTTATGCCAGGTGGCTTATACAGCTATATATTGTTCAACATACAACACCTAATAAACTACGCTAGCCACCTTTAACAGCTTTATTTATTAAATTAAACTTTTAAAAGAAATATAAAATACTAAATTAAAATCTTAATATTTAAAATATTTTCAGTAAAAAGGATATAAATAAATTTAAAGTATATATTAATTCCTAAGCTTGGTGATAAGTAATGATTCATCTAGCTTGGTAGCACCGTAGCACACTATCACCATTTATGCTCTCGTTGAGCGCTCTTCTCTTCATTCATTTTCCCTCTGCTTCTCATTTTCTCATCTTCCCGACTTTTGAGGGGGGCCTACAGTCAATCCTTACGCCAGTCTAAAGCCCATTCATAGCGCCCATCGATGTAAGCTTTTTGAATGCTTCCTTGGCCGTGTCAGGTATTCTCTCTCGGATAGCGGAGCTCATCCTCGTCAATAGGCAATTTGCGCGTGCCCTCGAAGCCCTAGGTCCGTTGCTGGAGCAGCTTCTGGATATCACCGCGACACCCGGCATCTCTGTTGGCGTTTTGCATCATGGCGAGGTCATCCATACCGCGAATTACGGATATCGGGATGTCGAGCGCCAGCTCTCCCCCGATACTGATACGTCCTGGTTGATCTGCTCCATGACCAAGGCCTTCACATGTTCCCTGATAGGAATGCTTGTCGAAGAAGGACTTCTTAGCTTTTCAACCCAGCTGCAAGAAATCTTCCCCGAGTTCCATCGTCACGATGCCCAAGCGAACATTACAATTGAAGACCTCATGAGCCACAGGACTGGTCTTGCGCCCATGGACAATCTCTGGTTTAGCTCCTACAATGAAATCCTCGTCGACAGATACCAAGCCATCCCAATCATGAGTTATGCTCCAGTGGCCGGCCAGTTCCGCGCTTCTTTTAACTACAACAACATTGCCTACGAAGTTCTTGGACAGATTTTAGAAAAGGTGACTGGCCTGTCGTATGCAGACCTCCTTCATAAACGCATTATCGAGCCCTTGAAGCTCAATAGAACCTTCTACGCGGGAGAAACTATAGATGACAACACCGCCAGGTCCTATGCGGCTCTTGCTAACGGCTCATGGCATGAGTTGCCCCCGTGGGGTTATGGGGATAATCTTTTCATCGGACCAGGGGGTGCAATCCGTAGTTCTGTCAACGATTTGCTGTTTCTATACAAAGCCTTGATGGATGCAGCTAATTCGCAGGTATGGACGGCGGCTATCACAAATCCGTTCAGACAAGTCCCGGGTCTCTTCGAAGGGAAAGTCAATGTTGGCTCAACATCTTTGCGAGAGTACAGCTACGCCTCTGGTTGGATCCGAGCGCAGCTACCCGCCATGGTACACCTATTCGCTGACTACTGGCCTCCTATACTTCTTCAAGGCGCCGAGTCCCGTTTGATGATACACCACCAAGGCTATATAATGGGGAACGCCGGAATTGTTACTCTTTTCCCAGAAACGTCGACTGCAATCGTCGTTCTCGGTAACTCTGCAGGTCTGACTGACGCAATGAGACTATTCGGCCAGGTCCTCGTTGAGACGACGTTCGAGAATGACTTCAATGCAACCACCTACACCCAACTTGCCCGTGAAGCTAGGGACTACTTCGTACAATATGTCCACGATCGGAACGAAGAACTGTTGGCGAACAAGACCGCGTCGGCACCTGTCAATCCATTAAACGCATACGTGGGCAAGTATTACAATAGTATTAGCAGCTTTTTCATTGAGATCAAGCTACATGACGACAAGCTTCAAGTAGCATTTCTGGGCGTCGATATCGACACTTACGAACTGCATCCGTACCAGAACGATAGTTTTTATTGGACACTAGATTTTGATGAAAGCGCAAAACGCGCGAGGCTTCCTTGGTTCCCCGCTGAGTATTTCGTACTAAGATTTGGCTGTCGGTCTGAACCGTCGTGGTGGCAGTTCGGAAAAGAAGTCGATATGGGCTGTTTGACGTGGAAACATGAGTTTACAGTACCCGGTGATGGCGAAGAGTTTCGAAGGAGCGTCGAGGTCATGGATCAAGCGGAGTGAATAATGCGGTCGGATCGCAGCAACCTGCAGATCTATAGTGGACATAGTTTGTCTTGGTAGTGTACAAAAGGTTTATATAGCTCGATCCGGGGATCCTGGAGGCTATAGTAGATTGCATGAACCATGATTGATCTGGGATAGCTGAGCAGATAATTATTGATTAGGTGGAGTGGAGGTCAGTAGCAGGGAGCTCGAGGAGATGGGCCCTTTACAGCACGGCCATATACGATGGGGACATGCTACTACTAACAGTCTAGGAGAAACGACATTTAAATAATTATAGCTACGAAAACACTCGCTATATTTCCTTACACATTTGACTTATTGTATCTTGTGAACCATCTGCGTACATGTTACCCACCCAACTTGTAATTCAATTAACCAAACTTAGGCTAACGAGACGGCCACATATATATATATCTTGGATAGAAATCGGTGATAGTCGGTACCATATCCATGCAGTAACAGAAAGAGGTTGGACGTCATCCGCTCCCGCATGTCACGGTCACAGTAACGACACCCCTTATCGGGTTGGCACAACCAATATATCGATCGGACGAGTATAACGGCATCCTTCGTTCATATACACCAACATTGGAAAATCGCGACATTTGTCCTATTTCCTAACGTTGACAATTATCACGAAGCATACCTTCTAGAGAATATATGCGCAGCAATTTCCCTATGAAGGCATTGATGTTCAACCTAGATCCATCTACTATATATTATCCCATTCCGCAACTATTCGAGGTCCCCCGACATTAAACTTGGTGTCAAAACACAACGACCCAGCAGGTGTCCCAATATCATTACCAAGTTATGATCAAGATATAATTAAAGTATAACTAAAGCATAACCAGGATATAAATAGCCATAGCAGGCCCTAGCCATAATCAGAACATAAAGAGAGAGGGTATAACAAGAATGACCAGATCATAAAAGAAAATATAACCAGAGAACCATCGGTGCCTCTCAGTATTTCAACCCCCCGAGCTAATAGCGAGGAATACACCGACGATGCTGTAAACCACACTATCAGACCAGGTCTCAATCGCCCAATCGACGCGCGTCGGATCCGCCGCCGTAGCCCGAACCCGGAGACGCGCATTCTGATTCGCACTGATGTCGAAGCGCTGGAAGCCCGTGAACACCATCGGCGTGTTGTAGAACGTGTTCCGGAGCTGGTACCTGCCACTAGAGCTCCCGGCACCCGTGAAAGTCCCCAGCTCCACGCCAGGCAGATTGTTGGGATACGCGATCCACTGCACGTTGGCGCTGTACAGGACGGAGCTACCCCAGGCGGACACTTGGATGTCGAATTGGGCGGCGTTCGCATTGTGGATGTCGAGTGCGCCGCGCCAGTTATCGCCCGAGTCGATTCCGCTGAAGGCGGCGAAGACGTTCGGTATAGTCCCGGGCGGGAAGGGGGGTCGAAATTGGATCCTGTAGCTGTTTGGCCCGGCGTTGGTGATTGTGCCCATGCGGAAGTTGGCATCGCCGGCGGGAACTCGCAGCAGCGAGACGCCGCCGTTGTAGAATATTCTGTCTCCCCAGCTCCCTACGCCAACTGTGAAGCGGTCGGTCTGCACATCGGTTACTTGAGCTCGCACTCGGAGATCGTCATCGCGGTTGGACATGTCGATATACGAGAGGGCCGAAGCGAACTGGGGCGGTGAGGATTGCTGGGGCGAGATACCCAGTGTGATGCTCTGCCACTCCATGGGCTCTTCGAGGGGCTGGTTCGTAGCGACGGATGAGACCGCGTATTGGTTTCGGGGATAAACCATTGCGATTCTCTGGTAGTCTCTGGTAGAGAGGTCGGTCATCCAGCCAACCGATGTGCCATTGGTAGTAAAGCTAGCTGGATATGGGTAAACCACTACAACCATGGGGGTCAGTAATTGCTCCTTCAGGGAAAACTTTTGCGAGTTCTTCATACTCCTGACACACACATGTGTCCCTTACTAGGCAACTATGGCCTCTAAGAGGAACTAAAACGGGAAACATCTGACTTCAGGGTTACATACTGATAGAGCGGTCGTCGGCATCGGCATCAACCTCAGATTCGGGATATGGCAGTCTGAGGATATTGTGGTCAACCCACTCCTGGCTGTTACCCAGCTGACGATGATGATCGTAAACGGCGGCTTCATTCCAGGGGATCCGAGCCAAGGGCGACAGGTGTTCGTGGATAGCTCCTAAAACGTGCCCGAATTCGTGGAGAATCTCAGCGCGGACACGTTCCGGGGGCATGTTTTCGTCAATGTTCAGGTTCATGGTAGGTTGGTCTTGCGCGCGTTGCAAGTTCTGGGTGCCCATGAGGGCCCAGGAGCCATCATTGGTGTTGAACGTGACGCGTACCTCGGAGGGCCCGCTATCGACGAATTCAAAGGTAATGTTGGCATACGCAGTCCACCATGCGACGTAGGCTTGAACCTGTAGTTATGTGAATATTTTGAGATACAAGGGTGCGCCAGTACTCACTCTAGCCCAAAGGGTCGGGGTGCCGTTGCCAAAACGAACACGGATTCGAGAACCGTTTGGCCACAATGACGGACGATGAAAAGAAAGACGAGCTGCAAGGGGCAGTTAAGGATTATCTAGTCAGTAATGATCTGAAGTGTTTCTGAACAAGTGATTATGTCTGTCTATGGAATGATCATAGAGATGTCTATGACAGCAATGATAACAGCGATATAAGGTAGTCATTGAGGGGGAAATCTTCGACTTACTACCAACATGGCTATCACTGCTTCCAAGTGTCAATTTAGGGACAGTTGCAAGCGTTCCAGTCTCTTGTTTACCGATAACAGTGGCAGCAGTTGGAAATGGAGGACGTGGAGGGACATCTGATGCCTTTGTATACATCATGCAGATATAAGTGTTGTCAGTGGCCAAGGGCTTGACCTTTTCGGATTCGGAACTGGTGCCAGCAATGGTCACCTCCGACGGGTTATCAGTCGGGAAGGACGGGCGCGGAGGAACGTCTTCTGCTCTCGCATACATCATGTCTGTGGTTGCATACTAAATAACATGTTAATAGATCACTGCACGTCGAACTCCGCGTTGGTCTCACCTTCTCTGATGCCTTCTCTGATACAGAAGTAGCCATTTCTGGGTTTATCTTCGATGAACGAAGAAATGGAAAGCAAGGCATCTCAGCAAGAACAAATAAATCAAGTGATAGACCAAAGTTGTCAACTCTGACGCCCTTGTTGGCGAAATGGGCGTGGGCGTATGAGCGTTAGATCAAACTAACCTATCTCACAAGGTGGGAAAGACTCCTTATATATATGAGTGAGCAGGAGGAGACGGGGATCAACAGCAAGCGATGAACAAGTACAAGAAGATTGCATCTTCAACGACTTCAAATTCGATGAGTTGCTCGATACGAACAATGTGTATCTGAGGACAAATACAAATGGTACTGTAGGAATAGCGAACAGAGCACTCACACACTCATTCAACTCATGCGTGGTTCACTCTTGCAGAGATGCTGCATACTACTTTCCCCTTCAAGATGCCATCAGGTACAACAGCGTCGTATTTACGTCGGTAGTCGTCCAGACTTACAACCCAAACTTACAAAAGGGGATACGACCCCCTCTCGTAGCTCTTAACCTCGTAGAAGATGCCACCCTCACTTGACAGCTGAAAGCTGAAGAGTACCAGCGTCCTGAGGGTCACAAGATCTCCAATTTCCTAAATCACCAGTACCTTCAGCACGTAACAATGCATACAATATTAAGGAGATATTGAAACCGGCATTTGGAGCTTTCTGTTACCTACAGCCTGACGAAATCAACGATGAAGCATTAACAGTTTAGATCAGGACTCATTTCATTATCATCTATTGAGCCTTGAACCTATTATCGAGTTTGAATCACATCGGAAGTGAAAACAGCGCTTGATCAAGAGCCGCCTAACTGATCAAAGATCAAATAGTTATGCACGAGCTCCGAACTGTTTATCAAATGGGTATCAACTGTCCATACATCATCGTTAAAGGTCTCGTATAAACGTTGTTGGTTCACAGGTATATAAGGGGGTCTACCCATCTCACTTATGAGGTAAACATACTCAAGTAGACATACTTCGAGAATTGTTTATGGTCGAAAATACTTTCATGCATCAATCTCGAGGTCTTTTATACAGAAATAGCTAGCACTATCCCAGTTACCGTTTCAGCTCTTAAACGAACGACATCTGAATCGTTCAAATTTGGTAAATGTGAGATTGAGCTCCTTATCTCGGAGCCCTGCTGTAACAGCTTTTAATAAGCATTAACCAATATCGAGTATAGTACTACCTAGTATAGTTGAGCAAGATACCCGATAACACCCTAGCCAAAAGTTGTGCTGAAGCTCTCATGCTCAACAGGAGATATCATCTCGTTGATAAAAGTGTTACATTTACCTAAGCACAGACGGATTTTGCCACCGCTAATAAGGGGGTTTGTGTATTTCTTTACTAACACTCGATATATTCGTGACCAAGATTTGGGAGGAGAAGAGTGAGCACTGGAGAGAACGCCAACAAAAGAAAAATCCCTAAAACATCTCTCTCGACCCCAGTCACATAGAAGCAGCTCCATAATGATTCCTCCTATAGGCATCAAAGTTCATTTCATTGAACATATCGCCCTACAATTCACGTAAAGAGCTTGCGAACCACCTAGTCGTACAAGGCAATATACGACACTCTTAACTTGTTTCCCTTGTATCGTGTTTTATAATGTGCCGTAGACCCGGTGTGCGCCATCGCCCCAGATGCCCAGGACGGCTATCGCAAGACCTAAGCTCGCAGTAGCAGTCTGGACGAGCTGATTCTGAACGAAAACCTGGACCTCGCTGCGGACCTCCTCGCCGTTGATGTCCTCATCCACGACGTCATCGCTGCTCGCGCTCTCATCGTGCTGTGAGTCACCCAGAACCTCATAGCTGGCTTCCATACGTCGCGCAGCGGCCTTCTCCTTGCGAGCCTGGGACAGGGCGGCTCGTCGTTTGGCGGTGGAGGAGTTCGAGGCAGGGGTTCCGAAGATGGAAGGGGTTACATAGTCAGTTAGGCGGGTGCCGAAGGAGAGGACGGAAGCGTAGAGGAGGTAGGGATGTCTGTAGCCGCCTGGTGAGATCGCAAAGGCTAGGAGGAAGGCGGTGCCTGAGATGCTCGATAACGCGGTGAGGTGGGTGGTGGCTGCCGATGTTAACGAGCGGAAGGCCTTGGCGGCTGTGGAGGAGGATGGAAGCTCGAGGAGAGTTGGAACTGTGAGATTTGAAAGGGTGTACGAAGTTCCCTAGTCATTTGTTAGCTTTGGCGACCCGATTGGAACACGGAATCGATGAATCAAAGGGTTTGGCGAGTTGAGCAAGACGGCCCATCTGAACATGAATGAATGAAGCTCAGGCGCGGGGTTTCGGAAGGGTGGCGAGGGGCATGGCGAAGAGCTGCTAGACTTACCGTCAGGAGTCCGAGGGAGACGGTGCCGACGAACTTGAGGACGGTCACCTTGTTCGACGCCATTGTGTCCAACAAAGCAACAGACGATACAGGATGACTGATTGTTGTCAATGCTGGGATGGGCCGATGGATGCAATTTATTGTATCGCGAGAGGGACGACGGGAGGTGGTGTGAGAGATAAGGCAAGACACGGGTCAATATGACGCTGGCGCCTGAGTGATTGCCTATTCCACATTAGGCCAGCTATCCAGGTTATCCACATGCAGTTATCCAGTTATCCCCCGCTGAGGGTCCTGCTGTAGTGGCCTAGAAGCTTGCCCGTTAGAGCCTAAGGTACCTACCAGGCACCTACCAGACACATGTAGCGCTACCTAACGCTCAGGTCTAATCTAGAGCTAACATTAGGTAGTTGGGACCACTGGAAGCTACTGGCATGGCGCAGGGGGCATGGTCAGAGCACTTGCGGAACCCATCATTGGTCACTTTTACATTCTTCCATCCAGGTCGAGCTAGGTAAGGACTGTTAGGTGAATGCTGCTAGGATATGGTAGCAGTTGGACGAAGTCAGCATTCATGTGCAGAAATACATCTTCAGTCAAAGAGGGTTGGGAGAGGAAAAAAAGCCAGTTTGCCAGTCTCGCCAGTACGTTACCTTGCCCAACCTGCCCAGGTGAGGAGACTATCCAATAACGTTCGCCCAAGTATGCGTACGGTGTACACGTAGCTGATAACTCATAAAGACAGCAAACCGAATACATGCAGATACCAAGAAGATGTGATTAGAGTGTTTCATCTACGACTATTCGAAGAGTCATTGTAGATAGAGGAGGATATGATATCGATACGCAGCTTCAAGGCCGTCGGTGTACGGGAGATCAAAGTGGCCGTTTCTGGACCGAACGGGGAACCCACGCTTTGAACGTCAAAGGTGGGTCTACCGAGGTAGAATCCAATTACGGTAGCCAGCCGGGGAAGCTATCGCATTCGCTTACGCCCTCCATTTCTCATCATCCAATTCCGGGGTATCCAGGCGTAAGAAAAGGCAATAAGATTATTCTACATATCTCATAGATTCAAACCATTTATATCGACCTCACTGAATTATTACTTCATTTTTTCTCATTTTTTTTATCTTGAGTCTTTTGCTTTTTGAGTAGTCGCTGGCTCTGGCCCGCCTGTAGAACATTAGCCTCGGACGTCACGTACACCAATCATATCATTCTGTCTTTCTTCGAGTTGTACAGGGTGAGTCAGTTATTTTAAACAGACCAAAAAAAGTGAGGCAATCAAGATGCCGATTCCGAGATCCGAATACCTCAGTAATGTCTGGAAAGACGGTATCTTTGGTCAGTAAAACCGTCCACTGCCCCCGGTCAAGCAATACCCGGCTCGTCATTGGCCACTAACGCGTACGAGGGATGGAACAGATGGGCGTGTTGTGTTCGTGACCGGTGGTGCGGGCACCATCTGTAGTGCCCAGACCAGGGCCATGGTTCACCTCGGCGCCAACGCTTGTATTATCGGCCGTAATGTTGAGAAGACTGAGTCCGTCGCTGCCGATATTGCCACCGCCCGGAAAGGGGCTAAGGTTCTGGGGATTGGCGGTTGTGATGTTCGAGACGTACGCACCCACAGCCCTTCATCGGAGCATTCCAAAGAAGAAGACTGATGTATAATCTCGTATAGCCTGAGAGTCTGAAGAATGCCGCCGACCGGTGTGTCAAGGAACTGGGTGCTATTGACTTCGTCATGTATGTACCCGATCGTCACCTGTCATTGCGTCGAGGCTCAACCCAGCTAAGCTAACTCACTCAACCCTTAGTGCTGGAGCAGCAGGCAACTTCATCGCCCCTATTTCTGGCCTCTCTTCCAACGGCTTCAAGACAGTCATGGAAATTGATGTCCTTGGCACCTACAACACGGTGAAGGCGACGATACCATATCTCATCGAGTCTGCGAAACGAAACCCTAACCCACCAGGTGACGGTCTCACTGGTGGCCGCATTATTTATGTCTCGGCAACGTTCCACTACGCCGGGATGCCTATGCAAGCCCATGTTGCGGCAGCTAAGTCTTCCGTGGACTCCATCAGCGCATCCGTGGCCCTGGAATACGGACCCTACGGAGTTACTTCCAACGTGATTGCCCCTGGTGGCATTGAAGGCACCGAAGGCATGGACCGTCTCAGCAGTACCAAGATGGACTACAAGGATACGGCCAAGCACATCCCTTCAGGCCGCTGGGGCACAATCCGTGACGTGGCCGATGCCACAGTGTACCTCTTTAGCGACGCGGGTAACTACGTCAACGGGAACGTCCTCGTCGTAGACGGCGCTGACTGGAGGAACAAAGGGACCGGAGTTGGGCGAGACCTCAGCATGCAATATCCCAACTACTTGCTGAACTGGACTGAAACACAAAAATACGTGAAATCCGGCCGCAAGGAGAAGCCCAAGCTATAAGAATCAGGCTCACCTTACTTACCCTCGAATCCGTACTTATGAATATCAATATTGGAAAGCTTCAATCTGTACTTCACACTAGGAGTGGCTTTACCCATTAAGAAGGGATAATAGCTGCAACGAAATTCAATCTTAGCGCTCACGATAATCATATAGACATTTCTATCTTAGTATTGGTGATCACACAGATTTTTCAGAGAGGAAACACATATACGCACATATGTTGGGGTTATGCATGACGACTTTAGCGTAGGCTAAAATTGCAGTGCTGATTGCCACGACGTGTGTTACCCTATTCTCACCATTCTTCTGACTTGCAGTAGAAGCGACCCCAACACTTCTACTGGAAGTCAGAAAGCTGGCGACGGAAGTGGAGTCCCAACGGGTAAGTAAGGGTGTCAGTCCTGGCTTGTGATCCTAAAAAAGTAGATTCTACACTGCTAGAAATTCCCGACCTTGCTATTTGGTTGACCTTTCTGTTATCTGTGCTTGAAAACCCGCTTGTACATCTTAGATTGATTAATCCTTTCATATGAACTAAGTAGATTTCTATGTACAAGTCGTGACTTCCTCCATAATACACCTTGGTATCTAGGTAGTTATCAGAATGAGAAGGGGGAATTATTTACTAACAACTACCGCCAATCTAATCATAACCGTCTCAACCAAGTATCTATGTCCTATCAACAGAGTAATACACTCAGCAAAAATCCAACTGTTTGCTTCGTGTCATACTTAAGGGGAGACATCACACAAGTGGGACGGTCGGCTCACCAATCGGCGCCGCCCACGTTCGGGATCGGGCACTAATCACGGCGGCATCACCAAACCGACCAATACAACTCGGTGAGATGGGAATTGGGCAGTGGTGAGTACTCCGTGGATGAGAGAGAGATAAAAAGTAATTAAATGAGATAGGCCCCGGCCACTGGACTCGGGAGCCAGATTCGAATGAGACAATGCACACGGGATTTACACCTTACACCTACACATGCACGCGCAACTACATCTACACCTACAGCGGTTCCGCTCACCTCAAGACCAATTCCACGATAACGGAGAAGTGATCGATTAACTACAAAAACATGAAAAGAAAGAGAGAGGGGGAAAAGGCAGGATTACAATGCGACCCTCTCACCACCAAATCACAACCCTCCTCCTCCTCCTCCTCCTCCTCCTCCCCATATCCACAGCATCATCACCCGAAAGAACAAACAGCATCCCAGAGAAAACACCAGACCCACCCCTCCTTCTCCCCCGACAGCAAACAATGTCCACAGACTCACCATGCGCCGACTCTGAGGGCCAATGGAACTGCATGACAAGCAGCTTCCAGCGGTGCGGCTCCGGGCGCTGGAGCGAAGTGCAACAATGCGCCTTCGGCACGCAGTGCTCGCCTGCCGGGCTCACGTACGAGTTTCACGTCGACTATGCGGATGGGGCCGCGCCGCCCGGGACATCTGGTGCGGAGCGGGAGATGTTAGTAGATCGATGGGTGGTGGTGGTGAGTGGATTACTGGGTTTATTGGCTTTGTTCTTATGATAGAACTTGGCTGGGCATGGGGTGAATCGGCGCGGGAAAGAGGAAGGGGGGGGATCGGTGAGTGAGTAAGGTGAGCTTTGGTGTTGCGGTGTAACTAATTAATTTCCTGGTTGAGATGCGATGATTATTGATACCCGGGGAAATACTATGAGCGAATCCATTCTACAGGTTGAAGATAGATACCGAGGGCAACGTTGTTCGTCAAGCACTTATGATAGAGAGCAGACGCAGCTTTGACAGCCTACCCACCTAGGTTAGGTACTCAGCCAAAGACACACGAATTACATTCAAATTGCACAACGACAAGCATCGATGAAATTTGAACGAGAGCTGTAGTTGTCATGCTCCATCTTCCAAGGTCCAAATAGGGTAAAAATAAAGAATGAAAAGGTTTCATCATCATCATGAGAATAAATCATCAAGCCCGTGAGCAAATCCCCTTTCCAGAAAACCCCCCTCTCCGTATTCAAAACATCTAAACTACTTGCGTAGAACCACCATCTTTTCGTTTCGTAATGTTTGCTAGACCCTCTTCAAAAGAAATCGTCATATGCTTTCATCATCCCAGTCATGAATATCCCCCTTCCTCCCTCCCTCCCTTCCCAATTCCGAAACAATGAAAATTCAAAAGCCGTTGTACGCCAATACACCAATCCCATACCCATCCCATGCACCGGTAAAGCTAACGACCGTATGCATTGCACACGGCAAAGTAAACGAAGAAAAAAGCCACCGTGGCTTCCATATTCCACCCGCTCTGCCCGTCTACCTGATGCGTTTGCGTTTGCACTGTACGTCTATTCCTCTTCCCCTTCCCTTTCCCCTTTCCCTCCCCGTGTACCCCTACCCCTCGCCTATAATGCACCTTGTCCCCGTCTAATAATGAACTTCTAATCCTCTTCTGGGCGTGTTCCGTCAGGTTGGAGGAGGAGGAGGACGGAGTAAGCTCGAAGAGGCTTCCCCCGTGTCAATGCGGTGTCTCGGGTTGCCCCGGATCGTGCTCCTCATCGGACAAGCCGAGACGCGAGAATGGTCTGGAAGGTGGTCTGGAGGGCGGGCTTGAAGAGCCGCCGAGAGCGCCTCGCAGGCCTACGCCGAAGAATCGTGGCTCAGAGAAACTACCGAGGTAGCCAGCGCTGCCGAAGGATTTGCGGTGTTGTTGCGGTAGCTGTGGGCGCTCCGGGATCACACTCTCGATGTCGTCGTCTGATGGATCGGGTATCTCTTCTTGCAAACTCAGATCTGTGGCAACGTCACTCTTATCTGTAGGCGGTAGCGCTTCATCGATGGCCGCCTCGCTGTTTTCAGGGGTAATAGTGAGTGGTGACGAGAAGTCGAATTCCGGCTTTGACTGTGAGAAGACTTCTTTTCCTGCTGTTGTTTCCGGCGCTGGTCTCACGGTGAGCTGGCTTGCAGCTTCCGTCGGCGTTTCCTGCTCCCTGATGGGTTCTATAGGCGTTGCGTCATATGTGGATTTTGCACTCGTAGGCGCTCCGCCGTCCTTAGACGATGAAGTTCCTACACTCAAAGAAGATGAATTGTCGTCGTGACCCGTGAGATCCAGGTCTACATCCTTCACTACAGGTCGAGCTCTACTGGCTGCAGAGACAACAGAGCCATCTCGTGAACCCAGTGGAGATGCGGGCGATGACGCTGTTCGGTGCGCGTACAGCTTCCTTAGGAAGCTATTCACCTTTCTGGGCCCATCGATTTCACTATCCATTATTCCGGACGAGGGCGGCCTTGGCACGATGATGACCTCATTGTTCGCAGCCAGCTCGTGAAGGTTTGGAGTCACTAAAACACTGCTGCGTATCGAAGGACTGCCGCCGAACTCTAGGTCCGGAGTTCGTGGTACTATTGAGATTGATCCTGTTGTAGTGGGTCTTTGTCTTTCATCTTTATGAGATGCCAAAGAGGTCCCGGTAGGGTACTGATCCGTAGTCGATACACTAGAGGCTGACGTTTGAGTAGTATATGTATTGGATCTTGCGTAAGACACTGACAAGTCGAAGGATGTGTCTGCTGTACTTTGCTGACTGAGTTTAGGATGGTGGGTCTTCGCTTCGGGTGTGCTTGTGGCCATCTCAATAGGGGTGATACGGCCTCCTGGTACCAGTGGAAATACCCGTGCCCCTGTAGCGGGATCCCGGGTTATCCTGGTCCATTGATCTTGAGTAGACGGGGAGGCACCTAACGGCTCCGGTGCCTCAAACAGCTCGCCTCGGCTTGACGCCAATCTTTCGACTGAATCGCCTCCATTTGTGGTAGGGCGATTTGAGGTTGCTGTGAAGTTGCTTAACCTTCTCGACTCCAAAAGACCGTTCGTTGAGGAATCAGCAAGCGGCGGGGCACTGGCCGCCCTGTTTGGTCTTGTCGTCTCAACGTCTCGACTCATGATAGAACAAGTGTCTTTACAGACCATTTCAATATCGTGTTCGATGCGTTGTTTCAGTTTATCCAAAACATAAGCTTTTGCCTTCCCGGACTTTTTCTTATTCCCTGGCTTTTCAATAGGCTCCCGTGCTACCAGAGTCTTATTCAAGATGAAGTGACCTCGTTTCCGTGCGGTCATTCGAACGGCAATAGCATTACCCCTCAGAATGTCTGCCACTCCGGTCTGCAATCGATCCAAGAGTGCCTCCACAGTTCTCTGACAAAGGCATGTTTGAGGGCCAAGTTTGAATGCCAACGGTTCCTCGATGGCCCAGCCTCGTCCCCGAAGTTCAACGATGTAAAATTCAAAATCATTCATACCGGAGATTGATTCATCGGTTTCAGTACAAACTTGTTCAATAGCTGTCTTGGCCTTTTCAACAAATGTGGCACAATCAACCCCGCGGTCTTTCCAGAATACATTGACGCGAGCCCATGTCGTTCGTTCTAAATTGTCAAAAGTTGGACCCATGTTGTTTTTAACTGACAGCAGCATTTCAATGCCGTCACCATCGTGCGGTTGACAGTGCTGGCATTTACTGTGACTCGCGCATGCTTTCTGCAATGCTCCAAACTCTTTCCTCTCAGCCCTGAAAACGCCATCTACCGCGTAACAAGTGTCAAGAAACAGGTTCTCCGCACTCAGGAGCGTAAGTGGTGATAATTGGCGACTATTGACTTCAATAGTCTCATGCCATTTGGAGGGTGTGCGGTGCTGATTTCGACTCGTGATTGAAAAATGGACAGTATAACCGGGTATAGATTCAAAATCTTGCTGTTTTTCGATGAAAAAGGAACGGGGTATGCTTGTGAGTGGCTGAACTCGTCCGGGTTGGTATGGGAAGGTCTTCTGTTCTTGCACGGGATCTGCTCGTACAGGTCCATCTTTCCAGACAAAGGCCTCGTCGTGATGCCTCAAAAAGAGCCCGACCATGTAATGTGTTGCGAGGATGACTTCCCTGGCAGCTTCAGTTGATAGGGGCTGTTTCTGATACGACCTAAGGGTTCGAGAAGCCCAAGCCTCAGTGCCGGTGCCGATTTCATTCCTGAGCATCTGCACCTGTATCTCATATCTCAGAGATTTCGCCAGGCCATCAGTACCGGTACGATCCAAAGCACTTGAATCCTTCCTCGTGATAAGCTCCTTCGAACAATGGTCGACCCGGCGAATCAAGGCCTCACATAATTCCTCGGTGGGCTGAAGCGACGAGGAGCCTTCGTAGTCCTGGCTGTGGGTATAATTCAAAGGCTCGCCAAATTTGACAGTGACGCGTATGCTGAGGCTGCGTACTTGTGGAGGGTCCCGAAACAACGACCTTGTCTCAGATATAGAAACATCCTCTTCGGTTGTAGTAGGGATAAGCTCTGTAGACTGTAACGGCTGCTTTGGTCTGACTTCCTCGCTTTTGGCCCTACGACGATGCCGAAAGTCCTTCTTGAGGCCCTTCATGTCAGAAACAAGGCTCTTGAATCTTGCCGGGAAGCCTGCGAGACTGAGGCTCGTCCGACTCTTGTTAGGGGATGCCTGTACAGCCATTGCACACGGCGGCCGCTAAAAAGCGGGCACCTTTAGAAATTAGAGCCGATGATGGAACTGACAGAGGAGATTAAAAGCCGGCGACAAAAAGAGAAGGGAAAATTAAAAAAGAAACAAAAGAAAGAGAGGAGTGAATCTCTCAGCAAAATGGGAGAAACTGTATATCTATCTAGGTAGAAGAAAGTGAAGTGAACGAAAGGGACGACATGAGAAGGGAGGCTGGCAGGACCGTCTCGTTGACGCGCCTCCAGAACACTGGACTGGAGGGGTAATAAGCACCGAAAAGCCAGGGCGTTAGATAACGCAGGTAGGTACTTTGTACCTAAGAAAACATGCCGCTTTAAGTGGGACGACCGACCTCCCTGTTTCTTCGCTTTTCTTTCTGCCCTTCTTCTTCTCCCTTCTTCTCCGCGAGTTAGCGATAGACAAATCCACATTTTGGCCCGGAGAGTCGCGTGCCGGCACGCCAGGACTTTTGCTAGCCATAAGGGCCGCGGTGATTTCCAAGAGCCATCCAGAGGACACCTTACTGAAGACTGGCATGGATCGCCTGCGGCCTGCTGTGGGATTGGTGTAGATTGGAGCACATTGACGCAGATTTGGGCCACCCAGCCTATGCAGCCAGGGCGGGCGTGCAGCAGCGCCCATGCAGCGAATTTTTCTCAGGCGGTGGGTGGCTTTTGGGCGATGAGCTGCGATCGGTGCCCATCGGATGCCCATCCACACCACATCGGCTCCTACAGGAGCACGTTGGCACCAGTCGTGAGCCGATGTGGTCTGACTACCATCACGGAACTCTTGGTGTGATTATGGATACCGTTATCCATTATAGATCGATCACTACTCAGACTACTGTAGATATGTACAAACATACATACATACACGAAGTATGTATTAAGTATGTCGTACATACTGTAGGTTAGTGTACCTATATGCCTCACATGAAGCCATGCCAGAACCATGTCTGCATCCCGTATAATGCCGCGTCTGTGCTGCGTTAACGGCTGCAAGCTACTGCACCTAGGTAGCCCTGGTTTCTCTTGCCCCGGCTAGGCGGATCTTTTGCTTCGATTGCTGCTCGAGGCTGCTTACATTATCTACCTACCTACCTATCTACCGGGTATAGTAGCCTACCTATGCCACTCCACCAACCGGATACCTGGCTGGTGTTGGTGTTTCGCTGACAAGATTTTGGGTGGCTAGTAATGGACAAAACTCACCCGCGATAGTGCCCTATACAGTAGAACTAGGTAAGTAACTACACATACTTACATCACCATAGGTATGTAGGTAGGTCACGAGCATTCAAGATGCTCGACTGTTCATCTGTTCAGCTACCAATTGAGGGAGGGCTCTTACAGCAGCCACAGTTCTGGTTTCATAGGACCCGATTGGATTGCCCAACGGCCATGTGGCTCCTGTCTCCAAGCTCCCGGAGCCTAACTTCTTTCAGGTAGACGTGGCTCGCTAAAGCCGAGTTGCTTGAGACTTACTCATCCATCTATCCATCCTTCTCAACCTCTAGTTTCTGGTCAACACGCGACGAGTGTTTGACAACAGGAATTACAGCAAGAATGTATAACGATGGTTGCCAAAGGAAAGCTCTCATCTAGTCCAATTGAACCTAAGTAGGGGATGAAAGTTCTGGAACAGAAACTCCGGAGCGAGAAATGCCAGAGAATTACCTAGTTCATAAGAAGGAACAGACAGCCGCAGATGCTCTTTCGACAATCTGATGCTCATGTGTCTCGTAGACATGTCATATGATACCTATCGTCCTCCTCAGCGTGCTTTTCGATAGCATGTTTCAATTTAATACGAACAAATGACACAAAGGACTTGAACCTTTGATGAGTTGCAAGACACGTGACTCATAGCCTGTGGTGATCGGAAATGGTACATGACTTGCCCAGGTATTCATGATCTATCACTCAGACCTATAGAGGGACATCAGCGAGAATATAAACGAAAATCGCGTCTATTTGTTTGCCACATCTTCGTGGCACCTCTAGTACTAGACTACCGCATTATTCCTCTAGAAGGTAGGTAGCCCCTGACACGGTCTCAGAGCAAAAGGGTACTTGCAGATAATCCCGTTTGTCGCTGAAGGCCAATGAACGCGTATAAGAACCGTAGAAACGATGTAGTGAATGGAAGCTTCTCGCCGGTATCTCAGTAGGCATCCAGGTAATGTAGGTAGGGAGGCAACCAGCCATGTAATTATCCAAACGCGTGTTGCCTCGTTTGCGAGGCTGCCGAGCAATAGACGTGAATGGGTACGTATATATCATATCACACATTCAAAATTCAGGTCTGAGTAGAATTTGAAAATTAACAGTTCCTCTTTCCGAGACAGACAATACACCTCTCCCAGTCTTCACAATCCAGCCTTTCTACTCCCTCTTCCTCACCCATTCATCCTGAGTCCTGATCCTCAACTCAAATAAATCCACAGCCATGGCGAAGAAAAGAAACAAGAAAGCCCACGCCGCCGCCAACGCAGCACCCCTACAGCAACCAGCTATTGTAGAAGAGTGGAGTCAGTACATGGGACAAGGCGAGCTCCAAGACTTCCAGCGACTGATGACCGATCTCGGGTTCGAGGAGCACTTTCCGAGCAAGACCAAATGTCGCCAGGTAAGCAATCGAGTCTCATCTATTCCTCGATATTTCCTAAAGTATTTGGGAGAAAAGAAAATTGACGAAGCTATCCTCAAGGCACTCAAGACCGTTTGGGTGAACATCCCAGACTTCCTGCACGCAGTTCGGAATGGATATCCTGTTCATCACTTCCCAAGCCAACAGGAGCTCTCAGCATACACGCTCAAGACTCGCAAATTCTACCCCAAGAACTACATTTCGAAGAACAGTCCTCTACGCCAGCTTCTTGCACATATTCACGGTGGAAAGCGTGGAAGGAACAATGACGCCTCTGGGCTAGTTGGGACGATGGGAGCGTTGTCACTCGTGGGTTAGTAATCAACGGGCTTGTTTTGTCTGGTCTTGTCTTCTTGACAGCTCTATGATTCGCGGATTTGGACAATTTGTTTGTTGGAGCAAAAAACCTGTATTAATAAGTGGTTACGGTTGGCAAAGCTAGCTCCTGATTTCCCATAACCTAATTTTCCCCTGGTCATTCCCGACCGCCAACATGTTGCTCTTTGCGCCGAATGCGACCGCTTCTATCCTTCCCAGCGGCGTTTGCTCTGTGGGCCAGTTCCTGTAGACAGTACAGCTAGGTAGATGGACAAGCTTGAGACCATCCCTCTTATGTCGTGTAGCCATAGCCAGCAACTGCCCGTCTGGACTAAACGTGAGCACTGTGACAGGCGTAATAAGATTCATGAGAGCCCGGACTGGCCCCGGCCGGGGTTTCAATAACAATTCGTCCTCTTTAGACGGGAGGATTAGTGTGTGACGGTCGTAGATGTTTACCACACCCGAGGCAGCGCCTATAGCTACCCATCGGTCCTCGCCGAGCAAGTCAGGGCCGTGAGAGCCGCCAAGGGCGATGGCGCTGGTGGTATTTGATCCCTCATCGTTCCATACGCCTAAGAAGCGCTTTGACACCATACTGTACTCTCCGACTTGGCCTCCTTTTCCTAAAATGGTGAGACCATTTCCAGTCCTCCACCAGCAGAAGTCGATGATACCTCCACGGCTATCTAATCTAGCGGCAGAAATCCACTGCATAGTGTGGACGTTCAAGATATTAATCACACCGCCCCCCTTTCTGGTCGAGGCGATCAAGCCGAGATATCGCCCACAGGGGCTCAACCGGAAACGCTCCCACGTTCGCTGCTCTTCTTGATGACCCTGTATTTTGTTCGTCTTCTGTATCTCTCCGCTTTCAATATCCCAGGAGTGTATATATCTTCGACGACCTGCCATAAAGATTTTGCTTCCGTCTGAGGTGAACTGAGCCCGGCGAACGGGAACGAGGCTGACCTTGGTTGACGTCAACATCGGGTTTGGTGTTGGGTATGCGGTTGGTGCGATATGATGTAAGAACAGCATTGAGGATGTGCTGGAGGACAGTAGAACCGGGTATTTGGGGTGGAAAGCTAGCGACGTGACGTCCTTATGGGTGTCTGGTATGTCACGAGATCTCTGGATATCGATTACTTCAGGCCGGAGCTTCTTCGTCTTTGTCGACGTGCTGCCGTTCAGAGTACTAGAATCGCGAAGAAGTTTATCCAAGGGCAGCGCATCGGCATTGATATCATCACTTTCCATATTCTCGTCTGATGCGTATGATGAGTCGGTAGCAGCAGATGATCGTCTGCGACGCTTCTTTGGCGGTTCTTCCGCTTTTCTTGCCCATTCGGGAAGAGGATTCAGCCGCAAAAACTGCTGTCGGAGCCGGAGGGTATACTCGGTTCCGTTAATGACATCTTCGGCCTCGCTCGCTCGAAGTTTCCGTAGTTGGGTGACATTGGCTAGGGATATGGTGAGCCGCTCGTCATCGCTATCTTCCCAAGCAGGCGCATCTTTTGAGTCAGGCTGGCTTCGATCTTTGGCGGATGGCGCTGCAACTAGCTGTTGGCCACTGGCGGATTTTGGACCTAAGTCTATATCGAAAGCGAAGAAATCGGCGTCCTCTGCGTTTTCCAGGCCTGTGGCCTCATCGTTGTTTAACACTCTCCCCAATGCATCTGTGTCACTATCTTCTCCATCCACTTTATAATCATCCTTGAAGAGATTTGCGCGGAAATTCGCAGCATCTCCTAGAACGAATCGCTCGAGATCTTCTTCGTCGGAATCCTTCTCGCGGGGCGCTCGTTTCCGCTGACGATTCTGCGTTTCCGTTTCTGATTCTTCTTCGGTCGAATACTCGAGGTCTTGGTAATCTGATTCTGAGCTAGGTTCGCTGTCAATTGACAGATCAGGGCGTCTAGGGGCCATCGTGTTCCTTTTTGGATTTCCAGGAAGGTAGCGATTGTCACTTAACCGCGACAACTTTTTTTCTTATCGAGACGCTTTACAATAATCCCTGTCAGTATTAAGGTTTAGGGGAGCTCCTGGTGGGGCGACACCCGCTAAATTATATAAATTGTTGATAAGCATACGATCGAGCCGATTATGCATATCTCGGAGAATGCGTAGGTAAGTTGGATTATGCAATTATCAGGCTCTCAACGAAGTGCGCTGGGGCTAAAAAAGCAGTGCATGGCCTCACGTGCATGACTCCTGGAGGTTACAGCTATCGACAGCATGATCGTCGGCCTCATCTGGCGGTCGTTTGTAATGATGATCTTATCTTGGGCGTCAACACTCTTTTCAAAAAAATAATGTATTCGATATACTACTGTAGCAAAGACGCGGCGGCGACCAGCTCGCTCTCCAGAAGTTTCAACTTCTCACTAACAGACTCAGGACTGCGTAGCGTCAACACAGCAGCTTTCTGTGCCACATTTATCAGGTTTTCAATCCTGCCCCCCTGCGCTAAACCTGCGACAAGAGTCCCCATGAAGGTATCCCCAATGCCATTCACAGATGCGACGTCTGTGACTAATTCGACAGATGGGTACATTCTCATGTAGACGCCCCCAACATCTGGGTGGTCATTAATGCACCTCGAGAGGATGAAAGGTTCATGTTTCGCATCGTAAAGACGCGGGTCATCTTTCTTCAGGATAGCCGTCAGAAGGGCGCCGTCGCTTCCCAGCTTTGTTATGATTGTTGGGATGAAGGGTAGTAACTGGATAGCTTGTTGTGGGATACCTGCGTCCGTCATACCCGCCGAGGTTAGCTTGACGAAGCGGTCTCGAGCTCCTCTTATGCTGAACGCATCAATGATCGTCCACCACCGCGGGTCCTCGAAATACTCATTATTCTGAGCAGCTGCATGCATTGCCGCCAATTCGTATTGGTTTGGCGTAGTGAGATCAACCGTAGCGTGAGGAAAGACACCCAAGCTCTCAAGACTTCTTCCAGTGCAGAACAGTCGCGCTGATTTTGCCTTGGACACCGGTTCAAAGGCAACTTGTGCATTGTTTGTTTTACCAGCTTGCATCCATGACCGAATATCGTGATCTTTCCAGTTGGCGTCGACGACGAGCCACTTTGGCTTGGAGGTCTCGATGATGGTGGCCCAAGAGGGAGAGAAGGACTGGCTAGTAAAGATGTCCATATCTGCCATGGCAAGTACGAGGTGCTTGTTGGCATCATTGACTGATACGTATTGTGCAGTACGCGCGCCTTGATGCTCATCATGGCTTAATACCTGGATGTTTGACGTATCCATGCCACATGACTCTAGTGACGCCAGAACGGTCGAGCCGGCACTTAAATCGAAAATAGTCAGTAGAGGGAACATCATCAATTGCAACAAGGGGGCATTACTGACAGATCACGCCCAACCATGCTGCAAAGCCGTACTTTCATGTTTTTATTAACTCGGTGAGCTGCAAGTGCTACGTTGCGCCCAACGCCCCCTATCGATTGAGTAATATTGGAGGGATTTGAGGTATGGAGTTGTGGGATTGGATCCTCAACCGCGTTGCCACATGTATAGTCGCAACTTAGGTCTACTGCCACAGACCCAGCAACGAGAATATCTGCTTGCGACGATACCTATGATAGCCATGTTAGTCTACGCAAACCTACACATAGCTCACAGGATAGCATCATCGACTTCGGATTTTGTTATATGGTAAGTTCAAATCTAGCAAAAGTCCTCATACCTCCGTTTTTGTTATCATTTTTTGTATTGGATTAGCTACCTTTTCAGGTCTTTCTAAACCGGCCCATTGCTTCACCCTATCCCACAGTTGTTAGACTATTGCGGCAAATAGTAGGAAGAGCTCGTAGCTCACGATGAGTTTGGTGTTGATGGGCCCTCAGAGATAAGCCTAGACACCGCGCTAGCAAGTTTTGCCGCTCGCTCTACGTTTGACTGCACCAGGGCCTTATTTGCTGGCACACTTCTCCCGTTTGTGAGTTCCCGGATTCTTTTCAGTATAAAAGGCGTGTTTGCATTGCCATGAGCACCTTGCTCATCTGCTTCTCGTACGGCCTGCTCGATGATCGCATTCAGCTCGCGTCCGGGTATCTCGTGCTCTACTGGGACCGGGTTCGCCATTATGAGGCCGGTTTCGATTTTCAGCCTTTCCTGCGCCAAAAGGATAGCTGCAGCATGCTCCTCGTCCTGAACAACAAAGGGGCTCTTAATGCCGCTTTCTCTAGCCCAAAATCCAGGAAGATCGATATCTCCCGTTCTCCCATCAGCGAAGGTTGAGACCAGGACTCCTTGGGTTTCTAGATATTCCAGAGTCCTGGGGATATCCAAGAAGCCTTTGCTACCAGAGCACACTACTGCCATCCTTGTCCGTCCAAGTTCTGTCAGATCAGCGCTGATATCAAACGAGATGTGACCACCTCGATGAACTCCACCGAGACCCCCAGTACCAAAGACTCGAATGCCAGCCAACCTTGCCAGAACCATGGTTCCTGCAATTGTGGTGCCTCCATTAACCTTTTGGCCGACCATACCCTAGACGAAAGATTAGCAAACAAGTCTGATTGAAGCGTATACGGAGGCTTTATCATACACTCCCAACTAAAAAGGCAAGATCCCGCCTAGATGCCTTTTTGGGGGAGCCCTCGACCATTCGGTTGACTTCATCAGGAGTGAGTCCGACGGTGGGCACACCACCCAAGATACCTACGACAGCAGGTACGCCCCCATTTCTTCGAACTATAGCTTCAAGTTCAAGGTCGTTTCCAAGTGCTCCGTGGGTATATATTGTTGATTCAAGGGCGACTACAGGTTTGTTCGTAGCCAGGGCATCGGTTACCTCCTCAGATACTCTCAGTATTTCCTTGAGACCAGCTAGGTTTCCCGAAGCATAACCCCGGCATGCTCTTCCGGTAGCTGATAATGAGGTACAGTTGAACACGTGACGAGATCTACACACGTTCAGGGCCCAACGATGACCAGTCCACCGTCCAATGCGCGTAAGTGGCCGGTGTAACATCTGCATTGTGACCTATTAATGAACCTTCTCGATAGAGAGCGCCAAGCTGTCTGTCTCCCTAAATTCGATAAGTCTGGATGCGCTGGGGGTGGTAAGGGCGCACAATGTCCAGGTAGCTGCAAATTGGGATAAACGCTTACGGTGCCATTCGATGTTCATGAATATATACCCTTGAATTCTAATAGGGTTAACAGGGCATGCAGTGATGTATAAACCCTTTGGTTATTCCGATTTCAACACCGGTGATAGGGCTTGGTGGTACTGGGTAACCTTCGGAAGCCGTTGGATATAGAATTAGAGTCCCAACGGTAACTTCCGACGGCGCTTTCGCTAACCTGGACAGATACCACTCACTGCAGCATGGGCCACCTCTACTCGGCCTGTCTGCGTCAGAGCCAGGTTGGCGGATCCCTGCCAATATCCAATATCCACTTTCAGTTGGTCTACCTACCCTGGTAATTCTTCCCATATACTAAGGTATTAATGTACTGCCCAGGTCTGTTCTGAAACAGAAATGTGCACATCTCGATTCATCGTCATTGTCAGACACGGTGAAAACCAGGCGAGTACAAAGAACGAAGCACCGATCCTAAGCTGATAGAATCCGACATATTCGCTGTCTCGTCTGTGTATTCTAGGGACTCGACAGCTGATACTGTTTGTTGTAATCTTTCACTTAACATTATGTGAAGAGGCTGACCCCTTATACCAACACCATTGGAACTCAATGAAATGGCAAAGTTGCCCTAAGGAACAATTCCGGAGTTACAGGGCCGAATGTCCTCCATTGCCCCCAGTGTCAAGCATGAATTCCTACACAATCCTCGTCTGAACTGCAAGACCCTTGTACATCCAGATAATAGTTAAGGATGTAGCCGTTGTTCCGAGCCTGCCCACCTGTATTTCTATGAAGACACCATTAACCTTGCTCTTGTACAGCAAATTGTGAATACTTACTTTGTTCCCTACAATTTGAATCTCGATTTTCGACAATCTATATACCATTGCGCGTGGTAACTCGCGCGATGAAGCCTTTGAGCGGCTTGGCCGCGTTGATGCCGCTAATCCTCGCATCCGCCTCGGCAGCTGATTTCGTGATTTCGAATGGTCAAATCTTTACACCAGGCTTTGCGATTTTAGATGCGCCGCAGCCGGGCACGCCTTTAGGTGGAGGTGCGTAAATCCTTTGAGCTGAAAGCAAGTGCAGGTGTTGATATGTTGCGACGTGTAGACACTATCGAGGTCGCACTAGATGTGTCGGCCAACGGTAAACTTAATCTACCGCCATACGACCCGGACAGTCCCAGCCTCATCCATAACATCACCATATTTCTCTACAGCTACGATACCGGAAGAAATTTCACTATCACGAATGGGACGGCTTCGGAGAACAACGCTAGTCTAGGCGACATCATGCTTTCGGAGCCGGGGAGCACTGTCAAGCATGTGAAATGGACCGTCAGTAATTTCGCTTCTTCCTGTTTTATTGCCCTTTCAACGGTCGGAACCCTTGAAAGTATCGGGTTGTCCTCTGGGGCGACTCATATTTCTCGGAAATGCTCATACCCAAGGATTGGCAGCTAACTTGAATGTTGCAGTGGCCGGACTGCTTAATTGGTGACGGTCAACCAGACAGCCCAGATAGTGACCGCGGAGAATATAACGTTAGTCAAGATACCACACGAGACGCTCACGCAAATCTAGATGCTAACAACCTTGGCCAGATTTCTATTCGCCAGAACTTTCGGTTGAACGACGAGGATCACTACACCATCTTCGACGTGCCAATCTCCGTCACCAACCGCATCGACTTTGCTGGTAACAACCCGGCATGCGACTCGGTTGACAACCCGCTGCTAACCCCAGAGGAAATCGACGCCGAGGCGGCAAATAATGTTGGTGTGCTATTCGCACCAGGCGATGCGACGGTAATACAACAAACTACAGCAGGGAGCGCTGAGTCGATACACTTGGAATGGAGGTCTGTTGTTGTAGGCATGCTGGCGCTTGCAGCCTTTCACTACTTTCATTTCTGATACCTATTCTGTGCATGGTGAAGGCTAGTCTAGCCAACTAGTGATGTTATGTAGATGTAAAGCACAGCAGAACATATACCCATTATTTACACTTTGATTAGTCATTTCAAGCTCATTTTATCAGATCAAGGACATTGTTTCTTCATCATCGCCAGCGCCTTTTCACAAATAGCAAGCTCATCGCAGAATTCAATAACCTACCCTAGCATATAAGCCCCCTCTTAACCCGCCTCCCCGCATTTTAGCATCCTCCTCTCACCACCATAAGAGGTAGGAACCTCGGCAGCCAGCGTTTAGGGTGAATATACATCCTGGATAGCTCGACTGTCTCGATGGCCAAGCTTCTGAGAATCATACATATGGCAGAACGTCCAGGTGCGGTCTCGATAGCTGATTCCCTCTCCAACTCTTTAGCATAAACTCGTCAATCTGCATATACCTATGTACTGTTACTCTCGAATTGCTTCACTTTAGGTTTTCATTACTGTTTTCTATGCGCTGTACTATTATTGCTTAATCAATTATCCTATCACTTATCAAGATGCCGATTCATAATGGATTGATTCCTCGCGAGGGCTTTACCGGCGACGTGATACTAAAGCTACTCGGGCGCACGGCCTTCAACCCTTCGCTCTTACTACCTGTGTACTTGCTGGCCAAGTTCACTAAGAAAGGCGAAGACCTTACCATGCTCCATCCCACCGCGTACTCTCGGTTTAAAGCCATTTTCTACCTCGCTCTTGTCCGGTACTTGAGTAAGAAGATATCCGACCGTGTGACGAATGGTTGGAGCAGCGACACATACAACTGGCCTGAAGAGATCGCCGTCGTCACTGGTGGCTCCGGCGGAATCGGCGGCCATGTCGTCAAATTGCTCGCGGAAAAGGGTCTCAAAGTTGTGGTGCTTGATATTCAACCAATGACGTTTGACGCAGGTGAGCGAATCCAGCTGAGTTTAAAGATAAATGGATGACAACGTTGAACTCACGTGGGACCGATAGGCCCGAACGTCCACTACTTCAAATGCGATATCACATCATCTGCAAACTTGGCGGCCGTGGCTAAGGAAATCCGCGCCAAGGTGGGCGAACCTACGATCCTCGTGAACAATGCGGGCGTGGCGCGCGGAAAGACAATCCTCGAAACAAGCGAGAAGGATCTCAAGTTCACCTTCGACGTCAATGTATTCGCGCATTATAATACAGTCAAAGAGTTCCTGCCGTCCATGATCCGAAAGAATCATGGCATGGTTGTGACAGTGGCCAGCCTCGCGGCGTGGCTGACGGTGCCGAGCATGGTGGACTACGCCATGTCTAAGACAGCGGCAATGTCGTTTCACGAGGGGCTCTCGGCGGAGCTGAAGACGCGGTACAATGCGCCCAAGGTTCGGACCGTCATAGTCAATCAGGGGTACACGAAAACGGCGCTGTTCACAGGCTACTACAACGACTCGCCTTTCCTGATGCCGGCCCTCGAGCCCGAGTCCGTCGCGGACGGCATCTGTCGCCAGATCTTCACGGGCCGCAGCGGACAGGTCATAATGCCTGCGTTCGGGCGCATTATCCAGCTTATACAGGCGCTGCCGCATTGGTACTCGTACGGCCTGAGGGCGAAGGGCGAGAATATCATGACGAATTGGAAAGGCAGACAGGTCGTGCAGGATCTAGATACGTATTATGCGGATAAGGAGAAGGTGACCAATCCGGAGGAAAGTACAGTTCTTGTACCGGAGCACAGTTAAATGATTACGTGAAGAGGTGTTGTATTCCATGGGGATAGTGATTTTGTCTCACACTTGCTGTATATTTGCGCCTCGCTGAAGCTGCGGCTAACACCGCAGGGTTTTATGCTCTTTACGATATGAGACACGAGTTACTTGACGATACAAAGTCCGAGTGCAAATTGGTACCCTTTTATTTCGATACGGGGAATATTCGTACCAACCCCTACGGGTTTGGTGAATGGCCCATATACCTATCTACTCAAGTAGGCTTCATCATTACATACTATCACCGAGGTCGTCCTCAAGGCTCGATTGATAGCATTCAAGTTATCATATCTGCAGCAGATGGCGCGGAAATATACGTATATATTGACATAGACTCGTCTTTTGCATGAGAAATACTTGTTTGAGTTACCACAGGTAGCGAAGCATCTCTATAAAGTACCATGCATGTTAACCAGCGTTTTAGCGTCTACTGAATAGGCACACCCTTCCATACTCTGTTTCGTCACCAAATCCTTTGTTCTGCTTGCTTATTGCTGTTAGAGCACATGCCCACGTACAAATGAATGAGATGTCTTCAATGCCTTCAAGACTGTACGCTACTGTAGTTTCCGAAAGCTGGAAAAGATAGTAGAGAAGATGGAGAATACGGGAAGACGCAGAAATTGGTACGGCCTCCATCCCCCTTCCTGGAAAGGTGTCCGTATTCTGCTTCTAGAGTCACCTTATATAACGCCACCAAGGATCTAGGTCAAGAGGCCGCCATTTAGCGTAAATGCTTGATGGGCGGAATCAGCCTTAAGATTGGCTGGCCCCGGCTGGTGATCGAAAGAAGAAAACGACTAAGTATGGTTCAGCCCCGTAAGCGGGCGAAGTGGTCTAGACCAGCTGCGGCTGGACTCTAGCTTTCTGCCTTTCTACATTTAGACTATGATAAGCGGCACGCGCCCATCCAGTTGGATCTTGTGATGATGGCCTTCACTTATGCGCATCGTGCTGTTGTGAAATTTCGAGGCAGAGTACAAGGGGTGGTGTCAAATATATAGAAATTAACCTTTAGGTGTAGCACCAGAGTCAGTTCGAGTTAGTTATTGCATTTTGCGTACCAACTCGTGAAAGCAGGAAGCGAAGACGAGATGGAGACCCTGCGGAAGTTGGCCGACATCCCAGAAGACCGGTTCAAGAAGCCGCCGTCATATTTCAGTCAAGACTGGATCACCCATGTACATGCACGAAGCTTTGGCTCACGACGAGCGCCGGAATTCCAGCAGGTGGACTCGACGTCAACAGAGCTTCTGGGGAAGATCGCGGAGCTCGAGCGGAGGCCGTTGGGCGACGGCGCGCCGGGAATTGATCCGCAGAGTGAAGATGCGACGGCAAGCCTAATGCTAGTAACGCTGAACCGTGACCGGGACGAGAAAATCATCCTATCGAAGTCGACGTTCATGGAAATCTACCAACGGTTCGGCATCGATCAGCGGTTTCTCCAGCACATCAGCACGAATCGCTATGGGCTACATTACGACTGGAACGGGCAGGTACTATCGTACTACGTGGGCACAGCGCTGTATATCCTCATGTGGTCTTTCGATAGACGGACACGCGCAACGCGGGCGATTTTGCTCTCGAGGGATTTTATCAGCACTGGGGAGCTTGGGTCGCTGCGACAACTGCTCCAACTAGAGATTAGGAGAATGCACTCTCCGTTTCTATTAGCTTGGGTCTCGTTAGTCCATTTAAGTAACTGGATGGACTCGAGCACATATTATCTCCTCACCACCATACGACAGCTCGAAGAGCTCACAGGCTATGGTCCGTATGGAATGCACACGACGAAAAGCGAAATTCCCATCGATCAGCTGACGCAAGCCTCGAAGAACGTCGGCTACGTGCAAGTGAATCTAGCGAACCAGCTGCGCCACGTCACGATTGGTCAGGCCATTGCTTCGCACATCTCTTCGAGAAAACCAAAACTCGCAGACTATGCCATCGAGCCGTTCATCGGAGATTGCGAGAGGGAGATCGATGAGTTCCACATGACCACGAACACTCTGAAGAGGAGTCTGAACGATTCCGCCGCGTACGTGTATTACCTGCAGGAGCGTGTTAAGAGCCAGAACACGGTCGTCTACGCGCTCATGCAGCAGGCGGATGCGAAGATCAATATCGGCTTGGCGAAGGCGAGTAAGGAGCTTGCCGAGGCTGCGAAGAAAGACAGCTCGTCGATGAAATCGATCGCTATCATGGTATGTGGTTATCTCAACTCTCTGAAATACCTATAGGGTCCTCGTCCAAGTTGGGTTATTGGAGATATTGAATGTTACAGCAAGATTGAAACTAACTTTCCTTCAACAGACAATGCTATTCCTTCCAGGGACTTACTTTGCTGCTCTCTGGGCAGTGCCATCTCTCAAGTGGGGACAAGCAGACGTGATACAGTCAGACTTCTGGGTATACTGGGCCTTCACCCTTCCAAGCACGCTCCTCATCTTCATCGTCTGGTTTGGATTGCACAAGTGGAGGTTCTCCCGGTCCTTAAGGCCACCGCCAATGCAGCAGCTCGCAGGGTACGAGGCGCTCGCGGGGCAGTCTGCGGAATCTTATCACGGGTTAACAGCAGCAGCGGCACCAGCGCCATCTACGCAGTATACGACAATGCCGCCTTCGAATTTCTCGGCTCCCCCGCTTCCTCCAAGTTTTCCTCCCGACATACCTCTGAAACCGGCAGATGCGTACTCGGCGCCGGCTATGCCGCCCCCGGATACATACAATGCGAGGCCGCCCAGTTATGGATTGCCTCCTAGGCAACCCGACGCTCATATGTACTCGGCACCCCCCTTTATGATCCCCGAAGAGCCTTACTCGGGAGTCCCGTGATTGCGTACTCGGTACCAGCGGTATTACTGGCGGACCAACAAGACCCATATGGTAGACAGACGTCTGCGCCGGCAACGTATCGAATATCGTTTTATAATGGCGCTCAAAGCCCGTGGATATTTTCTTTTTATCTTTTTTAATTTGCTCATGGCCGCTCTCCTCTGTTTTGTGTAGTGCAAGCGTATATGAAGCACTTTTTGTATTAGTCAGACACTTTTGAATATCTAGAAACAATGGAATGAGTTCAATATTTCAGGATCGGAAACATAGAAGATATGGAGTCTGATTTTGAAGCTATGTTCATTCAGAGATTCGTTGACTGCTCGAGCATAACCTTGACGTTAAAACATCGCACATTGCGTGTATGATAAGGCATTGGACTTGGAAAAGCACAACCGATATGACCCCGATCGTGTAGCCTGAAATCAATGTGTCAATGATCACCCTTTCCAGCGGTGTAAGATGGGTATTTCAGCAAGAGGCGGGTAGCCTGACTTTCTATCAAATGCGCTGACATGTTTGTGTGGCGTGGTAATGGGTGAGAATTACAATGTCGGGTCTCTATACCCCGTCGATTGACTGAAGATTCAGCATGTGAGTTATCCTGATGTGGGCTAACTTTCCTACATGCGGAAACGATTCTACCGAGTTTAAACAAACATGAAAATCAAAGCCACTGTCCTAGAACTCCTCGTATTTGTGGTGGAGCGCGTTGTACTTCGTTGACTATTGTGCGGCGGCGGCGCAACTGGGCGACATCACGCACCCAATGAGTCCCCCATTGAGGCCAGATGAATACTACGTACATTATGTCATTATATAAGTTCAATTGACCGCAGTATATCTATAAAAACCAAATAGAGGCCTACCTACCATCGGTACTATTGGGTCAATAGCAACCTGTTACATACCTAAGTAGAGAGCTGACGCCATCCCCACTCATTGGTGCAGCTAATCGGGCTGAGCCACGAAGACAAAGATCGTATCACCTCATCCATTGGCGGGGATGCGACGCAAGGGGTAGGTCGTCAGCTCAACTAGGCACCTATGCTAGGCGCTTCCCGAGGAGTCAGTGTCACACCTAGCGCTGACTGACAGACTTGTTTCAGGGAGGCCAAAAGAGCAAATGGAAAGCGGTTATTTCCATTTTCTTCTTTGTTTTCCATTGACAAGACTGCGAATGAATCACTTTGAAGTCAGAGGCAGTCAAACTAGCCTTGAATAGAACTTAGCACAGTCTTACTTCGACTTCCTATAAGACGTTGAAGTAAGACAAGTGCTGGTAACGGGATAGCTTCGGAATCTACCTACGAATTAAAAGACTCACTTACTAGAGTGTATGCATACATGGCTTGTGAAAGCCGCGAACGTGCGATTCGACTATCGTCATAACAAACAACAATACAGCCAGGGCAACCTGTAGGAAGGCTTCGTCAAGCATGCCGTCAAAACACACAATTGAAGTCACAGTGCCCATCCCACCAGAGGTTGCTCCAGGTGATGTTGTAGCCACACTGCAGACCTTCGAGCCACTCCTCGACAATCACGGCTATGTCGTCAACTACTGGCCCAAGTCAGGGCCGATCAGCAACAAGGACCTCGCGATAATAAAGGGGGACCCGTTCTTCGAGGACGAGCGCCACGACCTGCCATCGCAGGATATCCCGCTTGACCCGGAGGCGACAGACTCGCGCTGGTGGCTTTGCGACGTCTGGGAGGACGTCTACTACGTGCCCTTCATTGTACCGTACTTCTCGCGCTTGAAGCGCTACCTCGCTATCGGCTGCAGGACAGAGGGCGGGATCCGGTTCCGGCAGCGCGTGTCCGGGGGTGTTGTCACGAGGGGTACCTTCACAATTATCTCGAGGGAGACGGGACGGCCATATGTACCCAGGACGCGAGAGGATGTCTGGGATGGGGAGACGGAGAACGGGTCTATCGCCTCCAACGATGAGGATACAGGGGAGGGAGCAGATGAGGGTGGGGATGAGGAAAGAGTTGCGGGTAATAGAAAGAGTGGAAGGAATTGGGACGCACAGGATGAGACGGACACCGAGACGGAGCCGTCTTGGGATATCGTCTGTGCGTGTGAGATCGAAATGCCTCTCATCTTGGTCATGTCACAAATCCTTAAACGCGATGAGAACCGTGCGCTCTGCGAACACTTGTGCAAGGCCATCATTACAGCGACTAGGATTGCATTTCGATGATTGAACGAATGAATGTACGATTATGATCTCGGCTCAATTTAGGTTCGGCTCGGTCGGTAAATTGCTGTTACGCTGCGCAGGTATATCTTCGGTGTCATCGATTTGCTATATATGGTAATGATAATGGACACGAATATTCTCGACTTACCTGATTCTACGCCCAACGACTGAAGTGTATCGAATTACTTGAATGGTAGATACAAATAAGGACCCAATATATCTCTCAAAATGTCTGTATTTCAAACTTTATAAAGGGGGTCACCTCTAAGCTCTGTTGTTCTTCTCGTCGTCATCGACACATCTTAGTCTCAACTCAGTGGTCTCAAAGAAGGCACATAGCTCTGAGCGACACAGACACTAAAATTGTGGCATTCTAGATCTAGATCTCATCCAGGGTAGAGAAGAATGGATATTTCGAAGAGATCGAAGCGTCATGAATAGGTCATACCTAAGCATCGCCAAATCACTTATAAGCTGTAGGTAGCCATTATGGGACGACCAAACTCATAGGAATTACCTACCGAATCCTGGACAGATGTTCTTTTGAGAAAATTGAGCGGACATCCAAAAAACCAAAAAATACCTATCATGAATACCCTCATCCAATCTTCAGCTCGCGTATCAAGACGCAGTGGAGGTACGACAATGTCACCATCACGAGTCTCACAGCATCTGCGTAGAACCTACGCGACACAGCGTCCAACACTCCCAGAAGGCAGCAACAAGCCACTGTTCGTCAAGTCTCATTCCCTTTTTTTCCCTCCCTATTTTACCAACACACACCTCGCCTATTTCTCGCACTAACACACCGCCAGCATGATCGCCGCCATCGTCGGCATCCCAGCCTTGACGTACTTCATGCTCCCCTCGCGTCCAGCCGCAGCAGGCAAGCCCGTAGCCAACCCGTCAATCCGACCAAACCTCGATCCAGCAGCACGAAAGCGCGATCGGGACTCCCACGAGTCTGACGAGCCTAAGTACGTGCACCCCGAGCACAAGAACCCGGATGAGTTCAAGTCCGCGTTCGGACAACTACACCAGCAGAAGAGAGTCGACTCTCCGCCGGATAGGAGACATCATCAGGCTTTGAATGATAAGGCGAGGGTGTATGATTGATTCGAAGGATGGCTGTCGCGCAAGCAAAAAAGGAAGATAGGAATATGGAGTGTTAACATGTTGGGACTTATACATCCCATTGAGGCTCTGAATAGGGATGGGCAGGACGATGTAATTCTATGTGTAGTATCTTGCAACAATTACCTGTACAGGTACCTAGGTAAAGATGTGTGCCATGGTGAATCTTACTAGGTATATCTATATCTCATCAATGAAAATAATTATTCGGCAAATGTATCCAGACACCAAGGCGCGCACTCACCCATCATCACGAAACGCCTTACAAAGTATACACCAACTTCGTCCCACTAACCCTATCATTCTTCAACTCATCTAACCCCGTCAGCACACCCTCCAATCCCTTCCCAAGCCGATTAACCTCAGGCTTCAGGGGTATCAACTTCCCGCTCTCCAGCAACCCCTGCGTGGTCTGCCAGAACATGGTCGCGTACTCGACCTCGCTCGGGTCCGGCACGAACTGCTTGCCCAGCCGGGGGTACGGGACGCCGAAGACGTCGTACCCGAGCGTGAAATGCGGGCCGTCGACCACGGGGTTCTCCGCGTCGAATATCTCCCGCTTGACGGGGATGATGGTCGCGTACTTCGGCCTGCCCCCTTCTTCGCTGTCGCTGAGCGCGGCGGCGCAGATCGAGGCCCCGAACCCCGTGCAGTCCCACGCGTGCTTCAGCTTGTTGCCCGTCAGCGCCCGGATGTCGGCGCCGACGGTGGGCGACTTGTAGTCGAAGACGTGGTCTGCGCCGAGGGACCTCAGGTGGTCGAAGTTGTGCGGCGACGCCGTCGCTATTACTGTCAGACCGGAGAGCTTGGCGTACTTGATCCCGTAGATGCCTGTCGCTGTGCTCCCGCCGTAGATGAGGACCGGGAACGGCGTGGCGACGGGGTTGTTGGGGAGAGGGAGCTGGAGGGTCTTGTAGAGGCCTTGGCCCTGTGGTGATGTGAGTCTTCTACGATATTGATGCCGTCTAGGTACTATGGAGAGCAAGATTTTAGGACAGTACGTACTACTGTGGTCACTGAGACGCCAAAGGTCGCTGCCTCTTCGTATGTGACGCTGGATGGAGGCTTGAGCTGTGCGTGCTCTTGGACGGCCACGTATTCGCCGAAGGCGCCATTGTCGGGCGCATGCACGCTCCTGTGAGATGACGGATCAGGTCAGCTTTCGTGATCCTATATGTTCATCCTTATTAAACCAGCCGAGTTCGCAAATGAGCACCACTTACGCGCCAAACACGAAACCAGCACTCCTGTCGCCCTTCTTGATATTTTTCGTCAGACCGGGCCCGACCTCAACGACCTCGCCGGCGAAATCGCATCCGAGGCGGGACCCGAAGCGGCTGGGCTCGGCGCCGTGAACGCTCTTCCAATCCGTGGGGTTGACGCCGACGGCGTGGACCTTAACGAGGATATGGCCTTCTTCGAGCTTTGGTAGAGGCAGTTCTCTGATCTCCGCCTTGCCTTTCTCGACGAGAACAATTGCCTTGTTGGTAGCCATCTTTCCTTCTTTATGTATCTAGTCTGATGTCAGTTGGCTGCTAGCTTGACGGCTCCAACGGCATAGAGTCGGAACCTACTTAAGTCCCGGTAAGATTTCCAAGAATATAGACGTTGAACTAGAACAAGTCGGCTTCAATTATGTGTTTGATGCCGCCGAGTGCAAACAGACAGGTAGCTTAATAATCAACTTTAGAGGGGAAAATAAGGTTGCTTCAATTGTAGAATTCTGACGTTGACGGGAAGTTTTAGAACCACTATTCTTACGCAATGCTAGCAATCCTCATCAATACCACGACACTGGCATCGAGGTCATCCATTATATATGATGAAACGGTCGGGGCAATATCTTGTTGCCTCGGCTCAACTTTCGCCGGCGGGGGTATATAGTTAGTCCTAGACGCTTGACCCCACGATGGCATCATCTTGAGTTTTCGGCGTTGATTACAAAGCAATGCGCTGAAGAGGGCATCTGTTACAGTAACGCAAAGTTCCTTACTTAACATCGGCCTCGGCATGATAACACAGAAGCAGGCGTGCCGAGCCGAGACATTACTTACAGAGGCATCGTACATTAGCTCCTCGGTGCGATCTAATTGAACCCTGTCTTAACCTACCATTTAGTCCCCGACCCCGCGGCCAGACATACAGGATGCTAAGGCAAGTGGCTACAATCACATCAGTATTCGATTAATCATCATATTCGTCAGCTAGAAGCTGTCCACTATCGACGAGGCTTTGCCGCTTAGCTAGAGCAAGAAGTCATTCCGAAGAAACGTTAAGTCTCCGGTGGGTCAAATAATTCCCCCCTGCACATCGCGGGACAGTCTATGATTACAAGTTTTGAAAATACTGAGACATGATGAGAACTCTGGGATATTTCATTCAATGAAGTGGTATCTAGCCTGCCGTCTATAATGTGGACATTTCTGCCAATAAGAGAGCTCATAGGTTACCCAATAGCTTAGTCTACATATGGCCCATTGTATATATCATGATGCATCGCTCATCAAATCCAAGACCGTTAAAACGCCAATGATCGTCACGAAAGGAAGGATAGAAAATACAGCTATACAAATCAACGCCCGCCATAATCGCTAGCGTATCCCATTTCTCCAAAGTTTTGCTGGCCTCCACCTTCGCCAAACCCTGTCCCAGGCCCGCTAACATAGCCAGCCTCCTCGCCATCATCATAATCGGAGGCGTCGAAACTGGATCGACCGCTAATCTCGTCGTCCACATTGCCCATGTCGCCTTGACTCCAATTCATCTGGGCTAAAGCAGGGTATTGTGCCAACAGCGCGGCCGGTAAACCAAATGCGCTCGTGTCCATGCCAGGATAGACGCCAGGATCCATCATGACCTGTTGCTGAGCCATGTTTTGTGCGGCGGCCATCTGCATATGTTGCTCCTGCCAGACACGCTGTCGCTCTATCATTTCCTCGTCTAGAAGGGGTTTGATACATATCCGGCCAGCTTCAGACCGGAAATGACGACCTAGCGCATCTGCGCGGGCAAACCTTCTGCCACAGCCCCATTGTCCACCGGCTTTTAATTCACCTTTGCAAACGAACTTCTTCTCGCCCGTGTGTAAGCCCTCATGACGCTTACGATCATGCTGTCGGGCAAAAGCTTTGCCGCATACCGTACATACGAATGGCCGCTCATCCGTGTGAGTACGTAGATGTGAACGAAGATTATAGGCTCGGGTAAATCTTTTCGGGCAAAGCGTACATTGGAATGTCGCGGGGTGTTTCTGAACCCTCTTAGTGTTGCCGCTGTCCTGGGCGGCCTGGTATTCCGGATCTGCCAGTCGAAGCGCAATCACGTTGTTAGGTACCGAAGACATGGACACACGTCGCCGAGAGGCGGCATTTGCGCTACCGGACCTGTCGCCTGGGGCGAGTGGGGAAAGAGACCTAGATGATGACTCGGATCCAGATCGTGAACGGTTCGCCAAATCAGCACCCAAATGTGGTGAAAGGCTCCCTGGCGTCTGAGGCCGCGAGTTACCGCCGACACCGCTGTACATTGAATCAGTAGCGGCCCGTGGCCGTGATCTTGGCCGGCCTACATGGATGTTAGTCAGTCAAATTCGAGATATAGTTAAGTTCATGCAGTAATACCTCTATCAGGGGGAGTCAGTGAACTTTCATCCATAGGTGGTTTCAGAGGCTCAAAGGTATTTTGCTTAGCATTAGGAGCAAAATCGATGTTAATTGAGGGTGGCGCCAATCCTCCCTGGGTTATCGGTTGTTCCATGGGCATCTCAGCTTGTAGTGTTGGAAATTCTTCTGATGGTAGAGAATAGCTAACCGGGGGAACGCCATAGCCCGCGTTTAGCATCATAGGTTGATTTAATTGGCCAGCGTCAGGCATCTGGGGGAGTATTCGAGGAGATATATGTGGACTATGTGACGGACTACGGCTATTGCGATTGGCATCTGATATACTGAAGTTCCCTAGTCCCATGACACCATCATAAAAGCTGTCCTGAGATCGCTGCATTGGCGAGTGGCCATGTTCAGGGTGATCGAATCCGTCATGGGCCGTTAAACTCGGCGACGCCGCATTGGAGGATACGTCGGAGTAGTCTGAAGGTGTTCTACGATGGCCTTGGAATTGGGCCTGAGTCCAGTCTACCTGACCAGGAAGCAAGGCGGCCTCTGGGCCTAACGAAGTATGTCTTGAATGGCCCGGAGGAGAAGAGAATTGCTGTTGTGGGAACGAGGGCGAATGGTGTGTCGAACCCGGCTCAGGCTTTAGTAGATGAGGCGGGGTAGGGGAGTGGTGCGTCTGTGGAGAGGTCATGTTCGCCAAATCATTGGGATTAAGACTTGGAGGATTGTTTTGAGGGATATCGCCAAATAATTGCGTCGCGCTGTATTGATCGGCCTGCGTAACGGGCGGGAACAAAGAAAAGTCGGCGCCGGGGTTGAAATCAGCCGTCATCAGTGATTGCGAAAAGCTGGCCTGTGTTTGAGCGAAGCCCTGGTTCGGATCGTAGGATATCGAGTCGGTCGCACCTTGTTGTGGGAATACCTGAGGCTGCGATGTATTTAAGAAGCGACTGTCGCTACCGTTGAAGTCGCCGAAGCTGTCTGGAGTGAATTGAGGGTTGGGAGCTGACGAGGGGTCGAGGCCGATACCGAGGCCGATAGAGGCGTCTGGGGACTGATAGGGATGAGGCGAAGGCGAGTGACTATTTCTTATATGAGGCTGTTGGTGCCCCGCGGACGGGGACCGGCCTCGTGCCGGCGTCACGGGTTGGGCAGGCTGTTGATCCATGGGTGAGAGACAGAGCGTGTTTGCTGTTTCTGTCTTTAGAAATGTCGACGTCGAGTTTCGCAAGGTTGACAAGGCAGTCTGCCTAACAGAGTGGCGCAGCGCCGGCAGAAGTAAGGTGAAAGGGGCTGTGCTCAAAGCAGATCTGACGACTCCAGCGTCGCGACCGACCAACCAACAATGCTTGCCAGGGTCGGATCTTCCAACGTGAGACACGTCCACAGGGAAGCGCAAGAATGGGGACTGGAATGAGAAGGGCAATAGGAAGGGAGATGGAAAGCTGAGAAGCTGTCGCCAGGGATGGACTAGGGCGGCAATGCGCTCCGCTCTGCTATCAAAGACTGAAGAAGGCAAGGTGCAGGCCGCGGGCCACTTTGCACGTTGCCAGTTGCCAGTTGCAAGTTGCACCACCGGCCGTGTGCTGCTCAGTTAGCAGGTGAGGTATATGCTAAAGGATGCTGATACACCAGTCTGTATCGCCAGAGTTTCCTTTCCCAAACGACGCGAAACACAAGGGGAGAAGCGAGGGCGAATGGGCGCTGACTCGAAGTGCCCAGGTGGTGGTGAGGGGACGTGGGGCCCAATGCGAGAAAAGGGTAGCGGGATCTTATTTGCTGGATCTGATCTGGTCTGGTCCGGTCCGGTCTGGTCTGATTTAGGTTGCTATTATTTTTATTGTAGGTAGTGCAAACTGCAACGTAGAGGAGGCACCACCAACAGGATCAGTTGACTTGCCGCGCTGAGCTGGTGTTCTGTTCTGTTCTGTTCTGTTCTTAGGAATTGTCTTGTTGGCTGGAAGAGTGCTCCTCGTGTAAAGTAGAAAATAGGAAGCAGTACTGTAAAAAGTAAAGCGGTCAGTGAACCGCCCACTAGCTAACTACCTAGGTAGGTAGTTTCTTAACCACTATTCTCTCCTCATTCGTCTCTTTCGTGTTTTTTCCTCTCGTTTCCTTACCGGATCTTTTTTTGGTACGGCTCGTGTAAGCAGTGGAGCAGGGTCAATAGGTCAATAGGTCAATAGATCAATAGATAGACCACTGTACTTAAGTACGTATCCGGGAAGACAAATGGCACGAGGCTATGCCAGGCGTGGTATCAGCGGGTAGGTATGTGATGATGAGTTGACAACGACAATACGCTAGCCGTGAGCTTATCTGCAGCTGTAAGTGTCTGTCTGCTGGACAGATAGATATACTATCTATCGTATACTTCGTATGTCAAGTACTCAAGTACGTCGTAGATGTTTCGAACAAATGCAGAAACAGGCACTAGTAGGGACAGTTGTCCGGTATCTTACCCTACCTTATGCTGTCTGCCTCTATGCGTACCTACCACGGAAATATACAACAAGTAGTATATACTTAGTAGTAGGTAGGTAGCGTGTTAAGTAGCTTTGTTGGACGTTTTAAAATAGATTAAGTACTGGACCGGTGGTGGGGGCCCCAGGATGAGCAGCGGGTAAGAGAGAGAGAGAGGCGAGAGAGAGGCGGACGGATCAGACTGTTGGCGTGAGCAGAGAGGTGAGAGGGCGGCCACTGTCATGCAGCACTATTAAGCGCCGATCCTTCAGTTTGGATCTGGTATTAGTTATGAAGGTATGTAGCAATGTTTGTTTGTTTTTGACAAATGGTGACGACTTTGTAGTTCCGAAATAGAGGATTCGAGGAGTCGGGGAGGACAAAGACGATGAAAATGCTGAGATGACAATCACGATGGCAATCGTCCCACAACTGTAGATGAGAGATGTAAATCGACTCGGTACATATAAGATATTATACAGTACCTACTATGTACAACAATTAACTGGCTGGACAATTACGGTAAGTACCTACTTCATTGCTATGGGGATTGCATTCGGGGAATGAGGGGAGCGGAAAACATCGAAGCCCTATAGGGAGAAGTTCGGACTCACTGCGGGCTTCCTTTGTCGAGATTGGACGGCGCTCGCCCCCGCAGGCCCAATAAGGGACCAACCACTGCCGCTAGGAGGATTCCAGTAGTGTACTTACAGTAGGACCCCGGCCTTAATCTGCCCTACGGTGACAGAGCGCTCTGATATGATCATACAGGTACCTACTACTACCTCATACCATCGCCATTGATCAAATATTCGTATAAGTGGTCATTTTAAGCTTATTTGCACTGCCTTATACAGTTATACTCTCTCTCTCTCTCGGAGCCTTAGAATTGCATTTCACATGCTTCGGTGACTTTAAGCTTACACTACTTCAACATGATAGCTAAACCTACCTACCTAACCTAGATAGAAACACCCCGCATGTTTGAATTGCTGCCGAGGTATGTGGGTAGGTAGGCCAGAATCATCAGGAACGGCCCCTTTCATTATCCAAATATCTCGTCACGATGGAAATTGGTGAAGATGCCTACCTACTCATCGAACTGGCAAAGTTTCCGTTCCGTCCTCTTGCCTGTGTGAGCCCTGGAGGAAAGCCTCAGGGCGTAACCTTATGACAATATCATGCTGCCCATCCAACATCCGGTGGACAGCTACCTACATGGTACCTACCTAAGTATGTAGTATGTATGTCTCAGTATGCCTCGTCCGTCGGTACCCGATACGACACTTTGAACTGACCTCGCCTTGGCTAGACCACAACATCTCGAGAACATCCTAGCTAGTTGTATTTGGCCGGTACTACTCTACTCACTCATATTTCATATTCAAATACTAGGTAGGCTACTAGGTAGGTAAGATATTATAAGAATTCTGGGATTTTAAATGCCATAACTATTGTTGCCAGCTGCGCCGCCTTGCTGTCGGTACTATGTTGCATCACGCCAGATCACCCTATCGTTTCTCACCCCGAGTTACCCTACAGTAGATACCGAGGTGGCTTACGCTGGACGAAACCCTGCGCTTCGAGTCTACCTGTTGTGACTAGATGACTAGAGACCTGACTATAGCCCGTGAGGGAGCGGGGGTAAAAATGCCCTTTGCTATCCATCCACAGCCATACGCCATACCGTCCCATCTTCAAACAAGCCCCCTTTCAGAAAAGGGACAGTAGAATACTTCGCTTCTGACCTACATGATGATAATAAGTATTAGTCATTCAGGGCGGCCCGCCCCGTACTGTAACAGTGCAGCATGAGACTGTGCCGGTCTTCCATCCCAAGGCCCCATGCATGCACTCAGCAACATCATCAATCGCTCGATCGGGCAACTGTGCGTAGAGCGCCTCACAACTGAACTCACCGCTGGATTTGTAGGCGAGCAGCAAATGAAGCCACCCTATAAGGCGGGCCATCGTTTAGCTGAGCACTTACCAAAGGGTGGTATACCTACCTTGGATATGTTCAATGACGTGTGCAGTGAGGCTGTCGCGCAGGTTCGATTTTTACGAGCGCGTTTAGCGGAACTGCATGCAGGGTTTTGGACAGCACAGCCCTGACGCCTCATCGTCTAGGTCGTAACCCTTTCATTTTTCTCGAACAACGGGACATGGTTCACATGGAACATTGCAACGACGGACGCCCTTTCTAGACCATCCAGTGGGCGAATGTGAGTCGGTCATGTACGTGTAACACTCGGAAATCGCTAAAGCGGCTGCCTGATGTTACCTAAGCCGGTTCAGGGTAGAGGTTATGTCGCGAAGTGGCTTAACAAATCACAGATCATGGGTGGTGCTAATTCGGAAGAGTCATGTATACACATCCATGCGGCACGGCACCTAGGTATGCATACCTACACATGCCCGTGGTTGCAGTGATCCTGTATTGCAGCTACGAGTTTCAAGCTCGTTACACCCGGAGAAAGAAGAAAGAAGCGATGTGATGCAGACGTCAGCTTCTGGCGGACATCAGAACACAAGATCCCACTCTGCCCCCGTCGCATTCCTCGTCGATACGATGCCAGCTAGACAAGACCGATTCCCAGTCTAGCTGAAAGGTGTGTTCCGGCATAATAAGAAGGTGGTATTTCAACCGCCCTCCGCCTCCCCAGCGTATGTGTGCCGTCTGTTCCTCAGCGTGAACTTCAATCGGCGGCCTCACCCGGACGATCAATTGATTCACCTAACCGTCACGACATCATCCATCGTAGCATACCACCGAGCGAATGGAGAAACCCGTCGTCTTGCACTCGCCTTCCTTCTGGCTCGCTTCGCGCTCGCCGCTGGAGTGTCCACCCGAGTACGTCTTGCAAGAACCAACAGAGGTAAAGACCGATTTTCCAACTGGGAATTGGTCTTTACAGGGGCCAGCAGTGCCGTTCTTTATGTCCTCGAAGGTGCAGTCTATCTCTGCGCCCCAAGAGCCGTCCATTTCAAAGTACTTGGTATACTGCGTCAACGGATAGATATGATACTGTTTTTTTATTATTCTAGGTTAGACAATACCCCTTTAACGATTAGTTTGAATGAACGTACGCGGTTGCCTGCGCAGTTGCCCGAGTCGTAGATCGTTGCGTTCCAGCCGTGGACAAGTTGGCTGGAGACGAGGGCGAGCAATGCGCCCATCTGGATCGTGAGCTTCATTTTGGCTGACGTATCGGAGCAGTAATACGCGGGTGACTGGCGCGGATTCGAGAGGAAAATCGAGACAGACAGATAGACGCCAATCTGCCTATCTAAGTAGGTATCACATATCTATGGCGATGTCGAAAACGGCGTGTTTTCTTCATTTATATTCGTTTTTTAAGTCGTTTATCGAGCGATCTGCGCCGCAGGGGATGACTTTTGACAGGCAGGAGCTGGTCTGCCGATCCTCGTTTCAGGAACGAGGATCGCCCATTGAATATCGTCATCCGTTCGCTGTTAGGCCCCGGAACCTGGTTATTCATGCGCATACATATACGTAAGGCCTTCCTGTTCCTGGATTTGCGCAGGGGTTTTTTTATTGAAAAGGATGGTTCGGATTTCGTTCATGCCTCCTATTCTGCTCCTATCTATGCCAAACGCATCATGATTTGACTAATAAACGTTTCTAGAGTGATGAACTACGTGATTAGAATTCTTTGTGATAACAGCATGGGGCTAGCAAGTCACTACCTACACTAACCTACTGTAGGTATTTATCGTAAACCCGATAACATAAAAGTAATAAGATTGATATCATCCCTCATAGCGCCTGGCCACGTCTTCCATGATACCCAATCATAAAACATGTATTCACGACCCTTTTCAATTAGAACCAGAAACACATGGCAACCCATCGTTTAAAGTGATATTACTCGCTTATAATAATAGCCTTAAACTACCTAGGTACTAACACCCATCTTAATAAGACTTCAAAAATCTCGTCCGGCTCGCCCTCGCCTCCTGCGCAACCTTTACGTCTGTTGAGTCGAATCCATGCGCAACACCAGGGTAAAGATGGAACTCGACGTGGACGCCCGCGCTCTGGAGTCTCGAGGCGAACTGCAGATCTTCGTCTCTGAATAAATCTAGCCCGCCGACGTCAATGTAGACGTCCGGCAGTCCACTCAGATCCTTCGCTCTGGCTGGCGCGGCGTAGATAGAGACGTTCTCATCCGTGCGTTCTTCTGAATCATTCCGTCTTGTTAGCATTCTCGGTTCTTCCTGTTCATGCAATCAATGTTAGATCAGACTCACCTCTCTGTTTGCCCAGGAGCGCAGGCCAAGCCAGATCGCTCGACTGCTGCGTCCAGATCAGGTAGTTGTGCAGCGGGTGATCGGCCGGCAAGTAGGTCCGGTCGTCCAGCATCGGATAAGCCATTGCCACGGCGGCCAGCTTATGCGGCAGGTCCCCTCTATCGCGCGCCATCAATGCTGTGCCGGCCGCTATGCCTCCGCCCGCGCTCGCGCCGTACAGCACTATGCGCTTGGGATCAACGTTGAACTGTGCTGCGTTCTCCTGCAGCCACTTGGCAGCCGAGTAGACGTCCTCGACGGCCGCGGGCGCCGGGTTCTCGGGAGCTAAACGGTAGTCTACGGTGAAGACCTGTATACCGGTTCTATGGGCAATGTCCTGAAGCAGTCTGTGCCAGATTTCGACGCTGCCTGCTATCATGCCGCCGCCGAACACATACAGGAGAGCGCTCTGCGTAGTGGCGGAGTCTGAGGCAGCTGCCGGTGGCACGAACTGGTGGACGTCGATGTTGCTGCCATCGAGCGACTGGATAGTGTGTTTTGTCTCCTCGATGTCTGTCCGTACAGGCAGTGCGGCCGTTGATGCTGCCATTCCCATGCTTGCGGCCTTACGAAGATCATAGACGTCGTTTAACACGGGCTTTGGCAATGAGCTGAAAACCTTCCAAAGAGGCGCCCACTCGGGATCCATTTTTAGAGACGACATGATGGTAGTTATTTTGAAAGGGTCAGGTGTTGAATATAAGGATTCCGGGGTGTCTCGTTGAGTTGATCGAATGCTGCAATGAGCCAATGAGTCAATGTTACTTGTTGTTATTCTTCTTATTCCTGTTCTTATGAAGGTAACGAAAAGGTAGATACAGGAGGGTGGTATTTCTCTCTACTTATATATAATTGATTGATCTTTACGTGAACAGGATGGTTCTCAATGAAGATCTATGGCACGAAGTCACACATGCAGACGTCCCTCATACCCCGCTGCCCGGAACGGCATTGCGACATCTTGATTAGCTAACCATGGTGTTTGAAGTCCTCCTGGTCGCGTTGGCTGCCTGATTCCAGTCCACGTAACTGAATCCTACGAGCTATTTGCCTGCTAACTCCGACCGTATATGAGGTTGGTAACATAAGCAAAGCTTGGAGATAGCTTAAAAGCGCGGCTAGTGAACAAGAGCTCGCGCGCTCGCTTTTAGAGCAATGCAATCCTTCCGACTATAGCGTAAGCGAGTTGGTGAGCAATCATTTCAATTCCAGGATTATAGCAGTGAAACCCGAAACTGACGGAGATAACTGCGCTGCATCCAAATCTAGCAAGAGCGGCTGGTTATTTGTAACTGCAGAACAGCCTAATTGTAACCGGATTGGTCAGCCGACCCCGGATCTGAGCATCGTGAACAGCCTTGTTCTTTCTTGGATTTTCATATGTCGGCGTAGTGACTCATGTCGGCAACTGTCTCACTATCTGTTCCTAAATTCCGACGCGATAGAATGTCATACAGCATTATAGGACCTCCTACAAAAAAAAACCAAGTCAAAATTGTTGTTATGATGATATGGGCTCTCTTTGAAGGCGAACTCAACTAGTTTGAGCTCCATAGTGATGATAATATATAATGTTATTTTGCTTGACTCGGCGACATCAATTGGGACCGACAATCGTCGTTTCAAAAAGAGGTGATATAGTATAGTGGTTAGTACAATTCGTTGTGGCTATCTTCTGCTTAATTCCGAATAGACCCAGGTTCGATTCCTGGTATCGCCATCAGATTCTTTTTCTTTTTTTTTTCCCCTATTCTTTTCTTTCCTTCTTTCTTCATTCCGTTCAAGTAATCTTCAAGTCAGTGTGATTGATTCGCAATGACTGTTGCGCTAGCCAAGCTCCATTCTTGGTATCACGCTGTCTTGTCTACACTGTGGGCTCGGTTCCCATTGCGCAAGCTTTTCTCAACCTGGCTTGCACCCAGAAGAGAGCGATATTGAACAATTGATATTTACCCGTATATACAATACTACTCGAGTATCCTCCCTTGTGGCTGCAGGATAGGCAGCCTCACATACTGTTAAGGCCCAAATAGTAAGGCCAGTCATCCTCGGGCGTGAAAACGGGCAATCAGCCAACCAGCGTGAGCTGATAGAGTTTCTATTCATGACTAAGCAAGGTCATCTCCTCTTGTGAAGACAGGGAGTGATGTACTAACTACTTGAATGCAGCCAGAAGTGCGCGATCCCCTTATTTCAGTGCTTCAATGGCTACCCAAGCATCCGAGACGGCCAGTTCTACGTGACTTGAATACATGTATAGAATCCAGTGATATAGAGGATTATCACTTGATTAACGGCGTCATTTTTCGGTGTCTGCCTGTCCATGATAGAGAGGTAAGAAAAACCTGCCATTGAAAACGTAAATAGAATAGCTGCCAGCAGCCTCTATAACAAGGGCAGATAACCGGGCTTGGAACTTGATGCTATTCAGATTACAATGATCAACTAGGGCTGCATGAGTCCTTAACCAATCAACTCCTTCTCAGCTATTGGTGGCTTAACTCGACTCTATACAACTGGTCTGCCAGCAAGTCTGTATAACCTCACTCTCCAATATTGCCTGCATGTCTTTGAATGATCATGAACAGCCTGCAATGGCCTTTCGTAAGGCCGAAGTGCAAGGCGAACTGCACGTACAGCTTGTACGCGTGTAACACAGATGGACTCGCAAACCTGGAAATCAGGACGTGTTTTATGTAGCTAACGTAGATCGAGCATCGGGTCTTTCCGTTCATGGTATACACCTCTCGATTGATCTCCTACTCACCACCTTAGATTCAATAGTAACGTGTATCCGGGAGGAATTATGGAGTTGAGCCAGCCCTATCACTCGCTGGTGTTTTCCAGCCTTCCATCCGAGATCGTTTTGCTTTTCCTAAGCAATATCTGCCTTCACTGCCGCGAGCCAGATCGGGGGCCCTTAGTCTACTACCCCACCAAGCATCAAGAATATGACCAGCCATCGTGGTATGCCTTGGATCTTCAAGCATTACATTCGCCTTGCTTGGTCTCAAGGAGACTTCGACATCTTGCTCAGCCGATTCTTTCCTTTCACGGCGATATGAATGGACTGGACGGCTCATTTTCTTCTTCCGAATAGTGACACTGCGCCGCGATCTCGCCGATTTAGTTCAGGGACTGCTAGGCCCCATCAGTGTGGAAAGTGGCAGAGTCGAGGCCGTATTGGAAGAGTCTGCACAAATCTGCGGTATCAATCTCACAGACTTTCTTGAGCCTTTCCGCGATTTACTAGCCCGAGCACATCTCAAGCCCGTATCACCCCGCAGCCGATGAGCTGGTGGCTAATGCTCCTATCCTTTTTGCCCAACCTGTCTCGACTTTATCTCACAATGGCAACACCACCAAGCCCCATCTCTACGTCAGCTTTGACGGCTGTCGGTGCTCGTCTTTCTCTAAAATCCATTGACATATGTGCGAGAAACTCAAATTTAAGAAACCGCTTGGGTGGTATACTCGAGATGCATTTAAATTCGTTGCACACTCTCGACATCAACTCGTATTGCTCATACAATGGTGACAGCTAGGATTGTCGGGTATGTTTTTTCCGAACCTACGAAATATCAGTGTCACTTTGAGTGGGATGAGCGGGTCAGATCTCGAGATACTACTGTACTGTCCTGCTGTTCAAATCTTCAGACATTTATTTACGATGCTAGTAAGTTGATAGCGATCTCGTAGAAGTCATGACCGGAAACTGCGCTCTATTATACATTAATGGGTCTTGTTACTAACTTTGGTTTACTCAGCTTCAATCATCTAGTGTATACAGCTAGCCAACATCGTGAAATATCTCGGTAGACATCAAGAAACTCTCACATCATTGCGGCTTGACCTACGTGATGCTCGAGTTACACATGAGAAATTCTTTTCAGAGGCAACATCTAGCTTGAGAATATTTCCTGCCCTTAAAGACGTGTCACTCAACTTACTGTTTATATATCATAGTATGAATGAACAAGTAGAAGATGACGATGTTTTGTACCAACTCCTTCCTGAGCACATTATCTCACTACAGTTATATGATACTGTGGGTCCTACGACTCTTGCACGCCTGTCGAGGGGTCTACTACATCTTATAGACGTCGTTTCGCGAGGGCACTTTCCCCGTCTAAGAAGAGTTAGATGTTTCGTTCGAGAACAACTCGACGATGATGATCTGGTTTTGAAATTCGCCGACGTGGGGGTGCATTTAGCCTTGAGAACCAAGTCTGATCCCGTTGTATTGGGTTCCTAGATAACTAAGTAATCTGAAGTCGTGCGTAAACGAAGGTGTATTAGTAAAGTGCGTTGGTGGTATCTCTAAGCAGCCATAGACGCCATAAGTTGGTGGCCAAGTCAGATGTGCACACCCATACCTATAGTGTGCCACACCTGCTACTCAAGGATATGAGCAGGTGGCTTTCTGGTGGGGCCTTGGTGACGTTTTCCCTAATCGTGGCTCTGGTGTACACCAAAGTTGCAGTGAAGGGTCGAGATACTTTTTCTTTCTAGTGTAGGCTAAATATCCAACGTATCTACCGTACTATGCAGAGCGCTTGTTTACCTATGATATCACTGCATGTGTCTGATATTCAGTTGCAGACTAGATAGCCCATTAGCATTGTGTTACATACGACCAATTCTCTGAAAACTCTGGTACGGGTTTCACATGCAGGCTTCGGTGGCAGACAAGAGACAGTTTCGGCTTTATCCAAGTGAGACTGTTCAGCTAAGGATGATAATATGAGACATAGTGACGGAATCTTGAGGTTGGGAAGGCCGTGTTATTTATAGGTAGACCAGCCTAGCTACCTTGAAAGATGGGATGTGAATGAACACTAGACCAAGCGGTCACAACAGAATAATACTAGATAGTGATATAATTCCCAGTGCGAAGCCCAGCACGCTTCAATTTGCCAACTCCTAGCCCGGGGATTATAAAAAGGGCAGAGAGCTGGGCTTAGATATGAAGCTATTCAGAATATCATGATCAACTAGGGCTGCATAACCTTGGTGGCTTGACTCGACTCTATGTACAATTCGTCTGCTAGCCCTGACTAACCACCTAGGTCATATTTTCTTGTTTCATGAAGCGAAGTCTGCATAACCTTACTTTCCAATAGTGCCTGTATGTCTTTGAATGATCATGAACAACCTGCAATGGCCTTTCGTAAGGCTGAAGTGTAAGGCAATCACCTTGTACGCGTGTACTCAGGATGGAGTGACATCATCCCGAACCTCGATCATCTCAGAGCTTGGGTGCGGGAAACTCACGAGGCCGCATTTATTGATGTCATTCATTTCATAATATATTTAGCAGCCTCCGGCGCTGCTAGACTATCTCCTTAATCTCCATCGCAACAGGTGTGGTCATTTGATTCCTTCCTGCCTTTTCAAGCCATACAACCTCCCACACTCAAGAAGCGCGGACACAGCGCGCTCTTTCCACGATGTCGCAAGAATCTAGCCCCAGCATCAGGGAGCAGTTGTCACAAGTCTACCCGCCAAAACCTAGCTTTACAGAACAAGATTTACCCGGGCTACAGGGGAAGGTACGCTGACTGTCCTCGTCTATTCTACCTCGTCCCTGAAACACCAGTCTAATCTTAACTCGAGGTCTACGTGATCACAGGTGCAAACACTGGGCTAGGCAAAGAACTAGCTCGCATACTCTACTCAAAGCATGCCAAAGTCTATATCACCGCACGGTCAAAAGCGAAGGCCAACGCAGCTATATCTGAAATTAAAGCCAGCGTCCCTGACTCCCAGGGCACCTTGGTGTTTATCAAGCTTGACCTAGCGGACCTCAGCACCATCAAGGCTTCAGCCGAGGGGATTCTCCGACAAGAGAATCGACTTGATGTCCTGTTCAACAACGCCGGCGTCATGAAACCCGACCCCCTTACTTCAAAAACAGCCCAAGGCTACGAGCTACAGCTTGGCGTAAACAACATCGGCACATTCATGTTCACGAAGCTTCTCACGCCCCTTCTCGTAGCGACTGCGAAAGCTGAGGGCCCTGGCTCGGCGCGAGTCGTCTGGGTCGGGTCCTTGGCCGGGGAGATCCCCGTCGTGCCGAAAGGAGGCGTGCCTATGGACAACCTCGACTACCATCGGGATCTCTGGTGGCTGACGAAATACGGCATCAGCAAGGCCGGGAACTACTTGCAAGGGTCTGAGTATGCGCGGCGGTATAAGGCCGATGGGGTGATCAGCGTCTCCTTGAACCCGGGGAATCTCGACTCCGAGCTCTGGAGGAACCAGACTTATATCATGAGCAAGATGTTGAAGTGGTTCTTCCTTTATGAGATTATCAACGGGGCGTATACGGAGTTGTTCACTGGCTTGTCTCCTGAGGTCACCATGGAGAAATCCGGTGCTTGGATTGTGCCCTTTGGTCGATTTAGTAAGATATCTATCTCCTCGCGACATCTCTTGTCCCCCCTTTTTACCCTTCAGACACCTTACTTACTTGCTCATCTGCATGAAAACGTAGAAGAAGGGCTAACGTATCGGATTCCATAGTGCGACCTCGTAAAGACCTGAAGGAAGCTACGAGAACCAAGGCTGAGGGCGGCACTGGTATTGCGAAGGAGTTCTGGGAATGGAACGAGGAGCAGATTCGACCATTTCTTTGAACTTGCCTCCTTAGACAGAGTCGTGTGATATTTTGGTGTTATTGTACAAGTAATGTGTGAGGCACTACGCAGTAATTATTCGTTTGGAGCTGAGAACAACTGATCCCTTGAATATCGCTGAAGAGCGCCCCGGTACCCCGTCGATGGACAGACAGCCTAAAGCGCGCGAGCTATCCAAATGGGCCGGCGTAGTAATTACTATTAGAGCTATTCGCTGAGCGGTGGTAATTACTAGTCTTCACGTACGGAGTTTTTATCATCTCAGACAGGCACGCTGGACACGGACCTCATAGCCGTCGCGGACAGATAGAACTGCAGACTTAACCGTGGCGAGTCATATAACTAACTATCTGTCTTCTAGCATACTCTGTGGCTATCAATATACAATTATAGAGGTGCTATATCTATTCTATGCACGCTAGTTGATCGCGTAGTCTGAGAGGGAGCTTTGCAAAAGAACTAGGAGTGCTTGTGGCCAAACCTGTTTGGCGCCTCCAATTAAACTTTGATGTTTTAAGAATGCAAGGGACAAGAGATGAAGCACATGTGTCTCAGTTCATAAGAGTTTTCTTCCCCTTCATCTTTTTCTCCTTATCTCTTTCCCTTTGTCTTGCACATGGCATAATAGCCATCGCTTTCGAGGGTAGGTTAGCATTGAAGTGGATAAACTTAGCAGCAGCGCTTGTGTGACCCCGCCCGAATATTGTGCGACGATACTCGATGCGTCTGCGAACTCGCTGCTATTATGGCTCAATCGGATTTGTTCCTACATAGCTGCTGAGAGAAAGATAGCATTTTGCATGGGATTTGGGTCGGGCTCGATCCGATATATATGGACCCCGACTGGTAGTATCCACGAGATACGATATCCGAATTACGGCCCTGGTGATACTTGATGCGTAATCTTCGCCACCTTGCAGATATGAGGTGACTCGATCTTGCATTCACTCATCTCTGACAGTCAGATAGCTCGAGGTAGAGACTCTATGGTGTTATAGCTATCTATCTTTAATATGCTACGTATCCGACGGAGGAGTGAGGAAGGACAGCAGGCTTGGCAGGTCATGTGTGACTACCTACCTGCCTACCTACCGATTGCGGTGCCGGGAGAATTGACGTAAATTATGCGTTAATCAACTGATATTTGACCGAGCCAACGGAGCTGACTCCAATGAAACTTGATGATTGAGAAAATTTTCATGATGGCAAGCCAATGATTCTGATGGGCCAACCCAATGTTGTTCTAAGGCAGCCGGTTGGGTGTCGATTGGTTGTCCATCTCACCTGCTTCTGACGCGAACCTTTTCGCTGTAAGGGTTTGATGCGCGCGCAATGAAGCGGTGAAGCGGTCGCGATGCCGTTTTGGGGCGGAACGTTGTGGGATCTCGCATGGAGACATGGGGCATTGGGATTGGAAGATCCGCCTGTATTCCATAGCATAGTAGTCACCGTTGTTCATTCCACCTTTTTCTGCCTCTTGGCTGCGACCATCTGCCCGAAACTGGACATGGACGAGGGTAGAGTACCTTAGTTGCCGCCGATGCGGGCTGCGAGTAAGTACATACAGACCAGCGCAGATAGTGTAGAAATAATAATAATGATGATAATAATAGCTGCCTGGTACCACGGGAAGTCTAGGTAGGTGCTACTACTGTACGTAATCTAGACGCATCAGCAATTGCGTGTTGTCTTTTCCACGAACATGGCAGCAGGCAATGCAAAGCTTGTTGTCGACGACTTGCAGCAGCTATATGTACATGTAGTCGTAGCCATACCTACTCACAGTACTGCAAGTGAGTACTAAGGAAGTAAGTAAGTAAGCGATCGCAGTACTACTACGTGCAGCATTGTTTTAGCTGCCCACATACTTCGTACAAATCTCCGCAGGATGCATCTGGTGCTGTGCTGCGTTAGTATGATGGGTCCGCGACGACGTGGAAGAACAGTGACGCGATGGACAGGGAGCAGATACAAGCTAATCGGTGCATGGCTGCCCATTTTCCATGTATCGGCACCTGTCCATCATGCTGTCACAGGTCGATGCTAGCGAACTCCAATCGACGAGTCAAGCTGGCTCTTGAAGCGGATGAGGGCAAGATGATCAGGATCGAAAGAGGAAGGGGTGTGCAGAGCACAGTCACGTTGTCCCGACACCCTCTGGTCTAAACTTGTATCAAGCCTGTTGTGATGGAGGTAAGGTACCGTAGGTATGTTTATCTTAGAGTAGGTACTTGTAGTTAGTTTTATATAGTACATGACACACATGAAACAACGGGAACTTGTCGGGACAGCTAGCTAGCTGTGCGATATTCGTGGCGTCCATCGGATAACTGACAAACAAACCATCTGGTACCTTGGAGATGACCGGGATTTGGGACACACGAGATCATTACCTTGAATTGAAAGTTACAACAACTCATGAAGAATAGATAGAATACGGTACTTGATAGAACCTGAATTAAAGGGAGGGGTAAATTAGAGTCAAGAGAGAAAACATGGCGACCAGGGGGGGGCTGGTCTGGGTTAGGTACTCTATGTACATACGTACATACCTACATACATGCAGCATTGTACCTAGGAAAGAGAATAGGTACCTAGTACTGAGTAGGTATCTGGCGTAGGCGATGACACCTGTCTCTGCCTGAGAGATCACAATGTTACAACCAATATACAACCCAATCGAGTATTTGAGTACAGGAGGGGTACTCAGACATTGTGGCTGACAATTACCTAAGTATATAGGTAGGTACTTATAGTAGTGCTTCACCCATTCTAACTTGGGTTAAGGGGTCCCAATGGCGGGGTAACTGGGCCTAAGAGTGATTCTAAGTGTGTAGCTAGCTCTGATAGATGTCTCAGTAAATCCTGGCGTAGGTAAGTAAGTATGTATCAGTATGCGAATGGATCATAAATACAGTAATACTACTGGGAAGTATGTACTGCTGCGTTGTCGAGTCGTCTCGTCTCGTCTCTTAATGCACGCTGCGGTATGTCACAGTGTTACCTGTTGTGATAAACAAACATGGGCGGGTAGAGTGGGCGTATCCAGATGTGAAGCAAAAGCTGTACGCGCGTGAGAGATATACTCGGTTGTCATATGCTTAAGTACGGTATGGAATAGGTATAAGCTTTGACATCGGTTCCGAGGTTCCTAAACCTCCCGCCACAAGGCCCACACCAGCTCAACTGGACAAGCAACTCGGTACAGTTTATTGTTTATTATCGTCATCATGGCTACTCTCGGTCACCAAGTCGTGGTTGGGGGCAGATGGGGGCTATATAGCAGCGAAAAATAGGGATCTCTGAAATTAGAATCGTCAAAGTCTTATTGCAGCGTTGCTTATATGTAACGGTGGCAAGGGCGAGAATACTACTTGCTTCGTAGATACAACCACCGAGAGAGGAAACACCAGCCCCCTCCTTCACACTGATACTTACAGTAGAGTACCTAGGTATGTACACTTCAGGGAGGGAATACTACGTCGGACTGCAGAGAGGTAGAGTAGAGACCAGAGAAGACAGAGAGATAGAGAGAGAGAGAAAGAGTAAAGCTCGGCCAAAAGCAACTTAGGCCGGCCCCCTCCCGTCCCCTCCTTTGCCGTTTCTAGAAGGCCCCCACCGGTAGTGGCATCACCGTCGGGCCAATGGCCGTGACGAGCCGTCGTCGACCCCAGCAACGACCAGCCATCTCAAGCATCCCAAGTTTAATCTAGTCCGGCCGGCTACACCAAACTGAGCAAACACCCATCTCAAGCATCCGTTTTTCTGTTGTTGTTTTTTGCACAACCATCCCATCAATCAAGTTAATCAATCAATTAATGCAGACAACACCCCCCCTTCGCTCTCGCTGCTTCAGTGCTCCCACACCCGCATGGCCATGGGATACACTACCTAGGTAGGTAGTAGTAATATACGCATACTACTGTAGATAGTACCATCGCAGTCAGAATACTCCCCCTCCCTCTCTCTCCCTTCACCACTCACAGCTCGTAACCGTGCTTTTTTGTCTTTTCTGCCAGATGACCCAGATGACCCTGCAGCCCAGTCGAGCCAGTCGAACCAGTCTTGATGCGGCACACACCCCAGCAACCCCTACCTACCGCCACCTCTACTTACTACGTACTGCATTCCCTGGCCATTTGCTGAGTGTCTAGCCTACATAACACACTCCTATCCTATCATCCCACACGGCTCTGCTTAGACTAGGCTCGTACACTACCTACTTTCTTACCTACTTACTACCCCTACGGACCTACGAAGTACTACCTACTACCATTTACTGCATCTCTGCATCTGCAGTTGCTGCTGTAGGGGAATCCTGACTTGACAAGTCGGTGTATCCCGTATCTGTATGCTACTCTAATACTGTAGCTGTGGTATGCTGTACGGTTAATGGTTCCCTACCTGTCTGTGTGTGTTGCTGTTGTGTGAGTCCCGTTGTGGTCCACAGACACAGACACGCCACCCTACGTACTCAAACTTGCCATAACCAGTGGCAGCCTCCGACTGCGCGTGCAATTGAGAACACTGTTTTCTCATTTGTCGCGCAGAAGTCCACCCTTACTTGGCCTCTCCGTTTCTTTTTTATTTACTTTTTTTATTTTTATTTTTTCTATTTTTGTTGTTATTTTACTTTGCAATACCTACTTTAACCCGTTTTCCTTGGCATTGATACGGAAGCTGGGTCTTGCGAGAAAGGGGAATTTAATGCCACGATTAGTCGAAAACGTTGATAATTATCTATACTGCATGGAAAGCCTCGTCGTCTGTCTAGCTTGGTATTCCTAGTGGCATAGTCATCCCTGGCCATTTGACCATCGTGGTTGTCGTGGCCGCTATCTAGGTGTCTCGAACCTAGCCTTCTATCATTGCGCCGATCTACCTTTTCCTCTACGACCGAGCCCAGCAATATTTTTCTGGCTCCCATATCCCACTGCGCGCCATTCTTTATTTTCTACGCTCCTCCCCTCGTCCGAGGCGATACGTTAGCGTCCATGATTTTCATATCCTCTGCCGATTAGACGAGCCTCATCTCTCAAAATGGCCGCTATTACCGCTGTTACAGGCTTCGTCTCTACAATTGCGACAACGAGCGAGTCTGCGTGGCTACCGAACTTGCCTTGCGCCACCCAGACGTTTCCATGGAATGAGCTCGATTTGGAGACACAATTGACACTTATCTCGCGGCAGTGGCTCTTACAAAGAACACATGTGAGCAGTCTCTTGCGGTTTACTTGTATCAACTCATGCTATCACTACCCGAAAGTCATTCAATCTCCGTGGCTCATGAGAAGGGCGAGCAAAGGAGGCGGATTTGAGGATCGTGGTTATTACATTCTCTGCTCTAACTTATACGACTATGGTCTTCTTTCGTCATCTGGATCGAATATCAAACTAATACATTGTATTTAGGTACCCAATACATCATGCCAGCGCTGCTGTATCATTTCTCACAAGCCTTTGACGATACCCGATCCTACGCCGAAACGATCGAAGCGATTACCTGCGCCATGCGATACGGAGGCCACCGAGTATGATGATATAGCCAGCTTGGCCTTCGTAGAGGAATATGCGCAGCGGCGTCTCCCCAAACCATCTGAGGAAGAGGGTTGTCCCCCAATACCCCCCACTTCGTCGCAAACACGACGCCGGCGAGAAGATACTCTGTTCAATCCATTAATTCCCGACTTTTACTGTGATTTCTCATCTGAGGAAGGATTTGTTCAGCATGCTAAGAAGAAAACGAAAGGGAAAGGCGCTGCTCCACCTCCACCACCACCCCCCCCACCTCCACCTCAGCCGGAAAAGAACGACGATGGTGGGGCTGGCGGTGGTGGCGAACCGAATGGCGAAGCAGGAGGTGCTGGAGCAGGCAAAGGGGGTGGAGACGACAAAAAGGATGAAAAAAAGGACGACAAGGGCGATCCTAGCCTGGACGACGACGCCGGTTGGGGGGCCTTCACAAGTGCGGGAAAGAAAAAGAAAGGCAAAAAGGAGGAGACCACCGATCTGTTGGGAGGGGAAGCCAAGTTTGACGCCTTTGATGATATCGGATTGAATGATACTGGCCCATCTCTGGGCCTCAACTTTGAGAGCAGTGCGACAGATACCAAGGCCAATACCGTTAGTACGTGGGGATCCAGCTGGAATGCCGGCACATCGTGGGATTGGTCTAGTACCAAAGCAGCTGACAAGACCGAAGTTAAAGAGGAGAAGAAGGATGGCTTAGATTCTAGTCCTTGGAGCATTGACCGACCCAAACCAAAGAAAAAGGGTAAGACGACCTTCGGTTTCGGCAATTTCGATGAGGCAGAAGAACCAAAGACCGAGGAGCCCTTGATTTCCGAAGAGAAGAAAGACGATGACTTCGGCTTTGGATTCGCCACTGCAAAGAAGGACAGCAAAAAGAAGAAGAAGACCAATATCTGGGACGAACCCGAGACGACCGACCCACCCGCTGAAACCCAGGACACTGGCTCTACTGCTATTGATGATGGTTGGGGTTGGGGTTCTGCAGCTAAGAAGGCGGCGAAGAAAGGCGCGGGTACATTGCTGGACTCGGTCCCTGAGCCTGAGAAGACAGAACCGGTCGATGATTTCTGGGGGTCTATAGGGGCCAAGAAGAAGAAGAAAAACGACATTCTGGATCTGGATTCTTCTGCCCTTGACCCTGTACCTGCTGCTGCCCCTGCCCCTCCACAAAATGAATGGGGAGGTGACGTGTGGGGTACGACGACTACGACTACAAAGGATAAGAAAAAGAAAAAGGGCGCACTTGAAGAAATTAAGAAGTCTGATGAATCAGAAGATACATTCTGGGGTAGCAGCAATAGCAAGAAGAACGGTAAAAGCAAGATTGCTGAGCCTGAGCCTACTAAGCATGCAGAGGATGATATATTCACTTCCCTCACAGCTCCTAAGAAAGATAAGGGAGCGAAGAAAAAGAAAAAGGGATTACTGGAGGAGGAACCTGTCAAAGAGCCGGAGCCCATACCGGAACCAGTAGCTGAGTTTCAACCTGAACCTGAACCGGAGCTAGAACCGGAGCCCGAGCCCGAGCCTCTCCCGCCGCCACCTATGCGTGAAGAGCCGAGCAGCGCTTGGAGTTTCTGGGGTGCTACTAAGAAAACAATAAAAAAGGCAGCAGACCCAACCCCGGCAACCGAAGGTAGTGGTGAGGGTTGGCTCAATTGGGGTGCTAAGAAACTGGTAAAAAATGGTAAGATGTCGACAACATCCCTAGATGAACTAAACCAGGAATCGGGCCTCGAACCGGTAACACCTGGGGCCCTTGCACCCGGCGAAACTGGTAGTGGTGACCAATTCCAGGACAAATTTGGCACTAGCAGATTTAAGAAAATTAATGCTGACGGCAACATCATTCCAGCCACGATTGAGAAACCCGTTGAAGAACCCAAGAATGACGATGAAAGTTGGGGATGGGGTCTTTCGAGAAAGATATCACCCCTGCCGGCACCACCGCCGGCACCCTCACCACCTCCTACTTTTGAAGAGCCAAATATCTGGGACGAGCCGCATGTTGAACCCGAACCAGATCCTGCTGCCATTGCATTGGCTGCTGAGATCGCCGCTGAAGAGCGAGAACTTTCTGAACTAACTACGAAGAGTCTAAAGAAGAAACTTCTCAAGAAGGATCAGAGGCGATTTGATGAGCTAACGAAGAATGCAGAGCGTCGAGCTGAAGAAGCCGCAGCCAAGGAAGCCGAAGAGAAACTGCGGTTAGAGGCGGAAGCCAACGCTGCTGCTGATGCTCTCAAAGCCGAAGAAGAAGCTGCTGCTGCCGCTGAAGCGCTCAAGGCTGAAATCGAGGCTGAGGAGGCAGAGCTCGAAGCTCTCACCGCAAAGTCCACGAAAAAGAAGAAATTCACGAGAAAGGATAAAGAGCGCATGGATGAGCTTATTGAAAAGAAGAATGCTCGCGCTGCTGCTGCTGCTGCTGAAGAAACTACTCCGCCGGCTGACGATGGAGCTGCAGAAGCTGCGCTTGCAGCCGAGGAAGCTGCACGCGAAGCCGAAGAACAGGCAGCTAGAGAAGCTGAAGCAGCAGCAGCAGCGGACGCAGCAGAGGCAGAAGCTGCCGCAGCACGCGAAGCTGAGGCGCAGGCCACTCGAGAAGCCGAGGAAGAAGCTGCAGCTGAGGAAGCTGAAGCAGCAGCCCTTCAAACAAAGCTAAAAAAGAGAAAGAGGCTGACTCAAAAGGATCAAGACCGGTTAGACGAGCTTACCGAGAAGATCAATGCTCGTGCTGCTGCTGCCGCTGCTGCTGATACAGCGGTCAGTGATGAAGCTGCTCAGGCCTTGGCGGAAGCCGAAATGCAAGCAGCGAAGGAGGCGGAGGAGTTAGCCGCACGAGAAGCAGAGGAACAAGCTGCTCGTGAAGCTGAAGAATTAGCTGCCCGCGAAGCCGAAGAAGCGGCTACCCGCGAAGCGGAGGAGCAGGCTGCTCGTGAAGCAGAAGAAGCTGCGCAAGCCGCGCGTGAGGCCGAAGAAGCAGCTGCTCGCGAAGCGGAGGAAGAGGCGGAAGCAGAAGAATTTGAACTGCTTACAAAGAAAGCCAAAAAGGGGAAGTTGCTTAAAAAGGAACGGAGGCGCCTCGAAGAACTTGAAGAAAAGATCAAGGCTCGCGCAAGCGGAGAAAATGGCGATGAGGCTGCTGCTGAAGAGCAAGCTGCGCGCGAGGCTGAAGAACTAGCAGCACGTGAAGCTGAAGAACAGGCTATCCGCGAAGCCGAGGAATTAGCTGCGCGCGAGGCTGAAGAAGCTGCCGCTCGTGAAGCCGAGGAACAGGCCGCTCGTGAGGCGGAAGAAGAAGCTGCTGCTCGCAAAACGGAAGAAGAGGTGGAAGAAGAAGAATTTGAATTGCTTACAGAGAAAGCGCAAAAGACGAAGCTGCTCAAAAGGGAGCGGAGGCGCCTTGAAGAACTTACGGAAAAGATCAACGCTCGCAAGGCCGCTGCTGAAGAGCAAGCTGCTCGTGAAGCCGAAGAATTGGCAGCACGCGAAGCTGAAGAGGCTGCCGCCCGTGAAGCGGAGGAACGGGCAGCACGGGAAGCTGAGGAAGCTGCAGAGGATGCAGAACTTGAGGAACTCCAGGCTGCTAAGGCGAGGAAAAAGAAGAAATTCAAGGATCAGGCTCGATTAGACGAACTTCTCGAAAAGATTAACGCTCGTATTAGTGTTACTCCGATCGCAGAAGACGACGAGGCTGCAGACGATATGTACGATACGGACGAAGCAGAGCAAGCAGCCCGAGAAGCGCAAGAAGCCGAGGAAGCAGCTATACGCGAGGCAGAGGAGCAGGCTGCGCGCGAAGCAGAAGAACAAGCCGCCCGAGAAGCAGAAGAAGCTGCACAAGCCGCACTCGAGGCTGAAGAACAGGCTGAACGTGAGCGACAGGAAGCCGAAGCTGCCGCTGCTGCCAAGAAAAAGTCGAAAAAGAGCTCAAAATCTGATGAAAAGGAGAAGAAATCCAAATCTAGCAGCAAAGATAAGAAGAAGGATGACGAAGACGATCTCGACAAAGTGAAGGAGAAGAAATCGAAGAAGAAGAAGGATATCGACGACGATGATCTTGATTTTGACAACGTGAAGAGCTCCAAAGCCGACAAGAAAAAGTCCAAATCCAAATCCAGTAGTGAGGAAAAGAAGGACAACAAGGATGATGAAGACGATTTCGATCTTGACAATGTGGACCTGACCATGGAACAAGCTGATGAGATTCTTGCGGGCCTGGACCCCCCAAGGAAGCCCAAACCCACGGCGGCGGACCCTTTCTCCTTCTGGGGTGCCAAGCCAACCCCGATCACCTCAGATCCTGAACCAGTAAGCACCTTTTACCCCCCAAAATCGGCAATAACTGAGATTACAATTGCTGAGTCAACCAAGGTTCTGGAAGATACCACACCAGATGTACCCGCGTCATCATTTTCAAAGTTCGTCGATGATTGGATGCCGATGAAGAAAACCAAAGGAGGTAAAGTTGCTGAACAGCTTAAGAAATTCGAGGCGGAACCAGAGGATGATTTAGATGGCGACCTAATTGACGTGGTCCCTGAAGCAACGCAGTCTGATACGAAAGACAGCGACCTTCCTGGCAGTTTTCCCATGACTGACGAAGACCATGAACGTGAAGACGAAACATTTCACGATGCAGCTGAGGGCGAAGACGAGAGTGCAGAAATGATCGATATGGAGATGGCAGAGCAAGACTCGAAGAGAAGCTTCCCAAATGACGATGCCGATATTCCTGTCGATGAAGACGAAATTGTTGAAATTATTGACCTCTCGCCACCAGTAGAAAAGAAATCTAAGAAGAGTAAGAAGAGCAAATCCAAGGACAAGGGCAATGCTTTCCCTCCTGTACCTCCCCCTGTACCTCCCCCACCGCCTGCGGTACCGGATGCGCCTCCAGCACCTCCCACGCCTCCATCGCCCGCTGCTGAATCCAGATCCTCCAAGAAAGAGCGAGCCAAAATCAATCGTGATGGTGGTGCGTCTTGGAGTGCGTGGGCGACATCACCAGTCAAGGAAGAAAAAAGGCCATCAAAGTCTAGATCCGACGCCAGAAAGTCCAGGAAAGAGAGAGAGGAAAAGCTATCTTCGAGAGGCTCAGCCTCTGATAAAGCAGAGCAACAAGACAGGAGGGGTCCACCAATTTCCATGCCACGCATGAGCAGCGTTTTCCAAAGCACTCCCCCTCTTTCACGCTCTATGTCAACACGAGACAAATACACGAGCAGATCAAGCTCAAGACGCCATTCTGTAGAAATGAGTGGTGGGCTTGTGTCGCCACCTCCTGAAGAAATGCCTGGGATGTCCTCGAGGGCGGCGCGAACGCCAGGGGTGGACAGGAGTTACAGTAGGAGAACCTCAAGAACGCGCGCCGCTCCCGAAGATGACGATATCGTCATGGTTGAGACGCGCGATTTTACGTCAAGCCCCGACAAGTCGGCGCGTAAACGATCAAAGGTAGAACAAACAGTCAAAGGTAAATTGAGTCTTGCTAACTTGAAACAGCCAAAGCCAAGCGAAGATGTATTCATGGGTGATACGGACGGTCACACTAACGCAACGCCGTTGCGACGATCCAGCTCAAATGCTAAAAAGGGCATATCTGGCCTGTTTGGTGGCCTCATGTCTTCAAATTCACGTTCTGAACCCCGCCCCGAACCCCGGCGTCGGGCTACATATCATGCGCCGGAAGAGGAGGGGAGATCCGATAAGAGAGCGAGGCGCACACGGGGAATGGAGCCAGATATGGATGCTGATCGCGAAGCCCGGCGTGCCGCTCGTCGAGCCATGAAAGAACAAGAACAGGCTGAAGATTCCCGGCGTGCGAAAGATTCGCGGCGCGAGAGGCGTAGGCGTCAAGAAGAGGAGGACGAAGATGCTCGTAGACAGGAAGAGCGAGAGGCCCGAAGAGCGGAGCGCAGGGCTGCACGAGAGCGTGAAGCCCAACGCCTTGCAAACGAGGAGGCCGAAGCGAGGGAAGCCGAGAGAGCAGAACGCCGCCGCCGCCGCAGGCTCGAAAAAGACGCCGCAGCTGCTGAGGAAGCAGAGGCAGAAGCACGTCGGGCTGCCCGGGCTGAAAGACGACGTATGCGATACGGGGAAGCGGGGTCAGAAGAAGACGATGAACGGCGACGAAGACGCGAAGCCAGACGGGCCGCCGAGAAAGCCGGTCGCACCCGGTCTACGCCGATGGGCGATGACTATGTGTATCCTCGAGAGCGGTCCTCGAGACATACAGACGACGAACGTGGTAAGAGAAGGACACCAACCTGGCCACATTCTGGCACAAGTTCATGGGTTAAAGAACATTCAGACGCAGGTCCGCCCCCAGAGGACGGTCCAATGACGGACGCCCCTCCGCCGACGGACGACGAAGAAGCCCGACGCGCCGCTCGACGCGCCGCCCGCCGGCGAGAGAGAGAAAGATATGGCGAAGCGAACCGCGAGTACGAAGAAGACCAGAAGCGAAGGCGCGTACGCCGCGACGAACGCGACCGCCGAGAACGACGGATGGGCTCAGATGGCAGCGGGGAGCAGCAAAGGGCACAACAACAGCAGCAAGCACAGCGCGAGCCGATGTTCATGGATGCGACACCCCGGAGTAGTTGGTGGAGGAAACTCACGGGGTCGTAATAAGAACGGTCCTATCCATCCATCTATCTATCTATCTAACCTAGCGCAACGCGCGATCTAGTTCGGGCAAGGAGAATGCGCTCTTTCTTCTTCTCTCTCCTTTCTCATTGTTATGTTTACGGCTTTCCAGCGTTATTTGTATTATTGTCTTTTGGCGACCGGACTACTTTGCACATCCGCACTGCACTGCATATTTATATAATACCCCTATTAGACAGACACATCATCATCATTCTTTCACGGCGTTCCTATCTTGCTAGTATCTGCTTGCTTACCTTAGGCAGGGCAGGTCCTCTTTGTCTGTCGTTTGCGACATTGTTGGTCGGCGGGGCATTTACTTGTGGTGTGGTGTTTTGAATTTGTATCCATGTATATGTCTTGTGTGTCTAGCGTGATAAGGAAGGAGAATAGGGAGGGAGGGAGGGAGGCATTGATGTGTGTTAGGTTAGGAATCGAATATTATGTCGTGGACTTCAATTAGAGAATCGGTATATTTATACCCTATATACATTGGTTTTGGTGATTTAAAACTGTGAACTCGTCAAATTCTGACCTGTTATATGTGTCTACGTATATATATCTAGCTCACACTTCTCAATCTCGTCATTCTAGATGTAGAGTGAGCTGAGATAAATTGTGGTGAAGTGAACAAAATCTGAGGAAGCACGAGAGAATCTGGATCTGATTGGTTGGTTACTTGGACGTTTGATCATATCAGGAAGTCTATTGATATAAGTAAAGGGGGTAGGTATCATATGTGAGATGTGTCTTGGAGAAGCGGGTAACCGCACTCTAGGCATGGGATACATGTAGTACAGTGCAGTCAGTGTAGTACTTGAAAATAATAATAAAATGATACATCGTTTTTTGAAGTGGTGTATGGGAGGGCTGGAAGAATGAACGAGTGGGTAGGTTGGGAAGAGGAGAGAACTCGGGAAGTGTGACTGTCATTTTTGGTAAAGGGGGAGATGAGTGCCTGCTTACATATGTCTTGAAACGTTTGATCAGTTTATGTCTATGTGTTGAATATAACCCCCAAGTTTCCCACAGATGATCGAATCCGTGAAATTTGGGATAATGTCTTGTTGCACTGTACCTCGGGAAAACAAAGGGCAAAAAAGAATATCCTATGTATACTGCGTCAACCTGTAGTCTTGCACACATAATCAATCAGGTTTCTTGGATAATAACCAGACTTTTTCTTTCACATATCTATGCCTGAAATCGTGATATATTTTGGCTAGCTAGATCACTACTACATGGTAGGTAAACAAATGGATGGAATCAGTAAGAAGAGAAGATATGAGAAGGATATCATGAAGGAAACAGATCTACCTAACCGCTTGCTACCTACTGACTAGACACTGACCCTAGACTAGAATGCAGACAACCGATGGATATCAGAAGAATCATGAGGAAGGAAGAAAAACAGGAAGAGAAAAGGTGATGATAGGTAGTACAATCATGTATGTGTAAGCACCTCTCTTCCTCCCTTGCAAGTCTCAGATACGTCACACAAGGGTTGTAGTGCACGTTACGCACATATCCCTGTCCTGTCCATACCCTCACAACAAACAATTAACTTCAACCACAGCCAGTCAAACAGACCAAGGTACCTAACTACTTATCTACCAGCCACCCCTTCCTTCCTTCCCCAGGAGAGTAGATAAGTGAAAACAAGAAGTAGAAGTAGTAACCAACAGAAATGGAAATATCGCTGTGTTTGGCTCCAGTAGAGTAGTAGTTAACTCATTTCCCTCCCATTCAGCCTTGAAAGGAAGGAAGGAAAAGACTCGGGTGCAAATCCCGGCTGGTGCAGTTTGAATCATGTTTTTTTTCTTCTTTTTTTTCTTCCTTCCTTTGCCTTTGATTCTGCTTGGTATCTTTTGTATTTACCACCTATCTATCTCTATGACATTCTTCCTTTTGTTCTGCATACATATGTTACTCTTCAAGTCCATCTTCAATAGAAGTAGGTAGCTGCTTCAACTTAGCTAGTGAAATACATGAGGGCTTTTCCTAAGATGATGGCTGCAGATGACTTTCCTTTGCATTGCATTCACTTGCTCTTCTGTGTGTTTGTATGTGCACAGCTTACTGCGGATTTCTTCTTAATAGTATCGGTCCTATAATATTCTTTCTTGCCCTATGTTAATCTTCTCACATATTCCGTACAACTCATTGCAAAATATACCTTTCAATGCTCACTTTATTATTGTCTGTTACTTGTGAGTACACGTACCACAATCATGTCCGTTGTGCTACATACAAAGCGCATATTATTCCAAGCTCGCTAGGTCACTCTCACTTAGTATCTTCACCCATCACGTGCTTTCCTCGCCTCTCATTCTATTCTCTTTTCTGCCATTCAATTCTCAGAGCACTCACTACCTTCAAGTCAAGTGAAAGAGAGCAACAAAGCATAGTATTCATCACAATAAGGACCCTCTTGTTCCACACACTAAGAATAGAAAAGTGCATTTCCCGCTTTATATACAGTTTGCAACAATCTCACTATCGAACTAACTGCGGACAAAGAATCGTAAAACAAATATATAATATAACTAACCCCTTCTTCACCATGCATATCTCAGTCATGCAGAGCATTAACATATAAGAATTCATCTCATTTTTAAGAATAAGAAGAAAAGAACAGGTGAAAGAGATAGGGAAAAAAAAAAACAGATGTGCTACTCCGAGAATCAACGCACAATCTGCACCCTCTGCGCCGCACTGATATCGGCCAGGAACGGGATCAAGCACAAGTGTTTCACCGTGCTCAAATCGCACTTGCGGTTCGGGAAGTGTGGGCGCAAGGATGGACCATACGACACACTTATTAAAGAGGGTGTTTGTCGTTCATGTCGCAGATTAACGAGATGAAAGAAAGATTATACTTATATCTATAGGTATATATATATATATATGTGGAGTCACCAACAAATGTCTCAAATAAGTATTATTCACAATACTGATATTGAGCAGTAATAGCAATAGCATAAGCATAGTAGCAGTCCTTGAACCAATTTCTTCCATCCATCCAACTACGCTTAATCCAGCCCAGTCCAACCCGATCTTTTCAAGCCATAGTTCAACTAACCACTGTGATTATATGATAGTATGATGGATTGATTGATTTTGCTTTTAAGAAAAGCTAATTCGTTTCAATTCAAATGCCCTATAACGCCCTCCCGGTGAAAGAAAAGACCACTAGGACGATATTACAGTGTAATCTACGATAATAATAATAATCGCGGCTGAATCCAAATGCCACAGCCCCTTTACCCCTTCCCCTTTCCCCAACCAAAGTTTAGTTTGATCCCCCTTAGCCCAGCCCCCTTTTCGGGTATCGAGGAAAATTGGAATAATTCAGGTTCATTCATAAGAGGCCAGTCAGAGAAAAATAAAACATAATAATAAGGGCATGACCTCGCCTGGTTTAAAAAAAGATAATAAGTATTTCCTTTTTGATGCATCCTGGTATGCTTTACTCCAACGGAAACGCCATCCCCTACCCATCCACCGTCCTTTGAAACTTGAAACAAAGCAGGTTATACTCTTCGCTGTCATTAGTGATGAATTTTGTTTTTTTTCGTAGGCGCGTATCGAGGTTGAACGATAAAGATATAGTATAATGCCGATGTGGCCGAATTCGCGGCGTTAGCGGTTTAGATCGAGATAGGTCACTAAAGACTTAGCGTATAGTACAGGGTTTCGTAGGCCGAGAGGAGCCGAACGTTTCTCAATTAATTCAGCTACTCTTGTTCTGTGTCGCTTCCCTCGTTGTCGGAGGGTTCAAGAGGACCGTACTTGGCTTTGTACCTTTCTAGCTCAGCCATCTGTTTGGAAACATGACTAAGTATGGCCGCCATTGGTGCGCGGAGGTCTTCAAGTTGTTTGATATGGCCGCCACCCATAGCAGCGTGTCGAAGAGCCAAGGTTGAAACGCAAGTCTGTAAGGTTCAATCAGTAAATTGTTGGGGTGATTCGTAGAAGCGAACATCTTACCTCGATCCGGCTCACTTGATGTTCCATGAAGTTGAACAGGAAGCGGTCTGTGACCTCGCCACCTCGTTGTTTCATACGTTCGAGTAGCTCGGTTTCTGGAGGCTGCAAGCCCCTCCCGGACATCTCCTCTAAAGAGCTACAAAGCATCTCTAGGCGTAGACTAACTTTCCATAAAGACCAAATCATGTCTGGGTCAATTCCGAGCTCGCTCCCAGCCACGAGTCGTGCTGGCTGCTCAGACGGGCCAATTGTTGTAGCCGGAACCATATGGTAATCAATTCTGGCGGCGAGTGCATGTGGGTAGAGAGAATAAACATACTCGGGATTTTCGAGCCCCTTTAGTTTTCTCTCACCCATTTCCTTGACCTCGAATCCTTGAGAAGTAAGTGACTTCAACTCCTTTCGAATAGCAAGAGCTGTTGCTGTGTCATCAAATGCCTCGTCAGAGCCTGTAGATCCAGTTCGGTCGTTTTCTTGATAGGTTTCGAGGCATCGCTGGATTTCCGAGATAAAATCTGCAGAAACCGCAATCTGACCGCCATCGGCAACTGCAGAAATACGAGAGGCTTTATTGACCATTGGTCCAAAGTAGTCCATACGACGCGTGACAGGGTCGATCTCGGCGACTGGCTCACCATAATGAATGCCCATTCTGACAGAAAGGCCTTTGAAGATGAGAGTGTTATCCTTATCCCAAATCTCTTGACATGAGACCGAATTGAGCACCTCGGACGGCCAAGGGACTTCAAGGAGTTGCATCTGAACGGAGAAACACCATAGCAGAGCTGATGTCGCAGTGGGAAAGGATACCATAAAAGCATCGCCTTCTGTTTTGACCTCGTACCCACCAATTCGTCGGAGTTGCCGGCGCATAACTTCGTTGTGAAGTTTAATAGAGGACCTCATCGCATCCGGGTACATTTCCCAAAGATTGGTCGAATTCTTGATGTCAGTGAAAACAATGGAAGGTTTGTCGGTCGGTGCGGGAACCTCGGCCTCGAGCCGGTGCAAATCTGAGTCCAGAATACCACCCTTGGGTTTCTTGCCTCGCTTTGGATATTGAAAATCGTCCGGAACACCTGAGGGGTACAGAGACATGCTCTGCCCTCTATGCAGGCGCGTTGATCTCTCTTGCCGGCGTTTGAGATCGGCAACGCTGATCATCATTACCATGATCTTGTTAGTCGAACCGTAAGCCATAGCGAGATCTCGCAGCTTTTGCGAAGCTCGCATGAGGTCACCTCGCTCAGACCGTGAGACATCAACAATTAAAGCAGGTTTTAGATACTCCCAAAGCTCCCTGGTTGCAATCACTATTGTTTCATCTTGTGGTGTGATAGATACCTGGTTGACGTCAGGGGCCGCTTGTACTGCTGGTATTAGGTCAACATATCCAAAGGCTCGAGAGACCTCGAGAAGATCGTTCAATTTTCCTTGACGGGAAACCCAACCGCCGGCATCTCGAATTCGTTGACGTTCTGAAGGCTCGGCTGGGTCATGCTTTCGTGTCAAAAGCTTATGAGAGCCATCTGATTGAATGAGCATCGCCTGTGCATCACCAACGTTGGCGATATACAACTCCTGATTTTGAAGGTATGCAATGGTGGCGACGCCTCCGGAATTAAGGTCCTCCTTACTCAAGACCACGGGAGCTCCAGATCCGCGATGCGTGCCCATTGGCCTTTTTTCTGTATGCTCAATAGCTATAGTGACCAAGTCTTTGTTCAGAGCTAGAAATGCACGACGCAATGCATCGGCGGGTCCCTCGTTCTGACGAGTTTTGATAGCTTTTAACTCCATGGTGAATATGTGGCCAAAGTTCTCATGCAAGTACTTGGCGATCTTAGAGCCACCGCTAGAAAGGGCCTGGCCATCAAATAAGCCGAGAAGTGTTTCTGTATCTGATGAATTGAACCGAGGGACAACGAGATCAATTGTAGACAGGTGCTCATTTCTTCCCATCGTATCCGCCATGCCGTATGGAAGATGCCCTGCCAACGAACCAGAGGTTCTCACACGACGATCCTCGCTTTGGTCTGGTATGCTGGGCTGAGTAAGGGTTACGTCCATCAAACCAAGAACGCGAAGGTTTTGCAATCGGCTAAAGTCGGTATACTGTTCGCGACTCTGCGCAGCAGTCCCTTGATTGTTCTGTTTGATTTCAAGGCGTTTGTTGCCCGACAAATTAAGGTACCGCAGGTTAGGATTGAGGTTCCAATTCCAATCGTACGGAACATTGGAAATGTTGTACTTCAGCGAGTTGTTTCCACAATCAAGTACAGCTAACTTCTTTGCTCTTGAAATATCAGCTGGAAGGTTTGTAAACTTATTGTTGTTGATATGAAGCACTTGAAGCAAACTGTATTCTTCTAAGTCGTCAACAGGCAGGCTGGTGAGGTCGTTGCCTGACAGATACAACTCCACAAGCTGCGGCCAATTCTTGATACACCGCTGGGGCATATCGCTGAGGTCATTATATGATAGATTCAGAACTCGCAGCTCGCTAAGTAGCGTGATTTGCTCGAATACATCATCGTCAATCTGGTTATCTGCGAGTATTAACTGTCGCAAAGAGCCCGCGAACGTGTTAGTCAGCCGACTAGAAAGACCAGAGTCTTTCCTAGATGCCCCAGACGGTGTCACAGTGCCATTCATCCCACTTCCTGTAGTGCTCCTTGATACGACTGAAGTCTTGCGGCCTCCTTTGCCGTATACAGACACCACAGAGCTCTTGCGGTCAGCCCCAGAAGCAACCGGGTTAGGTCCAACACTGAGTAGTGTGCTTGATGATTGACTAGGCCGGCGTGACCCATCAGGTAATATATCTTCGTCGCTAGGCGTCTGAGATGAGGGGCCACTTGGTGGCTTATGACTGATAACCGGGACGGTCTGTGTCTCTCCAGGTGGCTGGGGTTGGCGAGAAGCGGGCTTCGGAAAATTCTCGAGGACATTCGAAGATGCATTAAGAGTTTCCAACTTATTGGCCCACCATATTTCCATTGGGAGTTTCCTGATATTGTTGCCTCTGACATCTAGAATTCTTAGTTCCGTTAAACAACCTATTTCCAGTGGAAGTTCGCCAACCAGGTTGTGAGCGATACTGAAGTGCTCTAACCTTCGTAAATTACCGATCGTACCGGGTAGGGAAACGAAGTAGTTGAAATCTAAGTTGAGCCGCTCTAAATTGACCATGTTATTGAATGCTCCATCGATGCTGGCAAGCTGAGCGTTCGAGAGGTTCAGTATTTTTAATGTTGGCATAGGATTCACAATGCCAAATTTCGTGAGAGGATTTGTATTGAGCTTCAGACTGCGGACACGTTCGAAGCTGCCGACGAACTGTGACAACATGTTGTGGTCCGCCGTGAGCACTTCTAACTTGGGTAGTTCTGAAATGACATCAATGGAAGTCAACGCATTGAACTTGATATCCAACTCGCGAAGATTAGACAGGCGGCTGAATGTTGACGGCAGAGATCCACTCAACCGATTATTCGTCATTACGAATTTTTCCAAACTGCGAAGATTTCCAATTTCTTCAGGAAGCGATCCCACCGCATTGAAGCTGACGTCGAGATTAACGAGACTCTCCAGCTGGCATAGGGAGACGGGGAAGCTGTCCAGAAAATTAGAGGATAGGTTTAAAACGCGAAGAGATTTGAAAGAGCTAAAGTCCGGTGGTAGACTCTTCAGACGATTGTTAGCAAGGGTTAGCCTCAATATCCCGGTAAGGCGGGCAAGCTCAGCGTGCTCGACCTCTTCTAGGCGATTATTGGACACATCAAGCAGCGTCAATCTAGTTGCTCTGCTTATACTAATAGGAAGTTTCCGGGCCTCGTTACTAGCGTACTTGATATCGCGTAGTGAGGGGCATGCTTGGATGAAGTCTCGAGGGAGATCGAGAGAAAGGTTGCGTGAGAGGTTCAAGGAGATTATCTCGTTGGTCTTGGAATATAGGGTAATAGGGATCGTGATCAGGTTTCGGCCAGACAGGTTGACATGGTTGAACTTGGCAGCCCTCCCCAGTCCCAGGTCATGCGGGCTGGCGTTGAACACGCCGTCTCTTGCAGACAAAAACATGAACCGGCACAAGTAACCGTTATCCTCACGTCCAATATCCTCTAGCCTGTCTTTCTCCTCATATCCAGCTTGTTGTAATAATCGCTTCTGTATCAAGAGCGGTCGCTCTGCAGCAGCAAGTATTCGACATAGATCATGCTTCTTAAGGACAATGTGGTAGTTTTCCACACCTTCAGTAATTAATGTCTTCTTCACAACTTGGTTCATAACATCGCTCACAGTTGCACTAAGCGGCAGTTGTACTGTAGCAAAAGAGCCGTCGGAACGGAAGACACGAATGCAGTGAGGAGCCCCCTTTTCTTCGACTCGTGGTGGAGTACCAACGTCTTCGTTTTCTGGTGTGTGGTCAGCCCTTTCCTCAGCAGTACGACGAACAGCCCAGCTATCTGGGGCATTCCACGCTCCTCCAGGCTTAGTAGTCGCCGATATTGGCTCAGGCATGGGCTCATCGGAGAACTGGAACATAGCTGGATCCATGGGGGTAAGAGGTAGTGGACGGGACAAGATACCCTCCATATCATTAAGATTGGTATCGAGGTGAAACATGGAGTCTTTGTCATTCTTGTCGGTAGGACCAATGAGCTCGTCGGCATCGTCGAATGTTTTATGGGGACGAGACTTCTTGCCGAACGGGAATTTATTATTGAAAGTTGCTTGTCGTGTCGTGTGTGCCCGTGGTTCTCGATCACTCTCTGGATAAGGCAAGGGTTTCTCGAATGACTGCTGCCCGCGAGTCAAATCTGGCCTCGAGGTCGAATGCACTATGGACCGAGAAGCAGGTGCATTTCGATGGCGACCACTAGGCGCATCATCTTTTTGCTTATGTCGCCGTAGCCGCTCCAGAATCCCCCTCTTTCCATGTCCACCCGGCGAGATCTGTCCATCTACCGAAGCTAGCCTGCTGCCAGTGCTATTGTTGCTGGGTGCAGGGCTCTGTGCACGAGAACGCATACCACTCGCAGTAGACCCACCCCGTTCTTTCATATTATTGATGCTCAGGTTAGAATCCTCCCGGCTAGTATACGGCCGCAAGTTGCTGGGTTCATCGAGACTTTTGTTGTGGCGGTGATGGCCAGGGAGGTGGACCATGGAATGGTTGGAACGGTAAGATGACGATGTCGGGGCTATCATATTCTGGCTCGAGCTCGCACTATCCTGGTGCGACTGGATATAGCGTTCCTTATCGGGCCCGGCTAAAATGTCACGCACCGGAGCCTCACCGTATTTCGCAATATCATCTGCTTCTTGGTATAAAAATGGCACAACATCGCTCGAGGGTATGGGTGTTCGTGGTCTAGAAGATGTTGGCGATGGTTCCCGGGTGTGATCGGTCGCATTGGAATCGTTCCTGCTTCGGCGTGGTCGGCCAAATGAGTACGAGCGCTGCTCCTTGGCAAGTGGCGGCGCAGGGGGCAAGCTCGTCTCTGACCCATCGCGACCCGGAAATTCTTCCCCGAAAAAGCCTTGGAGCTTCTTCAGCCCACCCCGGCCACTACTATTCTTAGACCCTTGACTGCTCGCAGTGGTTATGCTCGCGATCGATGGGCGTCGTTGCTCGTCAAAGTAGGCAATATCCGGTGAATCATTGTTGCTCGGATTTTGGCCATATCGTGATGGGGCGAGGCGGAAAGCAGGGGAGAGCTGGGAAGGCGTGGATAAATTGTCGCTAGAATCGTTGTAGAAACTAGTGAAAGTGGTCGGCGACGCGGCCGCACCGGGTCCTCCGTTGGCGGACATCCAGGGCGCAATATTCTGAGGTGCATTGGGACTTGTCGAAGGCGGTTCTCGGTGGATCTGGGGTAAGCGACCGCCAGAGGGTTCTAGGACGGCGAGCTCGCGACGATAGTTGGCGAGGTCACTCATGCGACGACTATCGAGCAGCGAACTCGTAGAGGCGGTCGAGGCGGGAGACAAAGCGAAGCGGTGACCAGTGGGCGATGTGGGAGAAGACTGCGAGTCGTCTTTGTGCGGCCTAAAGCTCTGCTGTCAGTTGAAAGTGTACCTTCACTTTTTTTTTATACCTTGCCGTGCTATGTGTAGACTCTATCCCTGGCCCTAGGTATTTGGGCAGTCTCTCCCGAAAGAGACAAGGCTACACAAGAATAAAAGTCTCAAGGTGGGGGCGAAGGATGTCGAACAGGACAGCGAGATAGTTCCTGGGTCGGTAGACTCTTGCTTCCTCGTGGGCTAAGGAACTATGTAGAGTAGGGTGGAAACGCACCTAAAGCGACCATTCTCGCCTGTCTTGATGGGCCTCGGGGTAGGCTTGTTTGAGGCGGAGGACGTGGATGCGGAGCGGTTGGGCGTGGGCGGTTTCACGGTGATGTTGGACATTCCACTACTCGAGCTCACGGCGGAGCTGGCGCGGCCATCATTCCTCGTCATTGTCACTCGCACGCCGGTGCTCGCAGCTAGATCAATGGTATGGCGCCATTAAAGTAAGAGCGCGCTCATGGTGACTATTGGATGGAGGGGAGATTTTGAGTTCGGCTTCACGAGTCGCGCGAGTGGTGTGTTGGGGGTGATGATGTTCGAGGGAGGGAGTGTTCGTTGCTCGTCGATGGCTTAGGTGGTCAGCGCCCGTGTGCTTTTTCGAGAACGGCCGTATACGTATAGGTTGGTCTCAACTGAGGTAAGCGAAAATTGGCGAGCTGAGTGGTGAGGAGGGAGACCGAGGCGTAAAGTGAGTGAGATGGAGAAAGGTAGGTATAACATAGGTAGGCGCATAGAGCGGCATACAGGCATACAGGCATACAAGCAACACAGGCAATACGGGCAACACAGGCAACACAGGCAACACAGGCAGTACAGGCAGGTATGTACCTAGCTCTCCAATGTGTCCGATCTGTGTGTTCGATCTACTCGGTCGGACCAAGGCTCTCACGCTACGAGACACGTGCTCGGCCGGAGGAGGGGTTGAAGAGTTGGTAGCGTAAACTAGCAATGTATGGTGTCTGGGTATGGTGTAGAGAGAGAGATCAATTGGTGACGGACTCGAGGCACAATCAATGTGGACTGTACCTGGAGTCGATGTCCATGGGCCTGGGTGTGGGTCGAAACCTGGCTTGTCTCTTGTCTCTTGTCTGGGGAAGCAAGGGAAAAACAATGAAAGGAACTTCACATATCTATCTGTCCACAGCAACCATCCTAAGTACATATCTAGGTAGGTATATGTAGGTAGGTACCTAACCTAACATATATCTACATATACGTCTACATTTAAATTAACTCACAGCAAAGCTGGAAGGGTACGGGTATGTAAGTAAGTAAGTAGGTACATATGTAGGAGGTATGCACACCAACACATGTATGTAACTCTCTGAGGTGTCGCCTAGAGAGAGAAAGGTAATAATAAGTACGAAATAAGTAAGTACATGGAGATACAGCAAAGGATGAGCCCTCGTATAGAGCTCGTACTTTATGCGAGGAGGAGACAACAAAGAGGGGCGAGGGGCTATGTGCAGTGTGTCCCGTCCAACCTTGGAGTCTTCAGTGCAGGTGCGCTATGATCTCTGCTGTAGCACTGTCAAAACATGCTATAATTAATACACTAGCCCAGCCTATCAGGGCCTCGGGATGAGTACTACATACCTACCTATGTACCTGGTATCTGATGGGTACATAGGTGGCAGATGGGGAGCCTGTGCTGAGCCAGTAGGACTCCGCGATGCACCGGACTGTCCATTGGCTATTGGTGTTCGTAGAGTAGATTGCGAATGGACGGGCAGAACGGCAGGACGGCACACTCTGTAGGATCGCAGTAGCTGGTGGACATGGGAGAAACTTGATTGCGAGTGCCTACAAAGTAGGCAAGCAGGTAACCTGATACATCCCTGGCGACACAGGTAATGCATCACCATATCACAGGAGTTGTTTCGCCCGAGTTGCTATGTCGAAACGATGATTCGTTTAACCATTCGTTTAACTATCCGACATTCTGTGCTTGCTAAGGGCGGCGTGTCCTGTGCCACCGTATGTATTTCAGGCAGTCTGCCTTGGTATGTATGTATGTATGTATGTATGTATGTAGGTGTGTACATATGTAGGTACTGAGTAATGATACCAATACATGTTCAAGACAATAAATAAGACGCCGTTGGAACAAGTTTCGTTCTTATTGCCGCTTGAGATTACAATACTTCTATGGTACTCCTGTACACACTACAGGTTGTCTCTCCCTCTCCTCTCCCTGTCAACCTCAATCTGCTGCAGTTCTGTCATGTGTGCGCCTTTGCTGTTGCTGCTATCCTCCCCGCTAACTCTACATACGAGCGGGCACTTCTTGACAACCTTGAAATGAAAGTATCTATGAATGTATTATACGAAAACATAGGTATACTACTCTAATGTACATGCAGTAGAAGCAAGCAAGTTCATTGGTTTACACATGGTGTTTCCAAAAGCGAACTAAGCCACTCTACATCATGGGATGTTCCCGCCAAGGAGCCGTCACTGTAGATCATTGTTACTAAGTTACAACCGTCCCGGGACAGGACGCGGATACTAGATATCCCTTGAACCCGGTGTCCAAACTACTTACCTACTAAGCATACTTGGACTCTTGTCTAGCTGTCTCTTGACTAGCTGTAGTGCTCTTAGCCTTTTGGTATTCAAATGGATTACTTCCTTCAAGCCTCCGCTTACCGCCGGTGATGTCCGCTGACTAAGACATCGCAGTGCAGTGTAAGTCGCAGCCCGCCGCCTACCGCTGCCAATATATAGATGGCATCGCTCTTGTTCAAGAGAGTCGCACAGGTTACGAGGCTTCTTCGTCGAAATCTCGTAGGACGACACACACAAGAGCCGTTGGGAGATTGGTTCAAACAGCAAACATCATTTTCCAGGGTCCAGGAGTTCATCATCATCGATCCATAATGCCTAACCGTTCCGGCATTACAAGCCAGACCCCATTCTCCTCATAGGCTAGGCATCGTAGGATCCCCCGCTCTCAGTAGCCGCGATGGTGGGACGTATCTATACTATGTATACGCCCTAATATACCTAGGTGTACAGATAAAGGTTAGGTCCAAGTAAGTCATAATAACACTAGCTACCCAAGCAATTTACACGGTGGAAAGCGTCCGGAGGAAGCTATTCACCGACCTACGAACAGCCAATTTGCAACCCAAGTCTCGTACGCCAAGGGTTTACCAATACATAGGACCCGAGAATACTCCGTATAGCTGATTTTAGAGTGCGAGGGCGGCTAGCGCTCGAGTAGGGGCGTGAGATTTTGGTCCGGAAATTCAAGCAAAGAGAAGGACGTGGGAGGGGTAGAAAGTGTAGTTAATGATGATATCTGTGACAGATTTGTGGTATTATTTAGCTTCCAAGGGCTACAATTTTCGTATGGGGTATCAGCGCAAACGCAGGTAGCATACATATGCCGATTAGCATCTAATCCTTCATGAAAGCTGGGCCATCTTAGCCTCTAGCTCTTTCACCCATCCTTCTATCACCTTCATATTTCCAGACATGGAAGCCTCGCCTTCACCCATTGCTCCCTCGATCTTCTCTAAGCCTTCTCTCCACTGTTTGATATCCGACGCCATCTCGCTCTGAGACTGCTCAATACGCTCAAGCACATCACTGGCGGTTGCTGCATCAGCGTGTATACTTCTCAACGAGCGCAATCTGTCCAGCAACGGCGACAATAGAGGCGTCAGGCTCTCAATAGTTGGGAGTGTTCCGTATAGTGCGTTGATCTTGGCGATTTGCTCTGCATCATCCGCGTCTACCATGGGACCACCGGCAGATGAGAGCTCCTCTTGCGCTAGCTTGGCAGCCTTCCTAGACTTCTCCAACTGCTCGGCCTCCTGTGTCAGTGTCCGGACCCGGCGACTGATGCTATCAAGTGACGAAGTTGATGCTTCCGATAAAGTCATGATTTGGTTCTGGAGTGTCTCCAGTGTCGGCAAAATGGCGCGAGGTAAGCCGTTGCCCTCTAGATCAGGAGTCGCAGTAGAAGAAATGCCAATTGCTTTCTCCAGGAGCGCAAGCCTCCAGTCAAAATCGGCAGCTTTTGCGAGAGCATGGGTTTGGTCGTAGCTAGGCGCGTACGTAACGGTATAAGTAGCTTTGTCCACCGGCGCTAATGGCCCGTCTTCTTGCGATTTGGTGGCCTCGCGCACTGGCTTTGTAGGACGAGTCCGAGAACCTGCCACTTCTTCAGGTTGAGTCGATAGCTCCTCCAATGCTTCGCTAAGGGTCACCAGCTCTGTATCATCCGAAGATTTGTCCCCAGCCTCTGTCTTCTGCTTGCTATACTCTTCTTTTACTTCCTGAATCTCGCGTTTGAGACGTGCAATCTTCCTTTCTAGCGTTTCGCCATCTTCTTCGTCGCTTAGATCCCCGATCTCAGCGGTGCCGTCTTTGAGGGTCCGGTGCCTTCTGCTTGAGGCTCGGTAGGATTTACGCTTCCCGTTTACCCGATCAGAGAAGTCCACATCCCGAGCATCAACCTGGGAGGGCATGAAGCGTGAACGTGCTTGATCTATACGCAGTCGCGAGTGTGATATTCCACGCCCATCCGTGTCTCCATCATCATCGTCGTCGTCATCGAATTCATTGTCTAATGGCGACCTATCGACCGTTGTCTAGAGACCGATGTTAGTTGCCTCCACACCGACTTATAAGAAGCAGCAGCAGCGAAGTCCGTAGATGCGTTCATACAGGAATTGTTGAGTTGTCGTCGGTTAGCTCTGGAGTCTCGTAGATATCGGGAGCAGAGTCCTGGCGGGGGTTAGTTACTAGCAGCCAAGAGCTCTAGAATAGTTTACAATACCAAGTCAGGTAAGTCGGCATATTTTCGATTGACAGCCATGTCAGGATCTTCGAAGCTCGCATTGAATAGCTGGCCCTGACCAGCACTTGAAGGACAGGCAAAGGGGTGGTTTCGCTGATGAAATTTCAGAGACTGTGAAGAATATGGGTGTGTGTTGTCAATACAAAAAGGCAAGCTGAGAGAGCTTCGATCAAGCGTGTTGTGGTTCTAGGTATTCCGTCTGTCTGCCAGTTAGGTGGGGGTACATAACTGGAAGTACCCGTTATGCTGCTCTGGACCGTGGATAGGTCACATGTACCTGCAGCGTGGCTTATGATTTACAGTGCTGAAACATTGTACACTGTATCGATAGTTAAGAAGACAGGAGCTTATGCAGGCAGGCTAAATAGCCTGCACAGTGCGTGCGCTCCCTCTTAGATTGAAGTACTTACTTGTACCTATAAGCATCTTCACGCGTCGCAGTATCTATTCCTTCCATGCGCCATCTATTACCTATCCTGTTGTCCTCATGCCTCTCACGAACACCAGGATTTTCGTTTGAACTACGCGTTCTATCTATGAAGTGTGATCGTCCTAGATCTGGTGTGCCTGTACGACTAATTCTTCAGGGTTCATTTGTCGTCCTGCAGCCAGGACTCGAGCAGACTGTGAGACGGACATATACACGTGTAGACGTATATGAACCCCTGCCTCAATTCGTCGCACTCACATCGTCCTGTCGACTGATGTTGGGACAGCTGTTGACAGCGGATGTGTCGAAAGTTCATCCATCCCACTGCCAATCCTTAGAGGTAAATAAGCCTCATGACAAAGCCTCGTTCGGGAGTACTTCGCCAGAGGCGCGTAGGCATAGATAGAAGATTCCCTCCGGGCGCACCTCTCACGCAGGTCGGTGGAAAGGATTATCAGCCCACCAAACGACAGAAGGTCGGATTATCATCCGTCACAATGAAGAGAGATGGCGATCCTCTGTATGACCCCATAACAGCACCGCCCGAGAGCAGCGATGATGAGGCAGAAAGCCCTCCTAAACGGGAGCTGGGCATTAAGGATGAAGATGATTCAGACGAAGAGTATAATAGGGTCAAAGCCGCCAACATCCGCGGAACTACTTTCGACAACAAGGAGCCAAAGCTTGGAGCACAACATACCTATAGGGGGGAAACGGAATCTAAACAATGTGTCGCGGAACGTCAGTCAGTAGAGCCTAATCAATTAGAAAGAGAGCTTGAGGCTCCACGCGAAAGGAAGAAAAAGCCCTCTAGAATAGCGAAATATGGCGAGCAAACTAAGCCCAAGAGATCGGTCTCATCACAAACAAAATACTCTACTTCAAGAGGTATTGCTGAGTACTTAGCCTCAGACGACGATGGTTAGTATGGAAGAACACAGATGAGCATAGTCGGATGCTGACATACCGAGCAGCACAACCCCCTTCGAGTCGCAATTCATTTCATCGAGTCAAGAGTATTAGCCCGATGAAATCGCAATCACCCCGGAAAACGTTCAAGACTAAAAGGCAGATTTCAGAATTAGATGAGCCAGAAGAATCAAAGCCCAGGTTCAAGAGTGCTCCTCAGCACGATTTGTCCCCCCTCTCAACTCCCAGAAAGCGTCGCATGAGTTCTGTAGATGAGGCTGCAGAGAGTAAGGATGAAAAAGCAGTCAATCGTCCGATTAAAGGGTTGCGAGGTCGTATACAACGCAAAGGCTCCAAAAGAGATAAGCCTCTTCCCGACCCTGTATCAGAGGAGGCGTCTCAAAGACCCGTCTTCAGAGTGCCAGGATTAGAAGACCTAGACTTGTTTGACGATACTAGCTCACTAGGCGCTACAACGGCCCCTATAGAATCACAGGATACGTCTTGGGATCAGTTAGATCTCGAAGAAACCGAGGCCATGACTGTACCTAGATGTCCAATGTGTCACCAAGAAGTTGATCGGGAACTACTCCAAAAATACTCCACCGATGGGAAAATGAGCGTTAAGCAGCAAACCGCTTTCTGTCGGTTACACAAACGAAAGTCAGCAGCCAAGGCGGGAACCGAAAAGGGTTATCCTAATATCACCTGGGATACCTTGGACAGTCGACTCAGGTCACACAAAAACGTTCTGCAAAGAATTCTTGAGGGAACCCAAGCATCGCACTACCGCAAAATACTCAAAGAAAGAGTAGACTCTGGCAAAAGTCGAACGTTGCTAACAAGTAACGACAATCTCACACCAGGTTACTATGGACCCAAAGGACTCCAAGTCATGACGCAATTCATCATGCGTACGTTATCCGATGTGCTTCGCAGGCGAGCAGTAGAGGACAAACTGATCTCCGCGAGGTCGTACACTGGATATGTGCAAACGGTGCTCGTTCCCGAGTTGACTGTGCGTCTGATCATGGAGGATATGTCTGTAGGGGAAGAGAGAGCCCGAGATGTCTTAGAAGAGAGCGTTGAAATCGGCGAGTTGCTACACGACGAAGATCGAGATGTCGTCATGATTAATGAATTGGAAGAAGACCTTGCGCCAGAGGTTTGACTGGACGATGATAATAGATCTCCATTTGCTGTTATGGATCTGCCGGGTTGCTTGGGTCTGGCACCTTTGGAATCATGTAATCGTGTATAACAAAAAGCGGTATTACAGCAGCTATGTTTCCCAGGATTATAGCCGAGATATTCTACGAGCTGTACAGTACCTAATATTACAGTGGGTGGCAGCGAATATACGAATGAACCAGCAAGCCCCCCTTAGACAATCACATGCAGCCTCAATCATGAGCACAAGTGCAATTCAAACCAAATAAAATTATCGCCGATCACACAGAACATTTAACTAATCTCGGGCGAAGAATCTGACTATGTACACGGACAATAGATAAAACAGCAACGATATATACACGAACCAATGAAGAATAATCAAAGACAAAAAGCAAATATTTAGAGCACAGGTTTCCCTTCGGATGTCCCTCAGACACGTCTAAGCGGAAATCTGGTTAAGAGCAGGGTCTCCGGCAGGCAGGGTCGTAGCATCGAGACGGGCACGAGTAGCCCAGCGACCATCGGGCACGTTGCGTCTCTTCGCCGGCGCAACCGTTGAGTTCAAAGCAGTCGAGTTGAGAGGGAGCGTGGCGTTAAGCAAGGAAGCTATATCAATTAGTATCAGTACGTCTTTTCGCTAAAGGGGGGAGAGTGTAGGAAGTATAGAGGTTCACTAACCAGACGGCACCCAATCAGTATTAACTTCGTCGCCCTCGAACTGAATCTTAGCAACGTTGCATGCAGGGGGTTCAATGAGCACGCCGCTCTGGGGGAAGGGGTCAAGAGGTCCCCATAGGTTGCCGTCCTCGTCGAGACCCAGGCCCTCCGTGAGCCATGGCAGCTGCGAGAAGTCGTTGGCGGGCGGCGGGACACCGGGAACGTCCTGCTCGGACTGGATCCAGACGTTAACCGGCTGGACGTAGGTGCCGGCGAGGAAACCGTTCTTCGTGGTTCTCGTCGTGGGGACGCCGTTGATCTCGGCCACGATGCGGTAGTCGCGCGCATAGCCCGAGAGGATGTCCGCGCGGTACTCGAACTTGTTCTGCGCGTTGCCGCCGCCGCGGAGGCCGATTGCCGCTACGATCCGGTCTGTCACTGCGCCTGTACATGGGTCGATATCCATCGCGTACATGGCGACGGTAGAGCGGGGGTTCGAGGTGTAACCAACGATCTACGCGTCCGTCCTCGTTAGCATGATCATCGACCACTTGATTCTATCGAGCTCCCGAGAGGATTTTGCTGATTGACAAATTTCAGGTGCTTCTACTTACTCGTGACTCGGCCAATTCCGTGTTGCCGTTAAAGTTGGAGATACCAAGTAATGCGATTTCGGTGCGGAGATAGACAAGGTTTTGAATAGTCGTGATCTGCACGTTCTGAGCAACTATACTAAAGGCAATGACTTCGTCGCCTCGCCTGATGCCCGCCCATGTGATGAAGTCACCAGGCAGGAAAGGAACCATGCTCAGAGGGTCAGGGGCAACACTGTGAGCCGTTAGCAATTTACCTTCTTTTTTCCGGCTGTAGAGCGAGACAAGCTTACAAAGTCCCCTGTCCATTGAAGGGGCGATTCGAAGACGGGCATGCGGGATCGGTGGTATTCCGAGGGATACACATCGGGAACCCAGAGAACGATGTGATGCTCGGGCTCTCGTCATCCGCAGTGAAAAATGGTGCCGCTGTGTACCCTGCGGAAAACACTGCATTCGGGTCGTTGATGCGGAGGGTCGGCCCATTGCGAATTTTCATGCTGGCATCCTCGAAGTCGATAGATTCGATGAAGCCGCTTGCCAATCCCTCGAAAAACTCATATATCTGGACCTGGGCCGCGATAGGTACGCCATTGATGAAATTGCCAAGGACCTGGAAACGAGGTGAGTATAGTTGTCCTAGCTGTCTTCGAAGCACACTCCATCCCAGCAATATGGCTATGACTTACCATGGTCTCATATCCGATCATAGAGTCTTTTTCTGCGGCAAAGTCCCTCCATCCAACATACGCTGCAGGGAACTCAACCTGCAAATTCTTCGGGATAGTGATGTTGAAGCCGCCAACACTGATGGTGCCGCCAGAGTTGAAAGTGTCATCAAAAGCGATGGCATCCTCCAGAGCTCCTTCAACGAACAAAGGGGCGTCTTGGCCATAAGCACTGGAGAACAAGTCCATAAGCTGAAGGCCTACCACGAGGATAGAAGCGAGAGAAGAAACGCTACGCATGGTGCTAAAGGTGCCAAAGGAGTATCTTGAAGTGATGCTGGTGGAATTGTGGTTGCTACAGAGGAGGAACTATCACCAAGGACAAATGGATGCTTTATAATTTTAATTTTGACGGATATACTCAGATGAGGGTATCGTCACTGCCTCCACTATCGTCTGTAGGTCTCAAAGTCCGCGCGGCGAGGGAATAGAAATTCAGACAACGCGTCGTCACATTTTGATAGTCATTTCGTCCAGATTCGAATCCTCCCCTCGCCACTTCACGCAGCCATGATCCTCTTAAGCCGCCAAGATGTAGTATCCAAACGTATAAGTATTACCGAAAGGAGGAGGAGCAATCGTAACCACATCGTAAGGATGAGCGAAAGCGTCTATAGCCAGTCACCCAGTTACGTGTCCATTGCTCTAGCCAGAGTCTCTCGACTCTCGGCAAACGCGGACATAAACTCGAAAAACGGAATAGCATTCTAGATACCTCGAGCAGCACCCTCTTCCGCATGGGAAGTGGACTAGCAACCGACACACTGTTGAGAACTCTCACCTCGGCGCCTAGACGCCGGTCCTCCCATCATGCGGCGAAGAACAGTGTTCGCATTAGTAACGCTGATGAATATAAGTCGTCAGCCCTAGTGCTTGTACGTAGGGTCGCATGGCGTATGTTCGAGGTCAAGGCTCAGCCCGTTGTACCTGGTATCTAGATGCCAAGCTGGAGGCTTGTCTAGCCTCGAGGTCATGAGCCTATAGTTGCCTTAAACCGCACACGTTATCCCCCCTCATCACCACCCTGGCTGGCTGCGATCATGATATCCTTATACCCTAGTTACTGATCTAATTTCAATAGTGAGTAGCTGAAAGGTTAAGTTCGAGCCTTCAAGAGCAAGGACCTAAGGCTTACATGGTGTGCACTACACAAGATGATAATCCAACATGGTGTCGCCTGTTTTTGCACAGTAGCTAGAGCAGAGGTAGTGAAGATCTTCAGTCAACGAGATTCGACCAACATAGCCCATGGCGTGACTAGGCTATAGACCTTTATTAGAACTCTTATAGGCATAGGAATAGGACATCGTTCATGGCCGGTATACCACCATCGTCGGCGCGGGACCCCGTATCGGGAAGCAATAGGTTTCCTATGCAAGTATACGATGTCAAGGAAACCGCCGATTGGTCTAATAGTGCGGCGAAGTGTCCGCTTCCTTGCATCCTCATACCCGGGCGCTAGTGTAGGAACTCTGGAGGCCAGAATCCTGGTTACAGTGCGCGCGGGTTCGTCCGTCGGCGAGTGGCACGTGAAGAAATGCGGCGTTCACCTGCGTAAACGCCATCTTACAACCATACACGACCTTCCATCTTATCTTAGGTTATTGTTAAGCACTGCAAGCAACCGGTCTTGGCTCTTGGCTATGGGCAAGATTCTCTGGTCCTACTGCTTGCGGGGAGGTGCTTGGCCGCCATAGGCTTGCATATCGACCCCAGACCTTGCAGGTTCGCTTCCAGCAATGTGATTCCCTGTGCTACCGTTAACCTCTGTTACCAGGTTGCCTATGTGCTTCCGTATCACAACATGCCGAGATCACCGGTTCCTGCATGGCAAAGGAACAGCTTGCAAAAAGAGCGATTTGTGCTGTTCGGCCTAGGCGAGTCGTGAAGCTGGCCAGAATCTAGACACAACCACCATCTTAGGTGTAACAAGACGGCACAAATAGTTTCTGGACTGATTACACCTACCCTTGATCGTGGGGTAGACATATACGACAAATTTTTACCAGGAAGGGGAATAAGTATGATCATAACGTCAGCCTGCATAGCTTGTAATCGAGAATACTACCTTTACAGTATCATTACATTATCATAATATCGTGTAAGCATCCTGGTACCTCTATAGTGAGGACCCAACCCACTACCATGTGACCTTAGATAGGCATCCCGAGAAGACTATGCGTTCCTGAGTGTCGATACCGGCCGCATGCATCGAGCAGCCACCTCAGCCACGCATCGTGGTAAAATGAGACTATTCAGAGAGGAGGCCTTTCGACGACAGCTATTCCCATTGACCTAACTATACTACACTACTCAGGGTATTAGAAATAACCTCATTGCAGGATAGTGTGCCTTAGTTCCACATCCTTTCTGCTGGCCAGAGTCGTTCAGATAGCGTTAAGAGAAGCTATTACGTAGGAGAATACCGTATTACAAAGATACAAAGGATCATGATATCGGTCAAAAGTCTTGGCTGCGTGTAGACGCAGGCACGCAAGATTCGTTAGGACGCCTGTTTCGTAACTACATTTCCTCATAGAGGAATCTAGCCAGGCTAGACTCAAGCCTCAACGCGTGGTCACGTTGGATCGACTACGACTAGACTATTGTTCCTTCACGATAGCACGCCCATACTATATTGTGGTTGCACGTGCAGTCTAAGGCCTTCACAGCTCAATCTCCGAACGACCAACGCAGTATCAATGCCCAATTTAGGTCATTTTCTTTTTGATGCAGGACTATTTCACGGCCTGACTCTTTTCATCAGCCTCATCCCATGCAACCCAGGGTTCCGTATGGTTGGGTATGCGCCTGAGTATTTCCGCGGCTCATCTAGTACTATAGACTCTACGATCATGATCAGGATGGCCACAGTTCCACACGCGTGTCTTCGATCTAAGTCGAAGCCGCGTGGAAGTGGTCATCAGCACATGCACTGAGGCGTAAACCTATGGCAAGAGTGAGACTAGCGTTTGTACAGTCAGTTACGCTTAGAGGAAATTATCAAGGAGTTGACACCTTTTCGACAGCTCCTCAACGCCACCAGTATGGTGGCCAATGATGGCGATGACGACGCCTTCAAGTCAGTACATGCCATGGTAACTGCGGGCTTCTTGCAAGATTATCAAGCTGAATTTTGCATATATAAGCCAGAGTCTTGTCCCACGATGAAGCAGTTTCTTGTAGATAATCACCCTCAACCCAGTTTTACAATTTCATCTTCACTCTATTGAAGATCTCAACTTCAGATCATTCTTTATACAATGATTTCGAAGCTCGCCTCTTTGGCTATGGTGTCCTGCCTCTGCGCAGGAGCCATAGCCCAGCGAACTCTGGAGTATACTAATCCACCTGAGGAAGAAATCGCCATAGCTCAGGCCTTGGATGAAGATGAACCGATATTGGTCGCCCGAAAATCAGGCATAAGCCCCGAATATTCCTTGATCTACAAGAAACCACTCCCAATTCCACCGGTCAAGCAGCCCAAGCAGTAAGCTCGATATTTCATTCTTCAACTGACGTACGAATGCTAACTAATTCAGGATCATTACGAACCCCGTGACTGGAAAGGATATCTGGTATTTCGAAATTGAGGAGAAGCTTTTCCAACAACGTGCGTGTTCTCAAAATTGTTCTCTCCACTATTCGTTTGCCATTGCATTCTTCTTGCATGATAATTGTTTATAACCAAAGCAAATACTAAATCGTGGTTGTTACAGAGGTGTTCCCGAACCTCCAACCTGCCACTCTGGTTGGTTATGATGGCATGAGCCCTGGGCCAACCTTCATCATCCCACAAGGAACCGAGAGCGTTGTGCGCTTTGTGAACAACGCGCAACGAGAGACTTCGGTTCATCTTCATGGCTCACCGTCTCGAGCCCCCTTCGACGGATGGGCAGCAGACATCACCAACCCTGGCGAATACAAAGATTATTACTATCCCAACTTCGAATCTGCTCGTCTGCTGTGGTATCACGACCATGCTCTAGGAATTGTAAGACGCCGTCTAACTGCTCATTCTCTGAGATACATCACACTAATATTGGTCTTAGACTGCTGAGAACGCGTTTTTTGGACTCGCGGGTGCTTACATCGTGACCGATCCTAGAGAAGACGTGCTAGGCCTTCCCTCCGGTTACGGACAGTTTGACATCCCCCTTATTCTCGGCTCCAAGTTCTACAACCAGAATGGGACACTGCAGTCACAGCTTAATGAGGACACAAGCACTTGGGGCGATGTCATTCACGTCAACGGACAGCCCTGGCCATTTCTCAACGTCCAGCCACGCAAGTATCGCTTCCGCCTCCTTGACACTGGTATCTCTCGAAACTTCGCCCTCTACTTCGCCCGTTCGACGAACACCAATGGCAAACTACCGTTCCAAGTCATCGCCTCAGACTCTGGTCTTCTCGACATCCCCGTCACCGTCAATCAACTAGTAGGTCAACACATATAGCTGCGCATAGCGCATTGTTAACCATGCGAATAGTTTATTGCGGTCGCTGAGAGGTACGAGGTCGTCTTCGACTTCGCGCCATTCGCTGGCCAGTCCATCGACCTCCGCAACTTGCCAGATGTTGGTGGTTTCGGTGTGGATGACGACTTCGACAATACCGACAAAGTCATGCGCTTCAACGTAGCCGCGGCTCCTGTCAACGACCCGTCAACTGTGCCTACAACTCTTCGTCAAGTTCCCTTCCCACCCTCGACACAGGGCATCGACCACCATTTCCTCTTCCACCGCCAGCACGGCCAATGGCTCATCAACGGCGTCGGTTTTGAGGACGTCGCTAACCGAGTATTAGCCAAGGTCCCCCGCGGCACCGTCGAGATCTGGGAGCTTGAGAACCGTTCCGGCGGTTGGACACACCCCATTCACGTCCACCTGGTTGACTTCCGCGTGATCTCCCGCGAGGGCGACCGCGGCGTCCAGCCCTACGAGGAGCACGGTCTCAAGGACGTGGTCTGGCTCGCCAAGGGTGAGACGGTCAGGGTTGAGGCGCACTATGCGCCATGGACTGGTCTCTACATGTTCCACTGCCATAATCTGATCCACGAAGACCATGACATGATGGCCGCCTTCAACGTAACGATGCTGCAGAACTTCGGGTATAACGAGACAACCGACTTCAGCGACCCTGAAGACGACCGCTGGGACGCCGAGCCCTATGTCCTTGCCAATTTCCGCGCAGGCACCGGCATCTTCTCCCCTGCAGCCATCACAGCCAAGGTTCAGCAACTCGCTCGCGAGCAGCCATATAGCGAGCTTGAACAGGTCGAGGCCGCTCTAGATGCATTCTGGGCGGGCAAGGACATCGGCGACCCGAATGCCGCTCTTCCAAAGCGTGAGGCTTCCCCTGAGCAGCCCAGCCCAATTCCTCGATATCGGCGCTTCGTAGTCTAACTGTGGGATTTTATCTTCCTAACTCTCTCAGTTAATTTCACTCATTTATCACTCGTTGACTTAGCTAGCGCCTTGATCCGTACATCCAAATATTCCACAGTGTATACTTGTAAACCTTCTGTGTATACCTTTACCCATTGAGTTATTTTGCTTTGTCGCAATTACCCTCTCTTTCATCCTGCACATCCCTCGTCTATGCATTTCCCGTGATCATTCTTTGCACATACTTCGATAGTAAAAAGCTATCCGGGCTGGAAATGACTGCCCACATTCTTGTATATAGTTCATTTTCATTTAATTCAGCCTACCTCATCTCAATAAATCAATATGAATAATGAGCCCACAGCCACCAGCTTGTGACGATCCCACCACACAATAGGATACGAAGCCAGCAGATTAACAATAACACTGACATCGTTCTTGAGAGGTAACGTACAGCGATTAAGTCTGGATCGACTACTAGCGGAATGCCTCACTCCCCATCAGGAATTGTGGGATTTCAATACAAAGCTAGCGCGTAGCAGTCAGTAGCAGTAGACAAAAACAAGGACCACCGACCAACAACACGTGGAACCAAGAACGCGCTTCCAGCGGGTGAGCCGGATCTGCTATTTAATACCCAGATCTGAATTGCGACCTTCTCCGGAATCGCCAATGATAGATTCCCAAGTCAGTTTTGTTTTTGCTTAGCGCCCGATCGACCCAGCCTGCCTACATATATATACAGTAGTAAGTACTACTCCAACAAGCCCACAGCAACAATTACAACGGGAAGAACCAGAGAAAGGCAAAGGTAGGGAGAGGAGGGAGGGATGGAGGCTACATAGGAGGACATCGAAAAACTCCAACAACAGCCGGACAACTCGGCAGCCCTGAGTAGGGGATATCCTTACATATATACAGATATACAGACGATATAGAAACACGAGGCTCCACCCCTCGCGAGAAGATACCTATCTACTATCCTTGGGGAGGTATATATGCGTGTAAGTCTATTGTCTGGAACGAATTCAGGTTGTGGCATACTCATGTACAAGTGTCGAGGGGGAAAGGCCCCATTAAACCGCCCATTATCCGCAATGACCACGACACATGGGGTTCCGGATTACCTTTTTCATTCTCATTCCTCAGCCCATTCTCACAGGGAGAGAAAAATGACCGCAAGACCACCCCCGAGCTAAGACGTCTTCGTACACATAACATACTTTTTTATTTAATTTTTATTTTATTTTTTTTAACTTGGATACAAGGTATGTATATATGGTACGACGAGCCTATAAGAAATACACACAAAACCTCCCTCTCCCACTCTTTACCCGTCTGCCTGCCTGCCTGCCTGCCCTGCCCGCCCCCATCTCCATCTCCATAATACCAACCAACGCATCAACAACCACGCGCTCAGAAATATTTCCCCTTCCCACCTTTTACACGTATACATGCCTACTACTGTGTTTGCCCAGATACTTTACAATCCATAACTACCCGCTAAATCCACCCGTTTTATCACCGGGCTACTATCCCAGTATCAACGGGAATAACCTACCGTGATGCGATAAGTAGGTAGGTAGGTAGGTAGTGAAGTAGCTACAAATCACACTCTGGCAGCCAAGTAAAGCCATATCCAGGATTACAATAAAACATAGTACGATAAACCAAGACGACAAGCCGGAGAAAGATCGGGGTTCATCCCAGAGTCTAAAACAAGACCATCCGTTCATATATGCGTATAGTACGTACATACATACATACATGTGCGCAGGCAGGCAGGAAAGGTTCTCGACGCACACATGGCACACTACGAACATACATACGCGAAAAATATCTACACATATACGTACCTAGGTAGTTAAGACATACATGACCTGTAATCGTCCATGTGACTAACTTTGATTCCCTGTCTGGCCCGACCTTCTCCCCTGGTCATATATAGAGGTTTAAAAATAGTACCTCTCTGCCCGCACAACATCCGAACATACACGCAAGTAAACGACGACGACGACGACGACGACAATAATAACAAATCGTGATATAATCCCAATCATTATACACATAAACTAAATCCGATGCCAACCCCCCTTCCCCAATTATCATCGATAGGCATAGCTTAACTAACTCAACTCCGATATACATATATACATACATACATACCTACATACATAACATATCCATTTATAACACTCACGTCATATAGCAAAGCAAGTAAGTGTCCAAAGTAGGTAAGCAAGTAACAAACAAACATGGCTAACCCTAGAACGAGGATACGACAGTATGTAACCCCCCTGGCTTACACTTCGTTTGAGATTGTGAAAGCCGAGCATCAATCATCAAGGTAGAGAGGTGGGCGCCCTTCTCCCATATCCCCCCATCTGATCACTAAACGAAGCACGTGGGACTATGAACATGTAGAATTGAATGAGTTAATTTCTTGCTTTGTGGCATTTTGCACGTTATCGGCAAAAAAGCGATATGATGCTTGTGCTATACGTAGGTGGACAACGCCTACACATCCTACATACAAGCATCCCTGTAAGGTCGCCCGAATAAATGCCCTCTTTGGTATAACCCATGAATGTAAATATGTAAGTAAAATCAAAATCAAATGCCATTTATCACAGCCCAAACGCCGTTTGGTTATGCAAGCCCGTTTCAATCATGCCCGGGGCAATGTAGTATGCTGTGACCAAGTCCTAAACAGTGGTATAACCCTCTTTTCAACACCGGTAATCCTTGATATTGGTATAATCACAACGAAGAAGAAAGTCGACCAGCTTGTTGGTATGAGAATGAGGTCGTGATAGGGTGCCGTCTACCTCTACGATGATATTCTTGTGGGTAGTGCATCTTTGAGACGAATCTAATCCGGCAGGTTCCGTCGCTATTGCTGATAATAGAGCGTGGCCAATGCTTGGTTCGCGCGAATACTTGTACGAACAGGGGCTATGCACCCTGATATCCGTAAACTGGTAGCTTCTCATTTCCTGCCTCGACTGCTTGACGACGTGATCTTGCTGGTGCTCATAAGGTCGCCGATATATTTCTGTAAAAACTTATTGTTGTTGTCGAGTTTGTCATGTTCCTCTTTCACTGCTTCTATGCGATGAAATAGCATTAATAGAGACTCTTGTAGGGCCGCGGCATGTCTAGGAGAAGTGTTAGCAAATGTCATGTATGTATCACTAATCGTCTCGTGTCTCACCTATGGAGCTCCTCGCGCGCCTCGCGTCCCAGATTCTCGAGGTCCTCGCTCGTTCTCCGTGGGCTCATAGCGCGCACGTCATCGGCCTCGTACTCATGTTCTATCGGGCCAACCTCAGTCGAATCCCGAGGTACTATCAATGTGCCGCTGCTCTTGCGCGTGATCAGGCGCGGCCTAGTAGGAATAGGGGCATGCATCCCCGGTTGATCTATTGAGGAGGAGCAAGAAGAGTCCGACCGTTCGGACAGGTTCGGGTTCGTTGACTGTTCAGTTTCTGCCTGGCTCATGGTGCTTCACGTCTGGTGATAATATAGCGGCCTGGATCCCAACAACCTTCTCCAATTGCTAAAAGAGTAATGAAGGAAGCCAGTGCTGCGGTTGACAGAAAACCTCTACGACGGGGACAACTATTCAAGAGCCGGTGTGATATAGCGGTATGAATTGTTGTCTCCCGTCCAAGGCGGACCCCTTTCCCCAACCACTCAACACACGGATGGGGACGATGGCGAATCTACTCGTTGAAAAGGAAGCTCGGCGCAGGTGCTGAAGAAGACGGGGGCCACCAGTCCTTATCAATGAATGCGGCAGCAGGTCCCAAGGTTCAACTTAGGGTGTAATACGCATTCATTCGCGTTACTTTACGAGCAGCCGGAGAGAGACACAAGGAGAGGTATAGCGTGAGGTTGTGCTCCCGATGTCGACTACGCGAATGGAAGATGGTAAAGTGTGGCTGGAGGGGAAGGGAGGACAGAGACCAAATAGAAGCAAACAACGGTAGAAGAGAGGTGGCAGTGTGGTTGTAGCAGAGGACAGCGGATTCGGGGCTACGACAACGAAGAGGGAAAAAAAAGGGTTTTAGGATTGGTCGCAGTAGCAGTAAGAGTAGCAGCAGCAGCAGCAGCAGCAGCAGCGCAGGCAGGCAGGCAAAGCAGGCGACTGGGAGGGGCTCGGGCGGGGACAGCGACCAAAGTAGGTGCTGACTACCATTCGACGGGAAGCAGAACTTAGGATGAAGTGATCGTCAGTCTAAGCTCACGCGGACGAGGTACCTGGCGGCGAGGTAGTGAAGGAAGAGGAACAACAAGAGGCGGTGTTGGAACGGCGAGAGAGCACACTACTGTAGAGCCGGGCAGGGGACCGTGGAGGTAGCGAGCCGTACAGTACAGGACAGTACGGCGCATGTACTGCCACCGAACTTGGATACTGAACTACCACTGAACTACCTACCACTGAACGAACAGGACAGGACAGACAGCAGCGCCGAGGACCGCTGAGGGTGGTGGCCAAGTGTGTGTGGTACCGGTAGGTATGATCTGCTGCGTGTGATGCTGAGCGGCGCTGAAGTGTAATGAAGATAGTCGTCGTCGACGGGACTGACGAGAGGGCGGGCGAGTGGGAGAGAAGAGAGAGAAAGAGAGAGATAGGTAGGTAGAGATACTTACCTAGTGTACATAGCAGTTGTCTGGGATAGCGCTTCGGGATGCCTGTCACGTAGGCTTGACCAGTCATTGGTCACTGGACTTGGAACAGCGTCACTACGCTGCGACTAGAGACTATCTAGAGACTATCTAGAGACTGAAGATACGCTGCGCTACTGCAAGCACATCGGAGTACACAACTGAAGAACCCAGGCTACCAGGGGCGCTAAGTACTGATCAAGCAGAACTTGGCGTTGCGAATACCGCGCTAGGAGTACCTCGTGTGTACCCTACAAATCTGCGTCACTAGACCGATGTACCGCCTAGGTACCTGAACTAAACCAAGTACATGACTACACGACATGACACTGGAGACAGTGAAGCGAGGCCCTGAGTGATTGGTACCGCTGGGGAATGGCGTAGGTACTTATCATCGGGTATTTGGTATTTGACTAACGGGTCGAGGACTCACAACGTTTGATTGTGTGGATAGCAACTGTCGTGGGTCATGTCGATCAGCACAAAAAGGTATTCCATGAACAGCGTTGAGCGACGTTTGCCGCGTGCCGTATGCCGTAGCGTAGGAGGAGGAGGAGTCCCCTGATACAAGAGGAGATACCTAGCAGATACACTACCTACATAGGTAGTAGGTATAACACTACTACTTATATGTACATAGAGTAAGTAGACGGGAGTAGCCAAAAAGGGAATGATTTACAGGGTCTGCTATTGGTACCTAAGGTTATGGACAGCGAGCAAGGTATGCGGCCGGCGCAAAGGGACTCTTCTTTCTCCCCTGAGAAACTTACTTACATGTAAGTAAGTACTCTAAATATGCTGCTGCTTTGGTGATCAAGTCTACACGTCCTTGTTAATATCTTATCTGCGAGGTATATCTACCTGCTCTCTCTTCCTATGTACATACCCACGGGTTTGCATTTTTCAGAAAGCAGGAGCGTGACTGGAAAGAGACCCAAGAAATGCAAACGAAAGAGAGACATCTCCGCAGTTGGGTATCTAGCGTGCCTATGGAAATACCTACTTACTACGAAGTATGTAGCCCGTGATTACAGTATCATGGCATGTCTTCTCACTGTACTTACCATATAGTATCTTTATTGGTGTGTCTATGTAAGTAGAGAAGTACACGGCTGGCAATGCTGCAATAAAAGGATCCCTTGTGCTTGAAGTGAGCTTCGGTGGACTGCCATACATACTTACTAGTACATAGAGTAGGTAGAACACAGCAAATTATCTATTGTATGTACATTATACTTCATGTGAATACATGCAAGTAAACTGCCAACTACTTACTTACTAAGGACTTAGGCATCGACTCTAATGTGAAAAGATTTCTGGTACTAAGGCATTGACAGAAGGTTGGTTTTCTAGAAGCATTGTTAGTGTAGGTATTATCTAGAGCTTAAGGTAAGTACTAGATAGTAAGACGCTACCACATACAGTACTTTGCGCCTACATAATCCAATACACTGCTATGCCATCTAACACACGCCATGCCTGACTCTATTCGAAAGTCTTGATGAATGTATTCTCCAGCAGTCTCGCAAGTACCTCACCTCCCTAAGAGCTATCCGTGAACGGGCTAGCGGGAGGTCATTCGGTCATTTGCCCTTTTGTTAGTGGGCGGACGAGGCCGGGGATGGGATGTGATGACGAAGAGGGATGAGGAAGAAGAGTTGTTATGCTAAATAGGCTTGGCTCTGGAGGTTCTAACTGCATCAAGTTCTTTTTCCCAGACACCTGCTTTTCTGGGATTGGTTAGCCACGTTTTTTTTTTGTTTTTTGTTTTTTAACTGCGAGTACCTACACTACTTGGACCCTCTGAAAGATACATGTATAAAGTAACTCCTATATGTCCTATTATATAACTTTCTTGGTGTTCCCCCCTTAAGTACTCTTCAACCTACTACGTAAACGTCATTGCATCATTATAAGATCTTGTAATTTTATGCTGCTGTTTAGCATCTTCTCTTCATGGAGCCGACATCTGCTTAAAATGGGACCTAGCAGTAGTTTTATTTTTATTTTTTTAAACACATTTTTGATATGAGCATTTGCCTAATAGTGTACTAATGAATTCCTCACCTGAGCTACTTCCTAGCCTGTATTGTAGGACCGACTGGTATGAGCAATCTGGCCCCTCCAAACGATGAGAGCTCGGTATTTCAAAGATTCAGGCGGAATCAAGCTGTACATGGGTTTCGCGAGTTCATGTAGAGCATACTCACTTAAGTAATTGCCGTAGTGCCAATGTCAGTATCCAAATCTGACTAGGAAATAGATGCTGTTTCGTTTTGCTTGTGCTCCGACGGAGTCTGAAATCCATTAGACTAGGTACAAAGAGCGAGCCGTTGCTTTAGCGCTAAGTGTACGGGATAGAATGACATCTCTATCACGCTGTATCAAATGCTGTTGTTGTTGCGTACATTTCCATTGACAATGCCTCCTCCCAGTGTCGCTGGCGGCTACCAATGAAAGGCCCCCTTGTTGAGAAAAAATATGGCCAGGCTGTTGGCAATTCCACATGTTGTAATGCCATGTCACGAATACCATTCATTCTACATTACAGCATGTACCATACGCTAACTACACAGACGCACTTAAATCCTGCGTGCTGTCTCCATCTCACTCCACAGCGTAGAGAAGCTTGGATGCCGGTCTCAGGGAAACACGTTTCACCCCGCCAGGACTTCTTCTGTCTGCGCTGAAAAAAATAAAAAGCGCGGCGCGAATACCTAGACTTGATCTACATAACAATAGTCTACAGATAGTTAGAACCCCATACGAGGAAGAAAAGCGATTAGCACCATGAGAGATGGGCGGGCAGAGGCGGATGAATGTTAATGGCTTGTTAGTGCTAACGTTAGCTTGCGAACCCACCATGATCTTCCATGTAGCATGTAGGAGTCCTGAAAACTGGGAATGGAAAAGCCAACGGCAAAGCACTCGGTGACCCTCGACCGACCTGACCGAGTCTGGGGAAGATAGAACCCTACTTAAGTAGACAGAACCTGGAAGATGCCGCTCTTGGAGTATTAGGCGTAACGCCAGAACGTAGACAGCATAGTGCTACATAGGTACTCGGCAAGTAGTACTGTAAGTATAGGTATATGTAAAAGCAAATACGAAGTACCTATGTTATGAACGAACAGTCACCCCAAACACGAAAGAGAGATTGAATGTGTCCAAAAATAATCGTCATCTCCGGGGGTTACATTAAGGCTGAAGTGAAAAATATACTACCTAACACATGTGGCAGCGGAAGCAAGCATACATACTTCTTACCTATGTAATACTACCTGACACGCCGATTGTTAAAGTATTGGTGTGCCGGTCAAATGATCCACGGGCGAGTTGGTTAGAGCGTTCCACGATGTTTCTGGCGCGTGATCGGTTGCAGCGAGGCGAGCCATTGGTGAAAAAAGCTGCAGGGAGCTGCAGGGAGCAGGGAGCAGGAAGGGGTGGGAAATACCCAAACAGACCTTCCGTCGTCGCCAATACAGGTAGCTAATGTACTATACTATGTAAGTATATGCAGTGTACTGTGAGTACATGTATTGTTTGTAGGTAAACGGAGTGAGTGAAGGCTAAAACGCAAGGGTTCTGCTTCGAGCATAGGCGCACATCTGACACGACGATGCTCTGGAAAGGAGAGGAGGGGGGCAAAGGACCCTGAATTTCACTTTACTGCGGCGGCGATGGGACCGTATGCACCACGATCATCCTGCACATTTAACATTACAGGTAAGGAAAAACAGCGGGATGATAAGACGGATCCTGGAGGAGTTGCCGTGTGTACGTAGTGCTGAGGCGAGCCATGCATAACAAAGTATTATAAGTATGTATGTGCCTAGCCAAGGTGCACATGGCAAATTCCCGACTGGCAGCCCGAGGAAAGTCGATGGCCAGGAGACCGAGAATCGCCCACCGACACAATGACGATAGCTGACGAAAACATCTCACGATAGCCAGGCAGAACAGGCAACGGATCTGTTCGTCTCCTCCCGGACCCTGACCTGATCTGACCCCGAGCCTAGCGGGTCGTCTTTACACTATCGTGCACAAGGCAAGTCATCGTCATCGCATTGATGACAATGACGGGATACCGGTGCGACCAGGTTTGTGAGACCTGCAATGACCTCACCTCCAGGGTTTGGAGGCATAAGTAGTAGATACTCTCGGTACTATACTTATGTGAGCGTCTGGTGAAGCGCGCTCTT